TTTTACCCAGACATTTCCTCTTTTAGGGGGCTGTCCGGCCTGTCGAGAGGGGAGTTTGTAAAATCCTTCAAATATCCAGGGTTTTATATGGAAGCCGTTTTTGTTTTTTTTTACTAGCAGAAATGGGCTCAGTTTTGAGTTTGTGTAGTGTCTACTTAATCTTCACATCACAGACCATTGTATTCACCATACTTGTTCAATGGTTCATTTGGAAACACACTCTGAATGTGTTTTTATTCATTATAAAATAGTGCAGCACATCTGCTTCTCTGCTCCTCCGTTCAGTTCTAAGCAAAGCCACTGACCAGACGCACACATGCGCTGTCTGTCGGTGAGTGAAAGAAAAGAGAGAAATATTTGTATGTGACTGATAATTTTGTTGAGGAGAAATGCTCTAGATAAATGAATATATTGTTTATAAATGCAAATTTGTGTGAGTATTTTTCAGTATCTCCAAGAGGCCTGGTTAAGTATCTTTTTGAGAATTAAGAATATGCATTTAACTGAGTTAGAAGCGCGTAAAAAACACTCAGCCCGATCCAAAAACCTTCAAATTTTTGCTTGTGCGTGCACTACTCCAGCCCGCATAATGGTGTCCTCTTTTTAGGGATTCAGGATATGATCACCCTAGTCAAGAATCACTGCTGAAGCATGCAGAGGAAAGATAAGCAAAGTCTGCCTTGTCCACAGGGGGCACCAAAATTGACCCAAACTGTGAGTTCCTCACTGGAGCTTTAAGCTCCTTTTGCAAGATGAGGTATTTAAAATGTCCTTGTCTGAGGTCTTTCCCATGTTTTACCCTTTATCCTGGGGTGTTCTGGGGAGTTTTTAATCACAGTCTTCGGGAGCTAGCTGTTTCAAGAGCTTCATTGTTTTAGGCCTTAAATCCCTAATGAGTTATTAATCAGCTGGACTGTACTAGAAAGGTTACTCTAACCACTCCCAGCACATTGAGTTCCCCCACCTAACACAGTCTGACCTTCAGTGAGTCAGCATGAGGCATGACCACTGAGCAAAGACAGTGATTGGAATTGAGAGGGGACTGTTTCTGCATGGGACACTGTCAAGGAAGTCAACCACGCGGTGGAAAATTAGAAATGCAGCATTACAGTTAGCAGAGGGTCATGTGCTCATGCAGAGTTGGAACAAAAAACCAAAACCAAACATGTCCTCTGTTCCCTTTTGAAACTAAAAACACCTACAAACACCTACACACATATATTCCTCAAACATTTCCAACAGTGGTTCAGAAGTTTTATTATTGCCCAAAACCAGCTGAACACACAGAAAATTTTCATTCATAGTGTTTAATGGTGTTACCGTTTAATTATTGTGATTTGGTCTATCAGTAAGAAATCCTTGTGTGTGTATTTAACTGCTGCTGTAGTTTCTTTGCTAGAGTTTTCTCAGGACTTCATCTTTTCCAGTTTCATCCCAGGAAGTGACAGTCACACGTGTTGTAACATGATGTGAGTGTAATCACTCTATGAACAGACTCTCCTTACTGAAAATGACGAAATACAAGAGAGAAGCAAAAATCTCTATCACAACTTAGACAACACAACACGCTCGCTCTCTCTACACAAGCACACACACACACAAACACACGCACCCACGCACACACACCCACATACCCACACGCAGCTGGATTTTCTGTGGTCAGGATTACGTATTGGTTGAAATAAAAAAAAATAAATAGAAAAAAACTGCATCGTGATGCACTGGGTTTTCTTAAAGGGAAGTCACTGTCTCTATTCTCACTTCACATTTTGCAGAAGTTTGTTCTGTCTCCTTTTCTCTACATCATGAAAGAAAATCGAAATCACCCACTATCATCTAAAGAAGGTTTAAAAAACTTCCCAGGTAGTGTTTCCCTGCCCACTGCTAGGGTCCTCACAATGACAAAAACAGCTTCCTTTCTCTTGTTCAAACTAACTCATTTTTTTCACATTTAGTGCTGCATTTATTTTAATACAAATCCAAATGTAAATCCAAATATTAAGAGTGAAATGTAGTGTTGCATATAAGTCAAATGTTAAATATAAACCTCAACTTTAACTCTTAAATCTTAATGTTTAATAAAAAAAATCGAAATTTAATAAGATACATTGGGGTGCTAAACAAAATCTCAATGCTACATGTCAAAGCAAATGTTAAGTTTTAATAATAGGTGTTAAATCCAAATCTATTTCTAAATCTAAAACATTTGAGAAATCACACTGTTGCCCAGCAGGATATCTCCCCAAGGCCATCCAGAGAAAGGCATACAGGAAGCTCGGTGTGATTAACATGTTGTTCTGCTTTCCATGTGATAGGTCATTCAAATGTTAAAAACAGTTTCTCACAAAGGTAGGACAGTGTTTGGAACTGCAAATCTAAAGAGACACTGGGCCACATTTTAAGTTAAAAAACATATTTGATAGCCTGGTAGCCAACATCAAACTCCAGCTATGATTAGCATTCAGCCTCATCGTTGATAATGTTTAAAGTCCCACTCCAATTGATTTTTTTTTTGTGTTCTCAGTGGTCTTTCAATTGTAATCATGAAGTAGCCAAAATTGCATTACCTGTCTCATTTTTAAGGGCTTTTCTTCTTCAGAGCTCCAGTAGCTCATTAGCAATTCACCTCTGAGTCGTGGGTGGAGACAGCGCTACTCTGCTCACTCCTCTTCACGCTAGCTTGTAGCCTAATGTTGCTGGTGTAGTAGCAGCAGAAGCAGGTAACATGGGAGGTATTCAGCTCTTTGACACTAATGCTCTGGGGACATGATAAAATTAATATCATAATTAGCTTTCTTACGAGCATTGCAATCCGCTAACGCACACGCTTGTTGCGTAGTTGTCCTCTCTACTTCTCTGGGGCGGAGCTTGGAGTTGTGGTGTAGGAAATGCCACTGTGTCTGAACCTGTTGTTTGGGTCTGCCAGAGATTCACAGTGATTTGAATGAAGAAATACTGAGAAATGCAATTTCGCACTTATTTTTCTCATATGTCCTCTAGTATCAGAAAAATGCCATATGAACATGTAGACAACAAGAAAGAAAGGATTTTCTTCGGCATGGGTCTTTAAATTAAAGAGTCACAAATATGATAAAATAGAAATGGAATGAATGAATTCTGAGTATTAATGCTCATCATGAACACACTTCCTCATTAAGTAAAATGACAAAAATTGTCTTTACTCTTTATGTTGTAAATAAATGTTCCACAACATTTTAAATAAAGAAGCTTGTTCAGATATGATGCTAACATTTTCTACGATTCATCTCTCACTCTGTTTAGGGTTACACATGTACTTCTCAAATCAGCCACATCCTTCCTTCTTCCACCCCTCAAAAAGTAAGGTGTAATACTTCTGCCTCATTTTACTTTTTTGTGGTGCTGACACATTGATTGAGTTGTCACAGTAAAGTGACTCATTCAGTGTTCATGTGGATATGAATTCACACATGCATTAAAGTTTGCAAAGTTTTGGGGGTTGATGTTTAATTGCAAGCAGCTGTAATTTTCACTTTGGGAACAAGGGGATGTCTTGAATTTTTCAGAGGGGTGTTCCAACCCTAGCCCTCACATAGGCAGGAGTAGTCAGCATATGTTTGTGGATACAGAATTCTAACATTTTCCCCCTTTGTCCTCATTATCTGCCTTAAAAATATTCAAGTATCATACAGTCTTCAGCTTCATGTGTCTATTTGTTTATTATTTTTAAAGAGGGCAGTGCCAGCCTAACCCCTGTTGATACGTGAGAATCATTTTTTAGCAGCATGGATATCAGAGCAAAATCAGTTTCACCGAATAGCTAGCTCTATTGCTATGTCCTCCAGTATGCCTTATGCGTCATTCTTTTGAAATGTAATCTTCATGACGTCATGTCCTGCTGTGCACCATAGACACATCTATCCTTTTTAACATCAAATAACTAATAACAAAATAAACTTCTCTTAAAAAATGAACAATTGCACATTAGTCTTCTTAAAAAGAATTATATTTTATATAAGTATTACAACAAATATCAATCAATCAAATTTCATTTACATAGCGCCAAATCACAACAGTTGTTATCCCAAGATGCTTTCCAAAAAGAACAGCAGGTCTAGACCACGCTCATTGTTTACATTTATATCACCTGTGATGTAATTTTGTAATTTAAAAACAAATTGTTTATGTGCTTTATGTTTTTGATTAGCATAGTCCATATAAAACATGCATCCAGTCTCTAAAGTTAAGGTAAATCTTAAGCTATCCTGCTAAGAGCTACTGCCTCATGGACATAATAAAGAGTAGACACAGCTTCGGCTGCTGGGGCGTTAGAAATGCAGCTGCCATTTTGAACCAGTCATTCTACCACAGACGCTCTGTGATTTGCTGCAAGTAGAAGGAACAAGATGCCAGAGCACTGGGCAGCGTATTCCTGCTCTACCGTCGAGAACAGGGCTCGGGGATTACTTTTCACAAGATTTCAAATAACTATTTGTTGAATTTTGTGAATCGACTATTACTGTGCTGTATTTATTTCCACCAGCAGAAATATTCAGAAAATCAGAAATATCCCACTCTGGATGGCGTTTTGGAAAGTTCTCATAGGTCGGCTAAAACGCTATATCCCTTATCACGAAGACAGTCTTTTTTATGTTGGGATAAAAAGCGATAATTTGTTATCATGAAATAACAAACTTTGTTTTATCAAGATATTGAGATAAGTTGTTATAACGAGATAATAGTACATAAAAAAAAAATCCATGGCCGTTTTCATCTTCCATAGAAATAAAAGAGCTCAGAATAGATTTTCTATTTTTCCATCGTTGGATAACTTGTATGAATAATGTAAAAAAGAGAGGTAGATAACTGTTATAATAGATAACTATATCACCCATCATCGTCATCATGATGCTTATCTGCTCTTCCCTGCAGCTAAATTTCCAGACAGTCCTGTGTCACAAACTATGGAGAGAGAGAGAGAGAGAGAGAGAGAGAGGGAGAGGGAGAGAGAGAGAGAGAGAGGGACGAATCTGTGGATGCGTTTCGCAACCAGTCTGGAGTTTTCCGCTGCACTTGGCTGCATATCTGGAAGGTGACAAGCGCCCTGCAACGAGTCAGGGCGAATCCTGCACACTTTATGATGACATTAACAATGCGTAAAAATGCAAACGTACTTTGTCAGCGGGCATATTGACTATTGTGGCAACCTGTGGATTCCCTTACAGTCACCCCACAGCTCTGATAAGAGTAAGTCGAAGACGTTCCCAACTTTTTGATGCTATCAAGTTTTATCTGCCAAACTTTCACGCGCAGCCGGTCGTCATGTTGCATAAATTTGGCTCACACAGCGCCGGTGTTCCGGTCTCCAGTGCAGACCTGCAGCTTAAGCTGACGGACAACAAGAGCGGGCTGGTCACAGCAGGGATGGGGATGGAGAGTGGAACTGGGAAGAAACTCATAGAGATTACTGGACCAGCTTTATCCAAGAGGAAACTTCTGGTGGGCTTGGACCTCCTCTGTCTCTTTCTTGGTAAATATTAGTGCAAAAACTACTACACATACTGTGCATTTGATTAAGTTACTTGCAAAGCTTGTGTGTAACAGTGTTATTTCAGCATGTAGTTTGAGATTGTTTTGTGTGTTTAAGAAGTACTGACACAAGTCTTTTGGAAAAGAAAAGAAAAGGCATGTTTGATTTTGCGCATGGTTTGTTCCACCCGGAACACAGCCACTTTCAATAACAAAGCAGCCCAATTTTCTTTTATTCGTGAACATCTTCGGTCTTTTTGAAACTGCTGCACCAAAAAGAGTTACCTCTTCTTTGCTAGGCATGCGGGAAAATAACCTGGATTTATTTCTCACGACTTGATTGCGCATTTGTAGGCCAAACACTTGGAAAACTATTGAGGAAGGGGCTTTCCAATCAAATTTTCAGTATCAAGTTAATTGGTTTGTTTCAATTCTTACCATCCCTTTAGTTTTACTGGGGGGCAAAGGGTGAACCTCTTTGAAAGGTGACTGCTCAGACTGATGAGGGCTAACATAAACTAAAATTAGTTCTGCTCCGCTTTGTTTGCATTCATTTCCATTCAGTCGACAAATGCAGCAAATTATGAGTCTGAAATATATCAGCAACAAATAAAAACAAAAGGCAAAAAGTTTTCCGACTTCTCCATCAGCATAGATCCCTAGCTCTCTGTTTTCCGCTCGTGCGCGCTCTCGAGCGATCCGTGCCAGCCTGCTCGTTCATTGCCCAGGGAATTCTACAGTTTCCATGGCAACCTTTAGTTCTCAGGGTAGTGCCGGGCCGAGGGGGAATTGTATGTGGTATAAATAAATAAATAAATAAATGCACGACCCACAATGTGTACGCGCGCGTGTGGAAAGATATGTACGTGTGCGCACATGAGTGTAATTGGTGACCCTCCTCCCATGGACCCTGTGAGTGACAGGAGGGAGCTTATGTAATGCTTACTAATTGGAAAAAGCTGGGTGGATGGAGAGGTAGTTTGTATTAACAACAGATTGGGCATGTGCAGATGGGAGGGTCTCCCTCTCTGTGCTGTGTGAATGCATGAATGCAAGACCGAGGAGGAGAAGGAGAAGGAGAGGTGTGTGCACAGAGGGGTGCTGTGGTGGGGAGGTGGACATGGAGAGACAAACAGAGACAGTGTGTGGCTGGCTCTGGCTCTGCTTTGCTGCGGCATTCGCTCTTTGTGTTCTAGGGGAAGAGTTGAACTGAAGTCACAAACAACTCCCCTTTCTCTTCTCATAAACTGAAGTGCACATTCACACACACATGCACACATGCACACAAATGCACAGCCCAATCTAGGTCTCTGATGAGCTCTGGCTCCTTCTCTTTTCTATTTACAGACCCCCACATTCCTAATCGCTGTCTGACTGATGATGATCTCCAGAGAAAAAGTCAGGGTTCCCATCCTTGTTTTCCTGTAAAACTATTCCCAGTGTGACTTGTCTCATTCCTCCAGTATCCCTCTTTCACTGTGACTGTCTCATTTTGAGAACCCTCTGTATTTTCAGTTTCTAACCAGACTTTCATCTGCAAAATGTAGGGCTTACTGTGTGTCTCTTTGTAGATGACAGTCATGAGCATCCCATTCATACTGGTGTTGTGTATGGGATATCAGTGAATCAGTGCTGTTATGAAAACAGTGAAAAAGTACTTAATGTTTGCACACAAACACACATGAATGACTTGTTTGACTAGTTGCATTGTCGATGTAAAAGGTAAAACAAAGTTGACTAAAAAAAGGAAATGTGGTACAATGAAAAACAAAGAAGCCACTGGCAGTTGCAACATAACCTCAAGTAGTAACATAAGTAGTTGATTAGAGCTAGGGATCCTCTAAAGCAGCCAATTTATTCAATAAATATTGCAATTTTTTTAGGACTACATATAAAAAGTGGACACCCTCTCAAGTAAGTAGTGTGGATCATTAGTCAGTTTGCTGAGTTAATTATGCTGGAATTGTCTCAGAATTCTGCATCTTGTTTCATCCACGTGATGCCGTCCAGTTTTTTACTGCCATGATGCTACGATGCTCTACTATCTGATACAAACAAGCTCAAAAGCCAACTCATAGCAAGGCATGATTTTGTAGTATTTAGATCTAAAAACTGAGACATGTAGGCTGTGTCTGGTTGGTCTGGTTGATCTGAAATTATAGGAAATGAGAACCCCCCAATAACTTTTAAAAACAGAGCTTCACAGAAAAAAGAGGACTTGAGCACAAACCAGTCTTACAATAACTACACGTCAACATCGCAAGCAGGGGGGAGAAAAAATTATGTTCTGTGTAATAAATTTCTAAAGTTTGTCCACAGCTCCATAAGCTTTGCTGGCGGAGGATTTATGACCTATACTGCAGCCCCGTCAACAGAGGGTGCTGTTCTCGGAGTGGCTTCATCCACCAAGGAGGCAGACCATAGACTGTATATAGAATGGACGCCATCTGCCTCCTCGCTGGGTGAAGCCACTCCGAGAACAGCACCCTCTGTTGATGGGCTGCAGTATAGGTCATAAATCCTGCCTCCGCCAGCAAAGCTTATGGGGCTGTGGACAAACTTTAGAAATTTATTACACAGAACATAATTTTTTCTCCCCCCTGCTTGCGATGTTGACGTGTAGTTATTGTATGACTGGTTTGTGCTCAAGTCCTCTTTTTTTCTGTGAAGCTCTGTTTTTAAAAGTTATTTGGGAGTTCATGTTTGCTATGATTGATACCTGATACAGCCTATGGGCTTTCAGGGATTGCGTAGCTCTCCAGGGGTACACGCTGTTTGAGCCGAGCGTCATCACAGCGACTCTCGGCGACTGCGTGGCCAAATGGGCGCATCGCTACTGCGCAGCGCTGGTTTCAGGAAATGAAGAAAAATTCCGGAAATACCGAGAGCTATTTGGCTTCAAATCCGTATAAACCAAGTTGTCCAAAGTATATACAGTCTATGAGGCAGACTCTGTCCATTCTATATACAGTCTATGTGTTTACCAGCAGACTCCCTGTCACAATGTAAGCCGTGTTAATTACATTTTATTCAATGGCATTTTTTTTTGAGTGTCCCCTCTTTTACAAAAGTGGGAACCAAAATCTGCCTAAAAGGCACAAAGCAATAACTGGCCAGTCAGTTATCAGGGGGGTCATACCACCCAAGGTCATCCCTCTCGATTCATCTCTGATATTTCAAGGGAGTAGTCTATAAAAATAACTTGTAGTTGAACAAATTTCAAACTTTGGCAGCATGAATTTCCCAACTATATTTTAAGTACTTTCTCTCAAACTAAGCTGACCAACTGACTCAGACACTTTGAATGTTATTCTTCAGAAAAACATTGGACGTTTGCGCAAAGATGAGTCTGAACAAAGTTTTGTCAGGGTTTTTGTTAGATAGCTATGAAGCAGCCCTGAAATATTTCCAATAATGCCTCACCCATTTCCATACATGGACAACACTGAATTACTTGTGACCTATGAGATAGTAAGACAAACATTAATTCTCTAAGGTTGCAGACCGTCTTTCTGTTGTTTGTCAGTTCCCCCATTCTACGTTTCTCTTTTCTCCTCATATTTCTCACGCACACTCTTCTGTTTCTCATCAGATAGAGGAATGTTTATACTCCCAGAGGGCATTGTTGTGAAACTGAACCTCTCTCCTTTCTCCTCCTTGCAGCTTCCATTCCATTTTTTGCGTGTGAACTGAAGGCAGTGAGTCCATATAGGAGGGGCTTCATGTGCGGAGACCCCAGCATCACCTACCCTTACCTGCACCGAGAAGCCATATCTGATGAGTTACTCATAGCTGGTGGCATCATCATCACTGGCCTCACTGTGAGCACAGACATCCTAATTGGACTCTCTCTTTTGTACAAAGGGATGTGAAATGATGGTTCTGACTGTGTGCTTGCCTACAGATTGCCCTCGGGGAGTGTTACCGAGTTCGATTCCGCAGTGTGAGCTCCAAGGCCTTCGTAAGGAACTTGTATGTGTCGTGTCTGTACAAGGAGCTGGGCTGCTTCCTGTTTGGCTGCTGTGTTGGTCAGTCGCTCACCAACATGGCCAAGCTGAGCGTTGGGCGGCTGCGTCCCCACTTCCTGTCTGTGTGCGGGGTCACATATGAGTCACTTAACTGTACACTTGGAACTTATGTTGCAACAGTGAGCTGTCGCCAACCTGATCATCGGTTGGAAGAGGAGGCCAGGTGTGTGTGTGAGAGACTATGTTTATACCATTGACTGTATATAAAGATGGACAATAAGTCTCTACCTCCTCCTGATGTACAAAAGTGATGCCAAAAATACCCTTTTTGGTGGATGCTGACAGTTTGTATATTTTTGCCATCGACTAGTCTTTTCCGTTAAGCTAATTAAATTGCATGTGGATAGAACTGTTGCTCCCCCACTCAGCAAAATTTGCTGCAACAATGTAGCTGTAAGTCATGCCCCTGCATGTTATTTTATAGCATTATATAACAATTTGAAACTGACCTTTTCAAAAATCTGAACACTTGTACTAAAACTACCATGATAGAAAATAGATTCAGCAACCATATTTCAATAAGGACCACTTCTGTCAAAGAGAATGAATTATTTTCACGCTCTAAATTACATTTGGCGATGTGGTCTTGTTCTGAGAGCTTCCTGCCCTTCCACACGCATATGTAGAAATCCAAAGCCTCTGGTGGGGTGAGTACACCTCATAGCTGTTTCTTACATGAAAAGCCAAGGCAGGGAGTACATCAGTGGCAATACACATGACACAAGTAAAACCAGACACAGCTTAAAAAAGAGGAGGTAGAGGTGGGTTGTGCAGTGATTTGCAAAAGAATGAGGCAAGGTAGAGTGGGCAAGCGAAAGCCGTTCAAACAGAATGTCTGTTTTGAGTCTAGCAAACTGGATGCGTGAAAGGTAAATAGTGGGCACAAGGATCAGCACTTGAACTGAGGGCTAAGCTTGACTTATTGGCTTGCTCCAATTAATGCAATACTCAATATAAGGAAATTTAATTGATGTGTATTTTAATTTTCATATTTTGACTCTCATCCCATTTGTCAACATGGAGGAGGCAGTCAGTGTGACCCATGCTGTAGTGCAGTGAATAAGAAGTGGAAGCTCTAGACGGCTATCATGTTGTCCATGCTTTTATACAGTCAAAAGTTTGTGAGATGTTAAAATTATTACAGGAAATAGATTAAGAAGAGGAAAAGTAACTGGCGAAACAATACAGATTTACTGTATTTTATTCGTCATTGCATTATAACTGTCCGAAGCAGCTTTCTAAACACCATGGAAGCTGATGACAAACGGCTGCCTAGCTTTTTCCTTTTTCATTACTTGATCCATCTTGAAAGAGTTAATGAATACAGCATGTCTTTTATATTGATTTTTTTCAATATTATTCTAAATACTTTTCAATTTATTTTAGGAAGTCCTTCTTCTCCGGCCACGCCTCCTTCGCCATGTACACAATGCTCTATTTAGCAGTGAGTATTTCCATTCAGCTACTACTTTTCTTCCTTTTTCATACACTTTCTCTATCTCTCTCACACACAAAGGCTGGCAAACACAATTTACTATCTCTCTAATATCCAATTACCATATCTGTAGAAAATGGGGAGGGCAAATGAATGAAGCAGGCAGCCATCATCGGTCCAGTTAGCAGCAGAAAGAAAAGAGACAGAAAAAAGGAGAGAGAGAGAGAGAGAGAGAGAGAGAGAAGGAGGACTGGGAGTAGAAATGGGACAAACAGAGACAGCTTTGTTCCACTGTGGGAGGAGTGTGACCTCGCCTCACCGCCTCACTGCTCTCCCCTTTGTGTGTGTGTGCATGTGTGTGTGTGTGCGTGCGCCCCTGTATTGAAATGTGTTTATGGAGGCTGATGTGTGCTGGAGCTAGCATATGTACATGTGTGCATACAGAATATTAATGTGTGCACCATCTTGTGTGTGTGATATCTTGTGGGCTCGCTCATTTTCTCCAACTGTCACCCTGTTTCATGGAGCAAAAGTGCTGTGATACATTCAGCATGAGGTAAACGGGTAGATGAAAAACAAGGCACATTCAGTCACTGCAACAATAAGCATTAAGGAGCTTTGCAATTTTTGTTTTATTGGAGGGCACCATACTCTGCTTTATTTGATAGAATGCACCTTACTGGTCTGGTGCAAACAATATTAAGATTTGAATCTGTTGTTTGAACAAAATGGGACTGGTTAGTGATGTCTAGCAGTCAGAAAAGCTCCTATGCTCACACCTCCCTTCTGTTCAACAACAATGGGTACCAATGGCAAAAAAGCTCTAATGATGCATTCTCGGTGTGCTGCTGCTTTTGTCAAGTATTTCCTATCAAAAGTGTAAACAAAAATGATGCTGGTGCTGCAGCAACCCCTGTTGAATGCTTTTGTAATAGAACAATAAGTTGCATTGAAGTAAAGGTATGCATCATGGTCATTGGAGCTTGTGTTGATTTGGAGGCAGCTATTTTCAAAGTAGCTAGCTATCACAGGAGCACAGATAGGAAATTTGAATTAAAGTTAGCTATCACAGGAGCACAGATAGGAAATTTGAATTAAACAACCAGTCACTGAAAAGAGCCCAACAGAAGATTATCTTCTGAGTTCTAAGCTGTTTGGAGTCTGGTAACTGGAGTGCAGGTAGATGAAGTCAAAGAAAAGGTTGTATTATTTGCAGCTGCCAAGCATTTCAACATAAAAATTTAAATTGTATTTTTGCACTGCTACCTTCACTGATAATTAATACATTTTAGCCCCACTACTCCACAACCCTAGATGTCATTGTGAATGTCTTCAATTTAAAAAAAAATTAAATGGTAAGGCAGGGCAAGTATTTATAGCACCGTTCATACACAAGGCAATTTATAGTGCTTCACAATTTAAGATTAATAAGACAAACACATACATTTTTTCGTCTGTTCTGTGTTTGCCCGAGTTATTCATGAAAACCGTTGTTTTCCAGAAAAAACGAAATAAGTCTCAAGCTTTCAGTCCCGTAGCTCCCCAGCACTCAGCCCGAGTCTCCAAGACCTTGGTGCACAGAGGGTCCCTGACCTGGAGTACACAATTTTGGCTTAGAGAAATTATATCATGGATGTCTAAATTATAGCTACTGATAATAGTGTTTTGCTCTAATCTTTGGCCTCTTCGAATTCACTTTCAGCCTTTTTGTTTTGCACTCAGGGGGTTTTCCTGGTTTTCTAGTTTTGTTCACTGAAGTCACCAGAAACTAAATCTAAGAAAACTCCTTGATATAACACACACACACACACACACACACACACACACACACACAATGAAGACTCTCGCACAGCTTTCTGTAATAATGAAAGTACTGGTCATCAACTTAAACCAAAGATGGTGCACGTGATGAGTTTGCATCAACACAGATTGCCTTGACAGCAATTTAAAGCAGAAGTCAGACTGTAAACATGAGCTTGTGTTTGTGAAAATATAAAGTGGAAACACTTTGGGGTAAAAAATAACAACTATTATTTTTCCTGTAGTTTTACCTGCAGGCGCGGTTTACATGGAGAGGGGCTCGGCTGCTGAGGCCAGCGCTGCAGTTCTTCCTGATTCTTCTGGCAGTCTACACAGGTCTGACACGCATATCAGACTACAGGCACCACCCGTCTGATGTGATCACAGGCTACATACAGGGGGCACTCACTGCTTACTGGATGGTCAGTATTATAAGACATATAATCTTTTTCACGCACTTGGCATGTTTCAGCGGAAACTTCTGCCTTCCTCGGAAGTGTTAGTTCGTTGTCGGTGTGACGCGTCATAAGTGATGCAAAACAGAACATGACAGATGAAGGACAACAAATTAAGAAACAACTGGGGGAGACAAGACAAGACAGACACAAGCTAGGATAACAGTTAAACTTTTTGTGTGTGTGTGTGTGTGTGTGTGTGTGTGTGTGTGTGTATGCCTATGTATGAGTGCTTGTTTTAGGGAGATATATAAAACAGATGACATTTGAAAATAAAAAAAACTAACTAATAAAATTAAAAAGAATGATGCAACAGAACAAAGGGACAAAGCAAAAACTAAATAAATAATAGTAACAAAGAAAAAAAAAATATATATGCATAAACATAAATATACATATAGCTATAACTCTTTGTTTTTGTTTTTCTCTTAAATGTCCCTCTTTTTTTTTTTTTTGACACATCATATTTTTTAACAGGATGGTCACTCTTGTCAAAAAAATTGACAGGAGGGTCACGCCTCCATATCACTAGCTGATATGACGCATTACACATACTGCCAAGTGACACTTCTGATGAAGGCGGAAGTTTCCGCCGAAACATGTCAGGGTACGTGAAAAAGATGATAGGTCATTATTATTGATCTGCTTGCATTATTTCATGTCAAAATGTCAACATTTAAAGGTTGGTTCATGTGTTTGTGTGTATCCCAGGCCTTCCACATCTCATCCATGTTTAAAAGCCCAAGTTCGGATCTGTCTCCAACTGAGACCCCAGACAGTCCCCTGTCCCCCCACCACACTGTCTGCTAGACCTCTGACCACCACACCTACATGGGCTGACAACATCCACCTGCTCCTTGTCTGGTTTGGAACGACAGGAGATTTGAAGTATATGAAATAATTTCCTGTGAAGTTAAACCTCATACCTCAGCGTTCAGACAGACAGAGAGAGAAAGAGAGAGATTTTAAATGTGACTCAGAGGAGGAAATGTTGTGACCTTGGAGAAGTGAAGCTGTAGGGGGCCATGTGAGGTGTGTAGCCCGAGCTCTTAACCCCCTTGGATTGACCACAGCCTCATATGTGACACTTACGTGAGAGGAAAGATGACTGAATCCTGAGAGCACCAACCACTACACCCCACCACTCTAAAGTACAAGACCTGTAAATATATACAGAATTTGTACAGCTTGAATGATACTGTAAAAGCACTTTTATGTTAGTATAAATAACCACTTTGATTTGGTAGATATATGAAATGTATTTTATACAAAAATGTGATATAATCTGTAGTTGTGTCTCTTTTTTTTCATAAACCCTGTGAATGTAAAAGTTGTGAAGGAAAGCACAAAATAGTGAAAATGCAACTGTTGTCCCTGTTGTGATGTAGCATTTACATTGTGTAGATATGCATCAGTCCTTCTGTTTGCAAAGTGTTGCAAAAGTAGTTTCAGTAAGGTATGAATGACTAAGTGTCTAGACCACAGATTTAATCCATGTGTTTCAGAAGTAGGGATATTTATCTGATCTTTTTTTATTTCTAATGTACAGTATGTCTCTAGACCTCTTGCCAGAGAGCAGACAGTTATGGTAATAAATGTACCCTTTTTTTAAGCCTTTGACTCTTTTACATTTTGACATATTGCATCTCAGAATAATTATCAAGGCTTTTCAGTAGTTGATCACTGCACAGTCTGAGCTTCAAAACATGCTTTTTGAAAGACCTGCATGGCAACCTTTGAGCATACACTTTCACATTAAGTAATTGACCCATGACCTTTTTAAATAAATAAGGCAAAAAATGTTAACAAACAGTCACGCAGTTACAGAGAAACATAAGAAATAACTTTTATACAGTATGTGCTCCATGATGAATGTTGTGTTATTCTGATGAAAAAATAATCCACGGGCTCTTGTTTTGGTCTCTTAACCAATGTCTGTATTATATACAGTATGTGCTGAATTAGAACCAAGTAGCAAACAACTGTGCAGTAGTAGGCTGCAGCTACACGCAACCATAGAACTTAAACACCTGGGGCTCTATTTTTGTGCCTCGCCGGAGACGTGCCGCAGGCGCAGCGTAAGTCAGGTCCGCCGCGCCAACAGGGCGTTCCCAAGCACATTTTGGTTTTTTTTTTTTTTTTTGGTGAGTGGTGCAGCCCGGCATAAGTATCCCCCCTCCCTAACACCGGTCTACCAAAATACTACTAGACCAGCTGTGCTCCGCCTGCGCTGAAAGCTGACCAGGTTTGAATTGGCGAGCTTTCAGCGCACTTTACTCGCCACTGGCGAGCACGAAAATGTCACTGCGCCAGCTGATTCTGTCGACACCTCCCCCTGCCACACCACCACGCCCAGCTTGGCAGATCTCGGTCTCGATTAGGAGTCAAAGCGGCAAGAAGACATTAACCAGATCCATGCCAACACCCTCGACCTGCTTACCCTAAAAGAGAGGGAGGTAACCAAGCTTCAGGAAGAACTGAAGCAAAAAGATTACCTCCTCTTGAGAGCAGCTGAAATGGAGCAGGACAGAGCAAAGGCCCACAAGAACACCATGGACCTGCTGGCCGAAAGTCAGAAGGAGATGTTAAAGCTCCAAGAAGAGCTAAACAAAAAGGATGACCTGCTCATCAGAGCAAGTAAAGATGAGCAGGACAGAGTGAAGGAGTATGAAAAAACACTGGACCTGCTGGCCTAAAGAGAGGCCAGTATAACTGAGCTCCAAAAGCAGCTGAAAGTGAGGAAGGACCTTCTAGCAACAGCTGACAAAAAGGACAAGGACATCAGCTAGGCCTATGAAGTACAACTGGCCCAAAAAACGTCTGAGGTGAGCAGGCTCCAGGGAGAACTCAACTTTATGGTGGAGCTCCAGCATAAAGTTGTAAAACAAAGAAGGGAGAGAACCAGAGCTCACATCGACACCCTGGACCTGCTCAACAAGAAAGACATGGAGCTGAAGAGAAATGAGGAGTACTGGAGGAGAAAGTTTGAAGATCTGCAGAAATCTCTTTGCAGCCAGACCAACAAACAAGTTTGTGGTTTTTATGTAAATGTAAAATTTTGTCTGGATCCTGGCCTCACGTGTTAGGCTACGAGGAAGTAGCCTAATTTTGCCAGACCAAATTTTGCAACGTATACAAGAAGACTTAACCGCCACCAAGAAGCTGACAAAACTAAATTACTTGGGAATTTTCACGAAATAAAACTCTTTTCAAAGAGAGCTTGAATGGCATATGCTTGTGACGCTTATGGTTGACACTCCAACAAACAAAACACACAGAGAGATCCACTCTCAACCACAAAAGTAGGGTAATGAGTCAGCAGAGGCAACTGGAGCCAGAGAGTTTATATGTAAGCTCCCACACCTGCTCCCCATCCGGCTCACACACACCTGATTCTGCTCTGTACTGACTCCCTGACCAAACTTAGACTACGTTTACATGTGCCCCACTATTTTCATAAATGGGCATTTCACCCTCTCCGTTTACAAAAAAAAAAAAAATGTGTGCGCACCACTACTTTTTCGTTTACAATTACCCGTGTACACTCACTGGCCACTTTATTAGGTACACCTGTCCAACTGCTCGTTAACACTTAATTTCTAATCAGCCAATCACATGGCGGCAACTTAGTGCATTTAGGCATGTAGACATGGTCAAGACAATCTCCTGCAGTTCAAACCGAGCATCAGTATGGGGAAGAAAGGTGATTTGAGTGACTTTGAACGTGGCATGGTTGTTGGTGCCAGAAGGGCTGGTCTGAGTATTTCAGAAACTGCTGATCTACTGGGATTTTCACGCACAACCATCTCTAGGGTTTACAGAGAATGGTCCGAAAAAGAAAAAATATCCAGTGAGCGGCAGTTCTGTGGGCGGAAATGCCTTGTTGATGCCAGAGGTCAGAGGAAAATGGCCAGACTGGTTCGAGCTGATAGAAAGGCAACAGTGACTCAAATAACCACCCGTTACAACCAAGGTAGGCAGAAGAGCATCTCTGAATGCACAGTACGTTGAACTTTGAGGCAGATGGGCTACAGCAGCAGATGACCACGCGGGGTGCCACTCCTTTCAGCTAAGAACAGGAAACTGAGGCTACAATTTGCACAAGCTCATCGAAATTGGACAATAGAAGATTGGAAAAACGTTGCCTGGTCTGATGAGTCTCGATTTCTGCTGCGACATTCGGATGGTAGGGTCAGAATTTGGCGTCAACAACATGAAAGCATGGATCCATCCTGCCTTGTATCAACGGTTCAGGCTGGTGGTGGTGGTGTCATGGTGTGGGGAATATTTTCTTGGCACTCTTTGGGCCCCTTGGTACCAATTGAGCATCGTTGCAACGCCACAGCCTACCTGAGTATTGTTGCTGACCATGTCCATCCCTTTATGACCACAATGTACCCAACTTCTGATGGCTACTTTCAGCAGGATAATGCGCCATGTCATAAAGCTGGAATCATCTCAGACTGGTTTCTTGAACATGACAATGAGTTCACTGTACTCAAATGGCCTCCACAGTCACCAGATCTCAATCCGATAGAGCATCTTTGGGATGTGGTGGAACGGGAGATTCGCATCATGGATGTGCAGCCGACAAATCTGCGGCAACTGTGTGATGCCATCATGTCAATATGGACCAAGCTCTCTGAGGAATGCTTCCAGCACCTTGTTGAATCTATGCCACGAAGAATTGAGGCAGTTCTGAAGGCAAAAGGGGGTCCAACCCGTTACTAGCATGGTGTACCTAATAAAGTGGCCGGTGAGTGTATATGTGCTGTCTGAAAGCAGCAATGCCCGCAACATCCGGAAATTTTCATGCCACTCCTTTTGCAAAACAGCTGCATTTTCAAAGTTCTCCCACCAGATAGCAGTGCCCTCAGGTCAGACCCAAAACCAGAGAGGCTGGCGGCGACGCAGACGCACTCTTTGTGTTGGATGGAGAAGTTGCTGCAACATTGCTGACCTTTGAGGACTCAGTCGTCTTTGTTCCTCCATATAGTACAGCACTTGTATTTGCAAATGCAAACAAATACAAAGGGATTTGTATTTGTACATTCTGCATGCATCCGTGATCACTGTAGATTGTAAACAATGTCGCATTTAACCCAGTTTCTGGTGCACAATCTGCTGTCAGTTACCCAAATCTCAGTTTTTCTCAGTTTACATGCAAACAGAGTTTTCCAAAATCTCCACTCTAGCCACATCATTTAAGAAGCATCATTTATCATCTTCAGGGGAAAATTCTTCGTTTGCTTTTAAACGAAGGGTGCAAACGATGGTTCATGTCACCGTTTTAAAAAATAATCAGGTACGTATAATCGGGCCTCAGTGAGGGTGCCAAAATTAGTTAACATCACATTACATCCTTAGGTAAAGAGATGCTAAAAGTTTTTGAAAACAGGTTTTCAAGAACGTCAACACTATTTTTGTTGTCTGTTCGATGTTATTGCATGTTTGAAAGGAAACCTAGCTTTTCTTTTTCAATACACCATAGTGGAGGGGTCAATAGAACACAATCGATAGTCTTTACTTGCTCTTCTAACATGTATCATGTTGCTGACATTGCTGTTTGTGCAATGTTATGTGGACAGGGAAAAATTCATCACTCTCCTGGTGTGGAAAGGTTTTCTTAAAAAAAAAAAGAAAGAAAGAAAGAAAAGAGAGAAATCTGGTTTTGAACAGTTTTGTATATGTTTGGACATAGCCTCAGTTTCTAGCACCCACTGTATTTGCAGTAAAGGTGAGCAAGGGAGAGGACTACAACATTTAAGACATCTTTTTTAAAATTATATTTGCAATAAATTATTTGAATAATTTATTCAGTTTCAGACAGGGGCTGACATATGTTCCCCTGATTATGTGTCACCTTGCTCAGCAGCAGTTCCTGGCCAAAGAGGCACCACAGAATGTGATTTTTGCTGTCCAGTCCAAGATTAAAGTGTAAGTGAAAGCCTGAGCAGTGCAACATGTTAGTGGAAGAACCATTGAGGAGAAGACAGAAACAAAACCAAAAATTCAGGGGCAGTACCAGAGTTCATGAACACAGGTGTTTTCTGTGAACTGATTGCCCTCTTTTTCTCTCTGCAGTAGCAGGCTGGACTGGAATTGACACTCAAGCACTGAGGGAGAGCACAGCAGGGAAGCTGTACTCTCAGCTGAGGAGGCCTGGACATTACTGCAGCATATCTTATGTTAAGAAGACCTCCTCAGCTGGGCAAGTGGGGAGAGCTTAGTTCATAGTGCATAACACAGCACTTTAAATCACTGATAAACTAAAACTCATTGACAGGGTTAGTCAGAAAATAAATGAAGGGAATGTGTTTTAGAGACGATAAGTTAGTCAAGGTTCAAAAGTAGTGAATAAGCAGTCCTCCTTGTTATTCTTATTTATGATAGGGACTCAACACAAACTCATGTAACTTATGTAACAGGAACACAACTGTTCTTTTTTGGAAACTCAGACTCAACTGGGACAGATCACTGATGATCAGTCTGAGTTGAAACAAGTTGGACCTGGGGCCTGTTCTACGAAGCAGGATTACTGCTTAGCGAGGTAACTTCGAGGGTGAGTTCGGGGTTTCCTGTTCTACGACACAGGTTCACTTCTTAGCGAGGCGAGTCTCCATGGCAATGTACGCTGAACGGCTAACCTGCTCCGGGGCAGGTTAGGTTCCAGATTGAACTCACAGAGTATAAAAACCCCGCCCACTGACCAATGAGCTCTCTCGAAAAATGGCTTGTCCGTTCTTGAAGGATCCTATAGACCTCGGTGCTCGCGTTGACCGAGGAGCACTCCGGCGCGCGAGAGTTATCAGGGACCGCACGGACCAACTTACTTTTCCGGATGACCACCTTTATGAAAGGCTCATATGGCCGACATATCACACAAAAATGTAAACACGATAGGAATGAACAAATGAATGAATTCATCTTGGAAATGAATTAGACATGTCTGGTGCGTGTTAAAAGCACATGTTGAACAGTGCTATTTCAGGGTCATAATGGCATCAAAGATTTTTTGCGCACTATACTTACGCATTCAGACTGTCGGCAATTTTCTGCCAGCATTCCCTCCGTGCTTTTGCAGCGGCGACAGTGTTGCTTTTAAGGTTTATGATAGCTTTGAATTCCTCATACTTTCTCATGATCTTCTCCTGCTCCTCGTTTGTAAAGTACGCTGTCCTTCGCTCTCAAGCCTGCTCTGACGCTCCAGACTGATCCATGTTCGCGATTGGTCAGATGCGGCGGGCTCCGCCTTACATGTGTGCATGTGCTCGTAGAAAAGCCGGATCCACTTACGAGGTTGATAATCAGGGTCGTAAGACCGTTTAGCGAGACTGCTGGCTACCTCGCTAGGTCGAACTTGCTTCGTAGAATAGGCCCCTGCAGTCGGTGACTCAGCTACAACAAAAATACTGGCACAGGTACATATGAGTTGCGTAAATAAAAAGGGTGTTAATCAGTACTTTAACATACACAGTTAAGTCAAGCTATGGTTAAATCTCAATTAGACCACTTAACTGGACTGCTGTCTTTGTCCCAGTGAACAAGCAGTATGCAAAATTTAAAATATTGACAGAGGCATGTCACCATGAATTGGTGGCAACATGCTGACATCCAGTTTGTTACGACTGTGATTCCCATTTGACCCATTATGTACCAAAGCATTTAACAAAATTCCTCAGCAAGTGGCTAATGGTGAAAACACCATCACTTTAACAGCCCTTCTTTAACAGTTTTTTTTAATGTCCTTTCTTTGTTTGTGGAGGTTTTGCTTACAAACCAGCTTCCTAGAAACCCATTCATTGTTTTCAACTTGTGGATCTAACCCTGGTCCACAAACTCTGGAGAAGTTTAAAGGGATATTCCGGTGTACAAGTTACGGGGGGGTTGCCTAACACCGAGTTAGACGAGTCAATCAGTGAGTGCAGCACAAATTTATGATTATTGCTTCATGGAAACGCAATAAGACCGAGACGCTAAAGCAGAAGAACTACCAACTTGTCAGGGCTCCCCCCACAAACAAGTGGCTGCTGGAGGAGAGAGGGTGGGTTGTGTTTGTTCCCTTTGCTAAAGGAATCAGGCAGAGCTAAAAAGATGTTTGGTGGCTAGTACTATGACTGGGACCCTATATGTACTGTTGATGAAGTTAGGTGCTGTTCTGAGCATTATTTGTGGCTATAGAGTGGCTTTTTGGTTGAGGTTTGCACGTGGATCCATAGACCTCTGTGTATTGCTATCGTGTGGTTGTTGCTAAAGTTGGTATAACTAGAGAAGCAAGCAGTCGGCAACAATAATCTCTCAAGGGAGTGTCTAACTCAATGTTACGGTGTGTTTGACCATGACTTTAATTTACACCAGAATAACACTTATAGCCAGTTTCTCTCCACTAGAAGAGTGCTCTTGACTGAAAAAACTCGATCAGCAATCGTAGCATCTAGGCATGTTAGTCTGACTATAGGAAACTGGATATGGTGTGATAGCAGTCGGGTTCACATGTATTTGTAAAGTCTCGTTTCAGTTAGACTAAGGCAATAAAACAACAAAAACGTAAATGTACTTAATGTTGGCTGCTAGTTCGAGTGAATTACAGTACAGTAGTTAGATGTCAGCTACTAGCCAAGTTGCAATTGTTTTAGTACACCCCTCTCCCTGTTCATCCACACAAAAAGAAAGACAGGTTCGTTAATTTCACGTTTACTTGAACTTCAATAGCAATACAAGACAATCAGAACACTTGAGGTCGATATGTACAAGGGTCTCAGGGGGCTGCAGAAAAGTTTTGAGGTTTTATATGATCTCTGGCTCTGGAGTTCAAAAGTTTTGCTGCTGTGACAAACTCCACTGCAACCAGATCCATCTCTGACTGTTTGTGGCAGGTGGAGGTACGGTGGAGGAGGCGGAGCTTTTGGTCTTGATGTGAAAATGGGATTGGTCAAGAGTTCAAAATCAGTCTGAGGGGATGTGTGTAAGAGGCCCCCTGTTTGATGTTGATAAAATGCTTCACTGTGATACATTAATTATACAAGAATGATGTATATACAGGCACACGCGCTCACACACACGCACATGCTCATCAAGCTCCCACACATACACACTCTCAAGCACGCTCACGCACTCTTCAGCTCTTTCCTCCTACAGTATGTAGCCTGGTAAAAGCCACTAGAAAGTCATGCACATGTTCTTTGAAAGGATTTTTTGGCAACACACAAGTGCTTCTTTGACACACTGTTTGTTTGCTACAGGGGGGGACGACACCCGGCCGATCAACCAATAGAAACGCAGACAATGAAAGGGGGACAAAAAAAACAAGGAAAAAGCACCAATGAGCTGGGAAGACACATCAGGGTTTAAGGACCGAGAGAGAGAGAGAGAAAGAGAGAGAGAAGGGAGGAGGAAGAGTTAGAAATGGATCACAGTCGTAGAAAAGTAACAAAACATGACAAGGGGAAAGTCTCGTGGTGATCAGGAGATAGAAGCAGGAAGGAGCAATCAATGTCATCACTGTAACCTTCATCATCGTAACCTTCATCATCATCATCATCATCATCATCGTTATCACTGTTTCCATCAGTTTGATCTTCATTGTTTGCTGTTGTTGCCGCCATCTTCCTCCTCCTGCCTGGTTTCTATCCCCCGATCACCACCGCCCTAGTCACAGGCTCGTCACCCGCTGCATCTGTCCGTCCTCTCCCTCAGAGGTGGGCTCTGCTGTGTATGCCGCCTCCCCGTTGGTTGCTAGTGGTGGCGGCTGGTAAAAGGTTTGCAGGTGATTGGGCCGCGGGCCAAGAGGGGGCCGTCCCAGGCTGTAGGGGAGCTCCAGAGCGGGCCGCTGAGGTTGACCAGTGGGGCTGATCTCCTCAGGACCTTCAGGGCTGCTGTCGGGGTACGAGAGTGTGGGGGGGGAGGTGCGGGTGTAGAAGCGAGGAGGGGAGCTGCTCCGACTGTACACCTGTGGAGAGTGGCGGGAGTACAGGTTGTTGGGAGGTGAGTTAGAGTCTCGTGGAGCAAATATGTTTGTCGGCGGAGAGCTTCTGGGGAAGATACTAAGTGGCGGCGAGCGGCGGTCTCCAGGATAAAGCGCAGATGGGTTTGATTCCCGGGCGTAGATTGGGGAGGAGTCAGGGTCCAGGTCGAGGTCAGGAGTCAAAGGCAGAGTGAAGCCATCAGAATCCTCTCGCTCACCATGGTAACGCAGAGAGCCTCTTTTCCTGGCATCCAGACCTCCATCTTTGCTCTCAAACAGGAAAGGCTCATCTCTGTCTACATCCACCCCTCCTCTCCACACATCTAAAGCTCTATCCTTCTGTTTCTCATTCTCACGTTCAATCCCTGCTCTCCACCCTTCTCTGTCCTTCAAAAATATCGATTCATCTTTCTCCCTCTCCATTCCACCTCTCCATCCCTCCATCCCAAAATCTTTCTTCTGAGTAATAAATGTCTCTTCCTGCTCCGCCTCTGCTCCTCCCCGCCACACCTCAATCCTCCCACCTCTCTTCTCTAACACATGAGACTCCTCCCTTCCTCTCTCCATGCCTCCCCTCCACTCGTCCATCTCTCCATCTCTTTTCTGAGAGGTGAAAGACTCATCCCTTCCTCTCTCGCTTCCTGACCTCCAGTCGTCCATCATTCCGTCTCTTTTCAGGAGAAATGTCTCGTCTTTTTCTCTGTCCTGTCCTCTCCATGACTCCACATTGGCCTCCCTCTGCTTCATCAGTAGTGGCTCCTCTAGAGCCTTGTAGAGGGGCTCTGACTCCTGTGGAGGAGGAGGAGGAGGAGGTGGGAGAGGCCTGTCACGGTAACGGTCCCTCTCTCTCTCCCTGTCCCTCTCTCTGTCTCTGTCTGTCCCTCCGCTTGGCTCCACTGTGCTGCGGTGGCGGGACAGGGTACCGGGGGTCCGGCTGAGGGTGGAGTAGGGCCGGGCCTGAACATCAGGGGGACGTGCCTGCTGCCGGTCCTGCAGCCCACGGCGGCCCAGAGTGCCTTGCAGCTGTGATCTGTCACTGTCCTTGAGCAGCTCATGGGATTCCGAATCCCCTCGCTGGTGTGACCAGCCGTCTTGTAAACGTGGCTGTGTTGTAAGATCCGGTCCTCGTGCTGTGGAATGTGTCTCACTGTCCGGTGTATGGTGCCTCGGTGGTGCCCAGCCCTCTTGTGCATTGTGGCGAGTGTTTGGCTGAATAGTGGCAGCCCAGCCTTCCTGCTGAGGTGGTGGCTGTGCGTGTCGAGTTAAAGTGGCGGTGTGAGTAAGAGCTGCCCTGTCATGGTGGTGAGGCCTTGCTAGACTTCCATAGCGTTCAGGAGGGACTGGCATTGGGACAGAGGGCCGCAGGTTGCTCTGTACCAGCTCTGAGATGATCATCTTTTCCAGCGCCGCAGCATCTGATAGGTTTCGACGCATCCCTGTGCCGCCGCCCAGATCTGAGGCCCCAGGGGGAGTAAGGAGGGCAGGGGAGATATCATCCCCACCCTCTCTCAGGAGGTCTGTGCTGCCCACCACTCCAGCTCGAGACCCCGGTGTGGTTCCCAATCCATGAAGGGTGAAGGTGTTGGGGGTGTAGCCTCCGTTGAGACACACACTGTCTAAGCCGCAGGACTCCTGGCTCTGGGACACACCGCCCTCTGCAGGAGGAAACAAGAAGTGTCAATCACTGAGCAATGACACCATCAATATACCAAGAAAAAATAGAAGAGGACGTATGAATGGATGTGAGAAGTGCAGGGTTCATGTGCTGTCTGTTAGTGTAGCTGTACTCAGAACAATTTATAAAGTATCTTTGATGAAATGTTTGTACATGTAGCCACATGAGAGGGATGTATGTTATGTCTTCATGGTCCATGAATCATACTGTGTGCACGTGTGGCACAGAGAGTCTATGAACTGCACAAGGAAAGGGCGCTCAATGATTTAAGTGAGCACAACAAAAGAGAGCTCGTACTCTTTCTGAAGGTTCCTACTGGTCCACGTTGAGACAGAGAGACAGAGAAGCATAGGGTCAAAAACATGTAGAGGACAAACAATTAAAGGTAACATATATAAATAATCAAATAAACAAAGACATAAAAACACACATAAACACTTGTGACAGACTAATATTATTACTACTACTATTGCCAATGAGGGAGACTTTTCAATATGGACTAACAAACTGTACATTTAGGTCAGAAAAAAAAGTTGAAATATTTGTCATTATGTTGTATCAAAACAGGATTTGTAAAACGTGTTTTTCATATGACTATTTTTAAAGACCCACTCCGATGAAAATCGTGTTTGTCTTGTCTACATGCTCATATGGCATTTTTCTGATGCTACAGGACAGTGTGGAATTGCATTTCTGAGTATTTCTTGTTCGAATTGCTCTGAATCCCTGGGAGACTCAAACGGCAGGTTCAGATGCAGTGAGATTTCCTACGTCACAAATCCAAGCTCCGCCCCCTGGAGTCCTGCTATGCAGGCCACACTTGCAAAAGTAGAGAGGATGATTGTGAAACAGGCATGTGCATTACCAGATTACAATGCTCGTAAGAAAGCTAATTATGATATTAACTTTTATCATGTCCCCAAAGACATTAGTGTCTGAGAGCTAAATAGCTCCTATGTTACCTGCTTCTTCAACTACACGGGCAATGTTAGGCTACAAGCTAGCGTGAAGAGGAGTGTGCAGAGCAGCGCTGTCTCCGCCCACGACTCAGAGGCGACTCAGAAGCCCTCGAAAATGACGAGATTTTGGCTAAAAACTTTATAATCGCAACTTAAAGACAACCAATAACACTTTGAGCAGTAAAAAAAAAACATTGGAGTGGGACTTTAAGCTCTCCTATGTAGATGTCAGATTTGCTTTAATAATCTGTCACATAAAGCCAAAACACTACATGAAGTGGACAGAGTAAAGAATATCTGAGTACAGAGAAAACACACAAAAAGGACAGTAAGAAACAGTAAAAAATAACAAAAAGGGGGACATTAAACTGTGTCATAAAAAAAACGATTAACAAGAAAGTAGACACAAAGCTAAATATGAAGTACCTGTGGCACTGAAGGGCTGGTTGTATCCCTGTGCCAACATGGTGTCATAAGGAGATGCTCCAGTATGAGTCTGCAACACTGGGTTTGTGAGGAAGTGGTTCCCTAAAGGAGCTGAGGGTGGAGCGTAGGAGAGATTAAAACACTTAAAACACTCTTGAACGACAGTGGGGCAGACAGAGATTTAAAAGAAAAACAGTTTTTTTTTACCACGGTTAAGAGTGGGAGTGTTGTTAACGTCTGCAGCGATGAAAGAAGACTCAGTCTGCCTGCGAACAGTGTCGTTCCACATCCTCCTGATACGACTCTGGAGCAGAAATAATCCATGCAAGGTCAAGCTGACTCAGACACAGAGAGAGTGAGAAAAAAACATCTACAGACAGAGATAAAGAATTTTAAAATGTACCTGTCTGTTAGCTGTTGCTCTCCGACTCTGGCTGCTGGTGTAGCGGCTGTTTGAGCGCAGAGCAGCACCCTTCACCGAGTCAGGAGAGCTGGAGGAAGAAGTGACGCAGCACTGCGAGAGACGCAGGCAGCGACCATAATCCTTCTGACCCTACAAGACGCATTTGAAAAGATGTTTTAATCTCACTGACAGATTTTGCTGTTACATTACGATGCATGCAATCGAATAAATCATAAGCTGTCAGATGCCTGTGATGGCATGAATGTCCTTTGCAGTTGTTGGTGATAAATGACCTTAAGTTGAGACATTTTTGGTGTGCTACGTTGATTTCACTCTGATTACAGAGTTTAGGAGGAAGAAACACACTCCTAGATATGTCTGCATTGTTCATAATATCCAAAAGAAGAGCACCCACTTATCTGTTTCTATTAAGTCTCAGCTTCACTATGAATGGGTGTTACTGTCAGCTTAAGATTTTATTATTTCATATCCTTTCAAATGTTGTATGCCTTTTATATACACCAGGCATGTTTATATTGACTATAGATTTCGGTTATCTATGTATGGACATGTTGCAGTTCAAGGTCTGTTTATGGAGATAGAATAAACTGTAATCAAATTACTGTGACATATGAACTCTGACCTTTCTGGCAAGCGTGCAGTGCAGGATGGTGATGAGGAGGGCCTGGGCTGTGTTGAGGGAGGAAAAGAGGTAGGCCAGGAGGAGAGATGGAGCAGACAGGAACATGAGGCCGGAGGACCATGTAACGCTCTGCAGGAAAAGCAGAGTCAGGGAGCCCACCGCCCACGCCCTGTAGACAAACAAAGAGGGCAGACACAAGGTCGAAGTGAATTATTTGAACTCTGACTGAACTAAAAGAGCGTGGGTTTATAAAACCTCTATACTTGCAAATGCCCAGCACAAATCCTCCATCTGTCCTCTTCAGCTAAGTGCCGTAACCACAAACCATCCAGAAATTTCAACAAAAACTAAAAAAAACTTGGATAAACCTGCAATCTGACAAACTTTTCTGTGCAACCACTTTATTGAAATTGCTTGACTTCAGTAATTCACACCCTAAATCTGTTTTCCCATCACTGTGTGCGGTCCGTCTGCTGTGCTTTTGATTCATACAGCATTTTTAAGGTTTGACCTTTACTCGCTCAAAAAACTGCAAACTCTACATAGTTCATGCTGCTGTCAAGTCTGCTGCAGCGCATTTTATTTTGGCCTTTCAAAGGCTTGAAAGTTTAAAATGCTGCTGATCAACAAAATACTGGAGCTTTACTAGAATAAAAAAGACCACATCACATTGTTTTATGACATTTACACTCTTTACTCAAGTCAGCTAGGATAAGTTTTGAATATTTTAAGTGATTTTAAATCTCTTGTGGGTCTAGATTTATCATATGACAGCCTGGCTGAGATTCAAGAAACAAACCCCTTTAGTTGTGTTTAAAAGTTAAAAAAGTCAACGTTAAGAAATAGCTTAAAAATGTAACAAGCTAATCAGAAAAGATTGACAGAGACATAATAAACTCTTCATTTAATCACCACAACAGATCAGCATACTTACCTCAGGTTGTCATGGCGACTGGAGTCTGGCTTTAACGCAGCAGTGCTGTGCATCTTATGTAAGGTCATCACTAAGACAACCAGGTTCATCTGAGGCCAAAAATAACAAACAGCAAACACTAATTAACATCTTTGAATTCATCACATGCTGTTACTACACAATGATGATTAGAAGAGTAAGAAAAGCAGTGCGACAAAGTAAACACTTACCGTAATGATGGCAGCGACAGGGCCTAGAAAACTCCAGATGAAGTAATTGTCTGTCCGTAGCCAGCATCTATACACCCACATACACATATAAAGAAGCACACACCAATCACAGTAAATAAAAAAAAAATAGACTTTGAAGTAATCATCAGTCTGCTTTGACACAACAGAGTTCAAATGCTGAGAGCAGCACACACATCAGTTTATTAACTTACGCTGATTTGGAGCCGTAGCCTCTGAAGTCTATGGCTGCAGACACCGCCACCACCAGCCCGGGGATGGAGTACCCACACAGATAGAAATACTTCCTCCTGGAGTTGCGTCCTTCAAACACCTCCCTCTGCAGTAGGTAGAGCTCCACACCCTCCAGACACAACCAGCAGAAGGCCGAAAGCAGAGAGAAGTGCAGCAGGCCGGCGATGATGGAGCACACGACCTGATTATTCAGAGAGAGGAGGAGGATGTAAAAAATGCTTTTTCTCCAAAACTACAGGGGCAGTTATTTTGACTTTTCAAAGTGTTTCAAATATTACCTTATAAAAACCATTTACTGAATTTACTGTAATCTATTCTGACTTTGCCTATTAGAATTGTAAAGCTCAAAAGCTTTTGAGTACTTTGCTTGAAATTGCTGCACCTGTAATATGTCAGACTCATTAGAAACAGACTATCATTTTAGTCTGTCCTTTTCTCTTTTATCTTCAGGACACTCATCACTGCTGTAGAGCACATTTCAAACATTTTCTTTAGCTAAGTTAAAACAGAGGGGTTTATTGTTCACCAAAACAGCTTCAGACCTTAAACTACTTAAGCTCTCTCAAGGAAAATACATTTATTGTGATTTTAGATCTGAGTATTATTTCATCAAAGTTTTACTGCACATCAATGCAATTATGCAATAACTACATTTGATCTCTCTCTCTCTCTCTCTCTCTCTCTCTCTCTCTCTCTCTCTCTCTCTCTCTTTTTAATTCACATTTTTTACTAATTTTGCTGTGACTGTCTATGCTCATTAAGGGTTAAATGTATTTTGTACATGTCCATCAATAGTTTATTATAAAATTAACAAATATTAGTAATATTTCTGTGAATTTTTGTATCTTAAAATTGGGTAAAAATTCAATATAGATTAGATTTTTTTAAACCAAGAAACTACGTCCTGTTTAGGGGGTTTGAACGAGGTCAATCAACGACATAAAGAATCTCAGGGCAGTTTAGAATACTCAGAAAGTGTATTACACATAACTCAACATTTCCTCGCACTCAGCCTCTCCTCTTGTCTGAATATGATTGCATTTCACATCTTATATAAGATCACTCACTGTGTACTGAGTCTTGTTCGCTCCAACTAGAAATAGCAGCTCTGTAATCAGCAGGTTGGCCCACAGGTTACAGTGGATGGTGCTATGGTCAGTGTGCCACGGCGCCCCCTGGCAGCATAGGGTGGTAAGACAGGTGGCCAAACACACCAGAGCCACAGAGATGCCCACCCAGGAAACCACATAGACAAGAAGCTCCTCCACACCCACACCAAACTGAGGAGGACAGACAGAAGAGAAAGAGCAGAAAACAGATCACCATTTAATCTGATTATCGGAGAGGATGAAAGTTAAACCATGCGGTGATGATTTTGCACTGCTTGTGTGTCGTTCCCTCTGGTTGTGTATATCAGTGTGTTACATAACATCCATTCAAACGACTTAAATCACACCGCACAAAGAGAACATCTTGCACTGAGAACCTTAATTAAATTTCATGGCAGGACTAAACAGCCTGCAGCATTTATCAATCCGTCTCATTTACAGCGTATAATCATCACCCCTCCACGGCTGACTTTTAAACAACAGTGTTTTTAGAGCACAGAGGGGGAGGGGGGAGCCGAACTAGGCTACAGAAAACGGGTGCATAAGGATGGAGTCAGGACGCCTTTGCGTAACAGCAAAGACTTGATCTTATCACATCATACATGTAGAGGAAAATAAAGTACAGCTATCGGCAACGCTGTATGAATACTAATTCAGTATTTCCAAGATTCAATATACTAAAAGCTAATATGGTTACACAGTATTCCTGAAGCCTGATTTTGTAATTCTATATTAAACATAAAAAAAGGAGATCAGTTCACCTGGATATACTTCTAAAAAATGAGGTTGGTCCTTGTTTTTATGTTTAAATGTTCAAATAACGGTCATTCTGTGATTTGTTTTAGTTATTAGAGAGACTTTACATAGACAAAAACTACAAACAGGCTCCGTCTCTGCTCTGTCATCGCAGTGAATTAAAGGCTGATTCATGTTGTTTATGTGGTGTGAGCTACTCACAGCAGGTTGCTGATACGTCATGAGGACAGCATAACTGGACAGGTGGTTGCAGGCGCAGGTAGTGTGTGTGTTGTTTGTGTGTAACAGGCGGCAGCCCTGCGTCGACCACCTGCCGCTCCCAGAAACCCCTGATGCGTTCCAGAAAGAGCAGTTGGGGCCAAAGTGGTTCTCAAGCTGTGGAAACAAACACTTATTAGAGCCAATAAAAGACATAAGCACAAAATTAAGATCAGCCTGAAAGTCAGTTTTACAGCAATAAGCTTTTTTAACAGACCTGAAGATGCCTGAGAGTGAAGATCACAGGCTCAGAGAGGTAAACTCTATTGGATCCTCTGTGTACAGAGGCAGAGATGACATGCGAATTGACCACTAGACTCCTACGCCTGACCTCTGACCCTTGGCTGAGTCCTAGTCCGAGCCGCAGGGTGGAGTTCTGGGTGGTCAGGAAAGAGCCAAGGTTCTTATAGAGAGTGAGGACCAGCTTCACCTGACCTGCAGAGACAACAGAGAGGAGAAAAAGTCAACAAAAATACAAACATATTTGTCACTTTCATAAAATATCTCCTCTGGTTTTCTTTGATTTACTGACCCTGGTTTTTGCACCTTATAGTGCTGAACTTTCAACAATAAGTTTGTTTTGGTGTCACTGACCGTTGTTGCTGTACTGCTGCAGAGCCAGTGCTGATATCTGCAGGATGCTGTCACTGTCATACGAATGTGGGAAAGTCAGGTCCTGAATGTCAGCCTCTGTATTCAGCACATACACCTCCACATCTGCACACACACAAAAGAAGAGACACACACACAAAAACATAATCTTGGCTGCAAATCTTCGAGGAATTCAAGCAACATCACAGAGGATACTAAGATCAGGCACGCACCAACATTTGGCGTCCTGTCACTAAAACGGCCTTCATAGAGATTGTTCGCCAACAAAAATGCTCCTTTTTCCACCGCGTCTAGCAGCAATGATGCTGAACGGGACTGATCGATGCCGCTCATGTCGGCCCAGGACACCAAAGCCTCTGGACCCAACAGGTTATCAACTGTCTGAACCACCGCCTGATGGAGAGAAAGACACAATTTTAATCAATCAATCAATCAATCAATCAATCAATCAATCAATCAATCAATCTATCTATCTATCTATCTATCTATCTATCTATCTATCTATCTATCTAACTTTCTATCTATCTATCTATCTATCTATCTATCTATCTATCTATCTATCTATCTATCTATCTATCTATCTATCTATCTATCAACTGTACCTGTACGTAGGCTCTGCATGTCCGTTCCCTCTTCTGCAGCTGAAAAGCAGAAAAAACATTTTCTTTCAGAGTCATCATCGCTGACATTTCCGCTCTCATTTCCACCAAAGGTCAAGTACACATCAGCATTGAACACAGGGACATTTTACCTTGTTATAATTGCGAGCTGCTGACTCTTTATTGGCCGGTCTCAGGGCCTGGAGCTGAGAGTCCAGGATGTCCAATAGCTGTTCGATCAACCTGACAGACATGCTGACATCACCGGCGTAGATACGCCCACGTGTCAGATTGACCAACTCTCCAGCGATGTTAGCCGCATTCTCCCCACTTCTAATCTGTGGTGAGAGGGGGTGTTTATAATGTCAAATATTCTGACATTTAAAAGAGACCTGGTTGCTGAATTGCTTTAAGGGAATTGTCTGGTAAAGTGTGTGTGTGCGTGTGTAGGCTATGTCTGTGTACAACTAACCTTCTGTGCAATTTGGCTGACCCAGGGAGAGGTGCAGTTGGAAAGGTCAGGTCCTCTGGAGCTCCAGCCTACAGGCGTCTGCATGCACTGATAGGAAGCAATACCTGAAGAGAGAGACAGACAGACAGACAGAGAGGCACCAACAGTTAGGACAGAGGACCACTCATGTTTACTAGGGAATGTGTCTGTTTGTCTCCAATTGTTTTAACTTTTTTCAGTATGTTCATTACAGATTTTCTCAGTTGATTTGGTGCATTTCTCAGGTCACAATGAAAGTTCTCACAACTATTAGTTCAACCTTCACAACATTGAGTCATTTGTGCACATCATTATAGCAGTTTCTAATTCCTCTGAACAAATTGCAAATGCTCTTGGACATGTATCAGTTACCTTCATACAATTCTCTACTGTTTTATAACATTATCATTTGCCTCTGTCATGTCAGTCAAAATGAACTATACTTATGAATGCTGAATAGTCATTCCCTATAAAACTAATAGTCCTCATTTCATTGCTTGAGTCAGTACATACAAAATTGTGGAACTAGTTCTCAAAATCTGTAAGACAATTTACTAAATGTGCGAAGCATTAGTTGTAACCAGTGACAAGCCACTTGTCAAGAGTCACTCAGAGCTGAATCCCATGAATCCTCACTTAGCAAGCATACGTAAACAAGCAGGACATTGTTTGTACCATTTCTACAATTCTGTGACACAAAAATGGAAGGTCAGTGTCATGGAGGAGGGGTGAGAATGCGGGAAGGAAGGGGACTAAACAGGAGCAGAGGAAGAAGAGGTGTAGTACAAATCCCTGATGAAACTGGGGCTACACTTGTGGACCATGTTGTCAATTACAGCCTAACTATGGCTGAGGCTGGTCAACGGGTGCAACCAAAGGTTGGGAGAACCACTGTGAATCTTATGGTTGTTCTAAATAAGTGACTGTGATTTTTTTTTTTTTTCTTCACAATGCTGTAGAATTGTAGAGAGCATATGCAGTAAACATGTGAAACATACACGTGTCTTGTACTCAGTTACCTCACTAAATACAGTAATGTGTAACTTTACTGTAGTTTTCAAATGGCTGTACAGCTAGTGTACAGTGCTGTCTTTAGCATTTTCATGTAGTGTCACCAAGATCTGACTTTTTTGCCCTGGAAAACACAGAGAGAGTGAACTGTCATAATGAAAACATGACAAATCCATTTGACTGTCTTGTTCATAAACAATAGTGTCAGGACTAATTATTTTGATGACACAGACACTTTCATTGACATGAATACTTGCTTTTGAGGAATGAACTATTCATTTTGAGCAAGTGACGTGCTTTTGCAGGTTATCCACTAGGTTTTGCAGTTTGTACTAATTGTTCTGAGAAATGCACTAACTGTTGTGCAAATGTTAATAGTGATGTGAGAAATACACCAAAGGGACTGAGAAAAATTGTAAAATAAAGAGCCCACTGTTTATATCAGTTATAGTTTTTACAGTAAGAGTTTGATATACAGGATGATTTTAGTTTATGTTACACATTCTAAGTTGCATAGAAACGTAAAAAAAAAAAAAAAAAAATCGGGTTAATAACTTGTTTATATGACTGTACCACACATGGATGGCACAACAGCTCCCCCAAAGCCCAAACTTTTAGGCCACATCTGACTTCTCTAAAGTTACAGACCTCCCTCTCTTGCCTCTTTTTCCTGTGTCTGACTCCCTCCCAACAAAGATACATAGAGAGTTGCAAGGAAATTAAGGGAGGGAGAAAAAGAACTTAGGGAAGAGACATAAGACATCCATTCCACTGGGGCATCAGAGAAAGTAAAGACTTTCCTCTGCAGCATCCAGTGAGTGAAATCTGATATGAGGGTATGTCTGTCAGTCCAAAGACTTCCATGAACACTGCTCTTGTCTGTACTTAGTTATTGCTCAGTTAATCCTCTCTTCTCTGAAGAATAATATGGGCCACAGGATGCTACTTCACATGATGGGTCCATAACAACCTTGATTTGGCCCAAGACTGAGAACATCGTTTTAGAAAAATGATGCTGAGTCAGAGATCCCTTTGGGGACAGTAGGCAGAGTTAAAGCCAGCTTCTTCCATTAAAACAGAGTAGAAAATTAAATTACATAAAAAATATATCTTTTTCTGAAACGTCAAACTGCTTTCATAGCAGGCAGTTGTCATGCTGATTTATGTGAAAGTTCTTTTTTAAAAAGTTACATTTTAACACTACGTTTGATATAAAAAAAAAAAGAGGGAATGCAGTGCTATGATTGACAGCTCTTTTGATGAATGCAGGCTCCTGCAGCAGTTTTTAGCAGGGTTGAGGAGAAACAGCAAGAGGAAAAATAACAAATACTGATAGGAGAGTCATTGACCTTTCCATAACCGCGAGTGACTGCCATAAATCAACAGGAATCCGTTCAGCTGTGACCTGTGCTGACCTGAGGGAATAAGACGTCTTATCGGTAAGTTAAATGTGTACTTTGGGTAGCGGACGGGGTGCAACATCAGTCTTATGGCGTCACCAGTGAGACCGTTTTTGCGACAGTCTTGGCTTGAAAAAGGTCACTATACAAGTTCAATCAGAGCCATTTGAGGCCGTATTTTGGCGTCACTTTTTCATAAGAATAAGGAGGCTTGTCATCCATGTGGGGATATGAATTACAGATAGCATTTCTGACATTTTGGCCTCAGTTTTTCAAAATATCAGTGCCCTGTTGTAGAGTAACAGGTGTGAAGTATCAAAAACTCTCAACTTTATTGTTAGCAACAGAAGAAAAGGCCTATACAAAAAATGAGCAGATCGGGTGCAACAGCTATCCGTTTGGAGAGTTTTTTGGCTTGTCTTCTGAGGAAACAACTATATTTTCACAGTATTTAATCACTCTTTCAGTCTTTATGAGTCCTTACCAACCATCTGGGTAGCTGACTTCTTGGCTTCAGCTCGTTTTACTCTCATCAACAACTAATCACTTTCTTTTTCCACCATTTGTTGTTGTGCTTGTTTCATACTTTGTTATTCAGGATTTTTAAACAAAAAAGTAAAACTATAAGATTGATCAACTTGAAGAGCTCCTAGAGCAGAAATCAAGTGATAATCTATGGGGTTTTACATGACTTGTTTGAAAGTTTTTACATAAAATCCTGTTTTGTTTACAAAATATTTTATTAAAATTGGACTAGAGAGTCTGTCACGCACCAGTTCTGCAAATTAATTATAAGCATAAACAGCCACACCAATTTTCAGCTATAAACATGATTAAACATTAGATTATTCCCCAGTGTTATCATCACCTCTGTGCTAAAACCATGTCCAAACCATTCAACATGATTAGAATGAGGCTAAATGCACCGCAGGCTTATCTGCATAATCTGCATAACAGCTTCTGCTCACAGCGAGCACTGGGCTGGAGACAGCTGCACAGCGAGACAGAAAGTTGATGAACCCGGCTGGTATCAGCAGCAAAACCTTTTTTCCCTGCTCTCGCTCATCTGAGGGCAAGTTCATAGAGGGGACACTCGACTACATTTCAAAGGGAAACAAGATACACAGACACACAAACACATATACACACAAAACTTCTCATATGGACTACACCTACCCAGTGACCCTTTGGGACAGGGTCTTTCCACTGTCTCTCCCTTTAAGGTAGGCGGCCACTGCACTCCTCTTGCCACCCGGCCCTCACACCCTCCCACCTGACCAGGGGCTCCAGGAGCCAAAGGGACACGCAAAGGTGGACGTGGGGTCAGAGGGACCATGGCTGTGATGGGCCTCTGGTCAAATGGTCCTCTGTTAATGACGCCAATGGGGTGAGATGCCGAAGGGCGCACTGGTGTCAGGGCGACAGTGGCTGTGTAGGAGCGAACGGTTGTCATCAAGGAGGAGAGAGGACCTGAGGAGAAAAAAACAATTCTCTTATACTTCTACATTACCCTGTCTACTGTCTCCTAACCGTGTCCCAATTTCTGCTATTCTGTCTATCCTGTCTGGTTTTGCTCAGGGTTTCTGCCTCTTTGGAGGTTAATTTCCCTCATCAAGGATTACCATGTGAGCAATTATAGGGCATTAAACGTCTGTGTAATAACTTTCCTCATGCCCATGGTATAAGCAGAACGTTAGACAGGCTAGATAACTTTGAAGTGAACTTTTCATCATCAGTACAGATGCTGTTTTGTGATGTTACATTATGTTATGCTATGTTATGTTATGTTGTGTTGTGTTATTTTATGTCATGACATGAGATGTCATGTGATGTAAAGTTGTGTTGTGTTGGGTTATGGGGTGTAATGTGATGTGATGTTGTGTTGTATTATGTTTTGTTGCATCATGTTATGTTTTGTTGTATTATGTTTTGTTATGTAATGTTATGTTATGTTATGTTTGGTTACGTTACGGTTAAGTATGGTAAAGTATGTTATCTTATATTAAGTTCAGTTATGTTATGTTGTGATGTGTTGTGTTATGTTCTGTTATGTTGTGTGATGTTATGTAATATTGGGTTATGTTACTTAACATTCATTATTTTCTATTGACTTATGTATGTTGGATTGTGTTATGTAAGCTCCCTTGCTTTTTCTGTCACAGCCAGGCAGCACATGTAAACTGTCATTGTATTCATTTAGGAAAAATACATTTTTTTTTTTTTACTCTTGGACTAATAATGGAGCCGTGATATGATAAGACCTAGTTTGTCTATTCAAATAGTCTAAATCTTTTTATCAGAAGTCCTTTTTGGACTTGAATACTGCAGCTGTTCTTTTGTCATGGTTGATGGGTAACAGAGTTTTAATAACCTGATTCTTGAATGAACAGACAGCACTCTTGTTTGTGGTTGATCATATGCTGCAAACCATAGCCCTATAATGTGAGCTTTATGATACTGAAGCTGTGATTTTAAGATTTTTAAATTTTATTTCTTTGATTTATTTGATCAGTTTGCTTGTTATGTGTTTATGCGAACCTTTAGTGGGTGGTGGGGGTGTAAACTGGAGTGGGTATCTCAGCACGTAGTAGTTGTTCCACACATACAGCTGGTTGTCTCTGGGGTTGTAGTCTATGGAGGATATATACTGGTACGGGTTGGGAAATGGGATTTGAACCGGCAGCTCTTGTCCGCGACTGGTGTCATAGGCATAGACAACCATGTCACTGCCAACTCTACCCTCTGCCTGCCCTTCATCATCCTGGAAGACAGACCGTACGGCGTAGAGCACACCACAGGCCATGAAAGCGTTACTTGCCCCACGCTTGTCAAAGCCAGTGGCCCATGTCCCCTCAAACCGTAGAGTGTAAGGGTTCACCTGTAACACAGACACAGGAAGATGAGGAACTCAGAAACAAAACCCTTTCTTCTTTACTCTTTACTCAACCAGTTTTCATTCCTTTTACTGCACCTGGCTGACAACAATGCGTCCATTGTTGGCTTCAGTAGAGTAAATCACCCAAAGGCCGTTCTCATCCACCGCCAGATCAATGTCTGACTTCCCTCCCCAGCGGTAAGGAGACGTGTCGTGGTAGTTGGCATTGACAACCACAGCCTCACCGCTCTTGATGCGAGTCCGCAGGTCATACTTGACTAGGTTGCGTGTTCGCTCCTTGTTGTAGAAAACAGCCCCATCATAGACCACAAAGCCTGTACCATCCACACGGCTTGGCAACCTTGGACAGAAGATGATGAAATTATGGTTATAATTTAGTTTTATAAGATTTAGGAGGAAATAAATCACAATTTCAGGCTATAGTTAGCATATATCCTATTTTGAAAAGACTGAAAAGAAGAGTAGCCTGCAGCCTCTTACACGAAAGTGAAAGTGAGGAATGTGGAGCTGTTTGTGAAGTTTAATCTAATAAAAAAATCATGAGATTGAAATCTATTCTCATAATATGAATGAATACTTAATCTTTAAGCACATCAGCCTAATAATGTCATAAGTATCTGACTGCGCAAGAAACTGAGTCTGTCAGTAAGGCAGATAATCTAAGAGTCAGCTTGTGTCTGCTTCTGCCAACCCTGTTTGCCCATGAGATGATCCACAGTCCTCATTTTTAATGTAACTTTAGCCTACAGAAGATGGATCAAAGCTTGTTATTATGACTTTTTCTCAAAACCTTTTTCTCATTCTATTACAACTTTTACCCGTAAATACAGAAACTTTTATTTCACAAATCTTTATTATTGTAATATTATGACTTGATTCTCATAAATCTAAAACTTTATTCTCAAAATCTTAATTTTTTTTCTCCCTTAATGTTTTTTTCTCTCTTCCATACATTTTTTGTACATTTTAAGTAATGAGACTAAACATTTAAAATGTTTTGCTTTTATAATGGCTCTAATGTTTCTTTAAGACAGAGTTTGTATTTTAATTTCTTGTGACCCGTTTGATATACATATTGTAGACTTTTAAAATATACTCTTTGAGTTAACACACACACACACACACACACACACACACACACACACGCACAGACTACTCACTTGTAAGTGGTGGTGACTCTGTTCTGGCGGTAGTCATCCCATGAGGAGTACTCATACAACACCTCTGTCCTGTACGGCGTCCATGGCATGACGTACAGCCGGTCACCAGCCTGCAGCGGGTCCTTACACCATGCCCCCGACTGATGCTCCGCCTCTAGGAGAGAGGAGGCTGGCTGGATGCTGAGCAGCGAGCCAGGACACACAAAAACTGGAGGAGGGAAGCAAGAAGGGGGCGACAGCAGTATGTGAGAAAAAAGAGAGAGAGGAAGTAGGGTGGAGAGGAAAGCGGAAAGAGAGGAAGAAGGTGTGAAAGAGAAAAGAGTGGGAAGAAAGTGGAGGCAGGTGAGGGGAGAGAATGAATAGATGCATGAAAAATGAATGAATTAGATGCATTTGATGCAGCAAGAAGAAAAATGGATGAAGAGAAAATCAGAGATTTAAAACACCTGTGCTGATTTCAAGAGGCAAGCAAAGAGACGTATAAGTGCTGAAATCACACACTGTTAGTGTGTGTGTGGTGAGTAATACAACAGGGACACTGCAATGAAAGGTGTGTGAGTGTATTTATGTGCTTTGTTTGTCTGTGCATGTGAGTTTGTGTGTGTTGGTTAGTGCAAAAAGAGTGACAAAGAGTGTGAGGTAGAATCAGGGACGCAGAAGGCGGGGCTGAATTTTGCCTTGAAGTGAATGAGAGGGCTGGTTAGTTTACGCCAAGCACAACAATTGGTCCACCCACATGTCAATAACTGCATGGACACACGTTTACTGAACAGTCTCACACTGGCATGCAGATAGGCATGCACACACACTCACACACATAAGCAGTGCTTGATAAGCACACATCCAGACGGATAAATAATCACACACATTTGGTCTTATTTTTCCTATGAAGATAAATAAGGGACTCTTCCTATAGGGGAAGAAAAAGGGAAAATAAGCATGAGGAGGATGATTGGACAAGAAAGAAGTGATGGATGAAGAAAAGGAAGGAAGGAAGGAAAGAAAGAAAGAAAGAAAGAAAGAAAGAAAGAAAGAAAGAAAGAAAGAAAGAAAGAAAGAAAGAAAGAAAGAAAGAAAGAAAGGTGCTTGTATGTGGTGTAGAAAATACAGCAGTAAAAGTGTAAAAAAGAAGACTGTGTCTATGTTTGTGTGTGCACCGAGAGGAAAGAGACAAGAAGGGACAGAATGATCGATCAGCAGCAAGAGAGGAAGAGTGGAAGAAACTGTAGAGAGAAGAAAGGATAGAAAAGAGAGACTAGGTGCAGAACCTGGATAAATCTGGATAAAAGATGGGGTTTTCATACAACAAGAGATGGATAAAATGAGGAAAATAAAAGTAGGAAATGAAAAAAAAGGAGGGCAACATCCAGCATGACTACCAAACAACGTCCTAGGGTAGGAGGAAGAGAGAGATGGCAGCAGAGAGGAAGAGAAGAAGAGAAAGAGAGGGGGTCGGGGGATAAGGAGAGATCAAGATGCTACAATGTATTGTCTTTACCTTTTTGGTCCACTTCTACTCAAGCATAGGAAAAAAAAGAGGGAGAGAAAGAAAGAGCAGTCAGAGGGTGAAAGAAGGGAAGTAAAGAGAAGCAAGAAAAGCAAGCAGAGGAGAGGAAGAAGGGAAGAAAGAAAGAATTGCACAGATAAAGACTTTGGAACTCATTCTCGCCACAAACATTACAGATCACAAAAGAAAGAAGCACAAAAGAGACCCGGCAAACTCCCCTCCTCTCCTCTCCCCTCCTTTCCTCTTCTCTCCTTTCCTCTCTTTTCCCCTCCTCTCCCCCTCTTTTCCCTCCCTCCCTCCTCCTCCCCCGATCTCTCCTTTCCTCAATCAGGCTCCTGTGGAGAAAAGAGAGCAACTCCTGTGGCGTGAGTCTGCAAAAGAAAACACACACGCATGCACACACGGGTTCTCGCTCTTGCTCTCTCTCTCTCACTCACTCATGCACTCTCCCTCAAACACACACACACAATCAGTATGCAAACATCCTACAGTTTTTCTGTCTGTACTTTGTCTACCTTACTTTTATTTGTGTATCACACACATACACGTACACATACATATACACACACACACACACACACACACACACACTCCCTGAGAACAAAAAAAAAAAACTTCTATTCATCAACATTTTTGTGAAAATAGTTGACATCAAACATTTTGGAAAGAGGAAACACACTCTTAGGGCCTGTGTCCACCAATGCCATTCTTTGTGCTGGCAGCTCTTGTTTTTGTTCCCTTTAGTCTGGCGTTTTCAGTATTTAGCACCCTTCATTCAGACACGCCTTTAATGGCTGCACGAACAGCTCTCTCGGTTTACAAAAAGTCATCTTGCAGAAATCTGCTGCACTTGTCAACATCACCAACCAAACAAAATAAAGAGGGGGCGGGGCTCCTGATACCAGTTTCAACAATAACAATGGTGGAGTATCTTGCAGCAGAGATACTAACCACACTTATGTGTTGGTACTGTTATTTTAGGTCTGGAGCTGCTGCTAATGCTACAACATGAGTTTTTGTTTTTGTTTGACAACGCCTCTGACTGACAGCAAATAAAAAGCACGCAGAGCATTTTAAAGCAGACTTCACAGTCACTACAAAGAGAAGAGGAAGTGTCATGAATCAACTTTTCTAACCTAATTTCATTAAGTATAGATGAGAGGCTCTCAAAAATTGTGGTTATGGGCACTGCTGGAGCAAAAGTTGCAGTTGGTGGACACAGGCCCTTATAGATCTTAAATGTAGCTCAACATTATTAAGTTAAATACATGTGTGTATCTATGTTTGCATGCATGTGCACATATTTATTCTTAATAACATTTGTATACCTTTCAGATTGTGGCTATATAGATTCATACTCACTGTAAGGGACGCACTCATACTGGATTTCCAGGTACTTGTATGTTCCGGGACAGGGGTCTGGGAAGACGTCAACCCCTGCGACCACCACACACTGAGTCCTGTTGTTACACCTGGAGGACAGCAGACAAATAGATGGATGAATTGATGTACAGACGGATGACAGAATGAGAAAACAAAGACAGAAGGAAGAGTGATTAACAGACAGGAAAGGAGAGGCAAAGGACACTATTTGTCTGCTCTCACTCTCTTGCTGAATATTGATCAGTTCTTGGAGGAAAACACTGCTGAGTACACAATTAATGGTGCAGCCAGGCACTTGCACTCAGCTGGACAAATTACTGCACACACTCAGAGGCACATGACTAACAACACACCTATTGGTTTTGTCTCATGTTTCCACTTACATGAGTCCACATGCATGTTACAGCAGTGTGCACACACTGCATGTACCAACAGTGATGTTCTGATTGATCGATTGGTTTTACTGTTTAAGACATCTTTGCATAAGAATGCTAAAATTTTGTTAAAATCTTGACAGTGTGATTTGAGCTGAGTGATTTGGGCACATTCACACATACACACCTCTGGGCCATAATCTTTAGTGCATCAGGAAGGTAACACTGTGTGTTCTCCATCTGGAAGGGGTCTGCGTCACAGATCTTGTCATCAGTGCGTCCATAGTTGGCTGTCTCCACCATGACCACATCACTTCCGGGGCAGCGTAGTTCAATGGGGTAACCCTCGCACGCCAGCTCTCTACGCAGCAGCCCGAAAGGCATGGCAGCCCGAGACATGGCTGTATGGGATGATGGGAGAAGGCAGAGAGGGGAAAAGGCAAAGGACAAAGTAGTTTTTCAAACCCAGAATTCACTGTACGTATATGTAACTTTGATTTTTTTATGTAAACTTGATCATTGGTAAGTTAATACTGAATTCATTTCTGCTGAGAAAGTATGATATAATATTATTTATGTGCTACAGGGAAATGCAGTTTCTCCTTCAGTGACTCAGACTGAAACTCTGAGGACTTGAGACCTCGGTAACTTCACTACCAGACTGCTCTCTGCATTGACTTTCTGTCTGTGTCAGGACTGACTTTGAGATTGTATTGATTGTGGTCAAGGTTTTACAAAAATTGGCACCTTTACTCTATTGTTGATCTCTTGAGCTATCACACCCCAATTAAACCCTTTTGATCAACAAAGAAGTCGCTCTTGTTAGTTAGAAATTCAGATTAAAAAGAGAGGAGATTGAGCCTTTGCAGTGGTCTATCCTAAGAATAGACTGGCCATCCTTACAAGATCTGCTCAGCAGCTTGACATTTTCAAGTCCCATCTCCTCTTGAGGCCATTCAACTTAAGATGACCTTGTCTGCTCTTGTCCACTCTGTATTCTATATTGTCCAGCAGATCTTTTATTTTTATGCTGCTTGGTTTTCCTCAGCTCTTAGCTTATTATTCTCATATTTTATTCAATACTTGTATTATTGTGTCTGTGGGTGCTCACAGTCTTATTAGGGTTTTATTATAATTTTATTGTCCCCTTTGGTAGTAATCATTTTGGTTCATGTTTTTAAATGTGCGTAGAAATACATTTGTTGTGGCTTTGCTTGAAAATATTACAGTCAACCTTTGAAATTAAGATAATTTGAATTGTGGTTCATCCTCTGGAGATACAGAGTCTCAATCAGCCTGCTAACAGTTGAGTTACATTAGTCGAGACAACACAGGACGCCTATAGGGCCACATTTCATGCATTGTAAAAATGTCCAAATTTAAGCAGCAGAGGCCAAGAAATGATTTTTAAAAATCACTTATGGTGAGTCTGTGGAGCATTTAGAGTATAAAGCTAAGGCACCTGATGACATCTGGATATTTTTTTTTCCTGATGTTGGAAAGATCCAATCACGGCACTTAGAATAATGAAAATGTACTCTTCATTAGCACATGAAGAGTACAAAAATGAGTACAGATTGATTAAGTTCTGTATTTTAAGACTGCTGCAGATCTGTTTGTGTCACTGTTTAACGTTGTTTTGATATTTTATTGTGATCTGTTGAATCAAAGCCAGACCTGCATCTGATGTAAGCATAACATAGTTCACACGCATTTGCGCATTCACACCGCATATCTGATGTAATTCATTCTTCATGCTCACATGTGCGAAAGCTTTCACTAGAAAGATCCCCAGATGTAAGCAGAACATGTTCACCGGCATAAATCACACTGCGCCTCCATCTTGACACCTTCATACGATGTCATGTGTGGTTTTATCACGACATCGTGTCTTTAAACTCAGCAGGGAGAAGAAGGCTTACACCAGCAGCTGTCAAACGCTGGGTAAACACAATCTGACAAGTGTAAGATCATGTTATATATATAATTCTTTTTTTCATTTTAAAAGCTTGATCCCACCCTGTCACATCTCTATGTGTAAACTCACCTGACTCTCTTTATAATCCGTGAAAGGAACGTGAGAAATCACATTAACATCATTGTAATCCAGCTGTTCCAAGCATCTTGAGCATGAAAGGTGATGCTGTTGTACTGGGATTAAACCCACTCTTAAACCAAACATGTGGGTGCGATCAGTATGCTGCCGGTGTAGTGTAACTGTCCGTGGTGCTGAATGACTGAGTGTTCATTAACTGAGAGCTACAGGCAGCTTCTTGAACGCTCCCTTTGGCAAGCTGCACACATCAAACGTTTGGGTAAGCTTTTGATTATGTAGGTCACTGAATTTCCCGGCCAAGATGACTTTGCCTTCCTCTCCTCACCTCTAACTTTCATTTAAAGTTTTTTGTGATTCATTCTGTTGATTGAGGTGTGGAGATCAACATCCAGACATGATTGGACCTCAGCACCGGGAGGCTTACCTTGGCTGGAGGGGGAGACGTTTGCCAGCGTGAACACACACACCCCCAGGAACCACAGAGACACAGCCATACTTGGCAGGGAGAGTTCGGACGTCACACCACCAAGCGCGTTACGAGAGCCTAAGGAATACGAGGAAGAAGAGGAGGTGTGAGATTGAGAGTGAAGAACTGCACTCCCCCTTGTGAGCATATCAGTGTGCATTTCCGAGTGTGTGTGATGGATGGTGTACAACACACACTGACAATGAATGAGTGCGTGTGAGAAAGCACAGCAGGGTGGGAGGACAGAATAATAGAGAGACAGACCAAGAGGAAGAGGAATAGAGATAACAATTGAGCAATGGTTGCAGTGAAGAAAAGTCCCTCAATCTGCTGTTACCATGGTGACAGCACAGTGCAGTCTGGAAGAGAGAGGTGTGCTAGGAGAGGGTGTGTATCTGTACGTGTTCATGGGTGAGGGTGTACGCCTGTGAGTACGTGTTTTAAGTCCATAATTAGCTGAGAGCAACAGTGGCCACTGACCCATAAAAGAGCCTTAATCTTTCTATCCTCTCACACTTATACACACACACACACACACACACACACACACACACACACACACACACACACACACACGCACTACACACTACACACTGCATGCACAAACACATCCAACACACACATGCACACAGTGACAGGCAGAGCTCAGGCCACTTTCCAGTAATCCTGAATAAATGATTTCATGGAGCGGATCTCTTCCTCAGCAGGGAAACAAGGTAAACAGCTGACTGCAGGTGCAGGCGATCAGAGAGCAACTGAACAATGAGGAGTTTTCAGACACTGGATATGAAAACCAAGGAGAGACTAAAAATGAGACTCTTTCAATCATTTTCATAATGAGATCACACCAGGAATCACCTTCCTTTCCATAAGATCAGTTTAAATACAGCATGTAGCTTAAACTGAATACCACCAGACTCTGTCTTCTGATGCCAAGGGTGTGTCCAGAGGGTTAGCCAGGGGTGGCTGGCCCCCTTGGAAAAAAAACTGCTCACCCAAGGTAATCCAAACTTCTCAACTATCATTGGCTATTTGCCTTTTCAGAGGCAGGTACTCACATCTAAATCAAACACTGGTCCTCTCTCAAACCACTCCCACAACAGTGGACAGAAGTGTTGCACTCCATTTGAAATCTCACCCACAGCAGCAGAGGGATTAGGTACAGCTGCAGGCCTTCAGACAATTTCCCCTCACTTTCCTAAAAACAAAATCTTTATGTAGCTATGGTAACATGTCACACAGATTATAAATAGTTTGAATAAATAACCACTGAGACTCACAAAAAAATCCCTCCACATTTTCTTAGATGGCATTTTCTAGAGGTATTATTTTCAGTCTACTGCATATAATCAAATTAATTTCTGCATGAGGTTAAAATCAATTTTCATTTTGATGAAAGCAATTCACGCCTGTGCAGGTTACAACACAGACACTTAGATTTATAGAGCATGTCCTTAGGCAAATAATACACTCGGATACAATTGGTCAGACAGTCAGCATCTATGCAGACTTGCTGTTGAAAGGTCCAGCAATCCACTATCGCCCCACACTTAGAGATTTGAGATGGTACTCAATGTTGAAGACCCTCATCATGGCATGCAAATCAAGGGGAAGTGTGTAGAGAGAGTGTAGATTTTGAAAATGCCCTTTGAGTTGAGTCAAAAACAAATGTCAAACTCTGCATTTCAATGAATGAAGCAAAAGTGGAAGTACAGGAAAAAAGTGCAGCTCTTCAGGTGTCCTTTCAGGCTTTTTTCATTAGCCCTTGTTTCCCTGATGTGAAAAAAAAGAAAAAAGAAAAATTAAGATGTTTGCAGCCTGGTACAAAAACTATTTTTGTCTGAGTTTCTCATATCTCTACTTGTTCATAATCTCCAGGGGGTGATTTTGGAAGACATTACAGCCTGGAGTTGTGTATAGTTTTGCGTAAAGGGCTTCGCTGCATTGACCCACATCGAGAGAAATATAGCTGTCTAAAAAAGAGGCCGACAAGCTGACAAACCCCCCATTTTGGCTGTGTACCAGGCAAAATGAAAGTAAGATTGAGTCAGCATTTCCAGTGTGGTAACCCCATCGTCTAGCATTATAACACCTCCTCAGAGACCACAAGTTGATATTAAAAACACTACAGCCCTGTTTTAGATAGTGTATAGGTGCAACAGCCTGCCTGTAAAAAATCTAATTTAGTGTATTTTCTTGATTGTGCCTTTGTAGACAATGTAGAAATACACTTTTTTTAAGTCTACCAAAAGAGGGATTTCTGTGTCCTTCTAAAACATGGGGTGGAGCACCAAAGGTTGAAAAAACAACAGTCAGGTCTCAATGAGGTGGTTGTTTTATTAATCAAAAATGTGAAGGAACCAACAAAAGCGACTAAACTAAAGGTCTAACAAAGGGGGGGGAAAAACCCAGCCTCACAGCAGGCCATTATCAACCACACACTTCTTCTGGACATGACTGGCGCTCTTTTAAAATGTACCCTGGCTCCGCCTAAATCGAAAACAATTGAGTGAAAGGGAAACCAGGAGAAGCAAATCCCACTAAACATGACAAAATACCAGATAATTAAACATTTTAAAGTGGAAACTCAAAATATATACCTACTAATATTAAATGAAAGCAAACTCATATTAAGATTAAGGATTGACTAAGTTTACTGGGAAAACACACTGAGGAGCTCCACACTGATCACTCACTCAGGCAGGCACAGGTGAACTCATTTGGAGTAATCAAGGTGCTGTAGGAAAAATGGGTCTGGTGAAAATGCATGAGGAAGCCTTTTCACATAGACACATCCTCTGTTAAGTATTGAAATATTAAATTTATGAGATATAAACATCACCACCCTATTATGGTTTTTCTACAGTGAAATGTTTAACATGGAAATACTGTATGTCACCTGTATAGCAGTTTTCCACTGTGCAACAGATGGCTATTAAACTTCTAGTTTTTTTTTTTGGACCTTATTTTAACCATCTAGATTCTGTATATTTTCAGACCAAATTTAGACATGGCACTTTAACCCATTATTCAATAACTATTTATTTCAAAAAGCAACTGAGTTGCATAATTGATCTCCAAGTACTTAACCAAAATAATTATGATAGCCATTGAGCAATATACAGTGTAGTATAGATATAGCCCAGATTGAGGCTTACCCTAACCCTAAACTTGGTCTAAATTTACAAGTGTAAAAAAACTTTCATTTTAAGACCTGTGATAGCCTGATTTTAGACCAGTCGTCTAGGCTACATTTGGACATTTATTAGACCTATTTTAGACAAAAAAAAAATGCTCAGTGGGTTAATGTAAATGTTTAAGCTCAATTTAATACAAGTCGAAAAAAAATGTGAAAAAATAATACTCACTCTTGTGTGTGTCCACATAATTCATGTCATTCCTACCAAATTCCTATTGTAAAAAAAAAAAATCTGTATTCAGCCCTCAATCATACAGCTGAAATATGACTCACTTTGAAAATAGAACGCATAAAAAACCCACAAGAACTAATAACCATTCAAATGAGCAACAAAACAGAAATATGATCCATTTGTGAGAGCACAAAAAGATTCTTGTATACGTGTACAATGGAAATATGACCCCTTAAGAAGAGCATAACTGAAAAATGACTCCTCAGTAAGAGCTCTGAGAAAAGACTTATTTCAAAGACCACAGGAATATGATTTCTTGAAAAGAATATAACACAAATATGACTTATTAATAAGACAGCAACAGAAATATGACTCCATAATAAGAAACAGAAAAGATATTTTACTTCTAAAACAAAAATATGACTGAAAATAAAAGACCTCTCAGTAACAAAACAGTGCAGACTTTACTTCTCAGTAAGAATGAAGGTATGTGGTGAAATAATAAGCACTGAGCAGAAATGTGACTCATTGAAAATAGACAAAAACAGTGCCCCTTAATAAAAAAAGAAGAAATGTGTGTCTGTAATTAGAAAACAACAGAAATACGACTTTTTGGACTCTGCAGTCTAAAGAATGGACTCTGGACCCTGAACAGAAGGCGGAACGAAGGCTGTACAGCATCATTTCATTACATTACATTTATTTCTCTCCTGCAAATCATTCCAATCTGCTGCTCCAGAGCGTACACAGCTTGATGGTCTTCAGTGTGTGTGTGTGTGTGTGTGTGTATGTGTTTACGTCTGTCAGGATGCATGTGTGTGTTTACAGATACATATGTGTGCGTGTGTTTATTTGAGACTTGCTTTTCTCTCCATCTTCTTGTTAGGTAATGATGGCAGACAGATTTAGGTCACTTCTCAACAAATGTCCAACATGCTTTCAAAGACTTGAGCTCAAACATGGGCCTGCTCTCACACATTGACACACACGCACAGAAAGACACACCTCCACGCACGCACATAAGACAGAGAGACGAGAGACCTTTTGCTTTCTTTTAAGTCTACTGAACCAACAAGACTGTAATGAAAGCCCCAGGACCAGGGAAACACACACACACACACAAATTTGCACACACACTCACACTAAACACAGTGCATAAAAGAGTCAACAGAATGAGAACCTCTCCGTTTTTATCATGTACACACACTGACACACACGCACACTATGTGTCTCATCTCATCCAAAACCCTTATGGCAGCATGTTCTTTTGCTTGCCCCCTATTGCCCTCTCTCTCTCTCTCTAGCACACAAAGTACACACATACATACACACACACACACACACACACACACACACACACACACACACACACACACACACACACACACACACTCACCCTTAAGTGTTGATGCAAAGTAAGTAGAGCAAGGACACTGATGGGCCTTGACAAAGCCACACACCCGGTCCCCCCTGTTCGCAGCACCATGCTCCCTGCCTACAACCAAAATCCAGCCCCGGGCCAGCGCTCGGCCTACTTGGAGGAGCTGCAGTCGCTAAGTGAGAGTGTGTAAGTAGAGAGCCTGGAGTGAAATACATTACACACACACACACACATGCACGCACACACACACACACACACACTGAAACACACACAGGCTTTAATGTATACGTGTGCACTTACAGTATGCACAAAGAAGCAGTGTTAATCTGCATGTATCTAGCAGGGTTAATAGTGATTTATTAGATGATTTAGATGTAATTATTTTTAAATTCCCCTGACAAACAGACTTTCTCTTTCTGCTCCTTTCAGTAGCTTTAGGGTTGTTAAAATTCCTCTTGGGAGTGTGAGGCTAAATAAGGCTAAATTCAGCCTGACATATTCAGTATCTCCTAATCTTCAGGCTCTTAGCACAGTTATGTGGGTTTGAACTCAGTTTAACTCTACACCGTCATGGATCAGGGGTAAGTGATTTATAAAGTAATACAAGAGGAATGTTTTTTTCTTGTTTTCTCACCATTGCAATCAGCTCATCAATTGACATTTATTCCTCTTGTTACTTTTTCATCCATGCCCAGAAAGCATTTTGAATTGGACTGAATTTGAAGCAAAATTTGTTAATGTTCGCTAAATCCGGCTTTAGAAACATGGAGAGTTTCTGTTTTTTCTTTCAATTACATCAATATTAACTTAATTTGTTTTGTTTTTTGGCAGACAGCAGGACAAAACAATTAAGTTCCCTGAAGGCTCTGGGAATTTGCTGTGACATTTGAAAACATTTATGACATTTTTTGTGGGGGAAAGTTTACCAGTTAATCAAAAATAATCAGCAGACAATCAGAAATGAAAGAAATCTTTGCCAGCAGACCTAATTGGAAGAGATGTCAAACATGAGTCTGCTGAATTACTCCTGTGTGGTTTGGCCGCACAGAAATTTGAGCAATAAATAAAAAAGAGAGTAGACTGACTCACTGCTGCGGGAGGCAAATGATACCTGAAAGCCATTAAAGTCAGTCTGCTGGAAATCATTCAAACTGATGTGAAATCCAGTCAGGTACAAAGACTCACACTGTTAGAGGTGGAGACAATAAAATCAACAGATCCAGAGAGACAGAGAGACAGAAAGTCCTCCCCCTCTTCTGGTCAGAGAGCTATCAGTGCCCGAGGCTAGATTGCTATGAAGCACAAAGTGACAAAACAGCCTTGTAGTGTTAGGTTCCTAATGGAAGAATGAATGTGTGTGTGTGTGTGTGTGTGTGTGTGTGTGTGTGTGTGTGTGTGTGTGTGTGTGTGTGTGTGTGTGTGTGTGTGTGTGTGTGTGTGTAAAAAAAGAGAGTGATGGAAACAGAGAGCAATCAAGAGCTGAGGACGAGACAGAGAGATTGGACTTCTGACAGCACGGCGAGAAGAATGGCCTTATTGCTGGAAACATGTCTGTAATAACAACACTGTGGGTGATATTTTAAGCTGAAAATAGGATTTTAAAACACACTCCGCTGTGCCCTCTGGGACCACCATCACATTGACCTCTGAAGCTCCCACAGGGCTGAGGCCTACACGCCACAGTCAAAGCCACTTACAGGGTTTTAGTGCCTGTATGTTTGTCTGGTCGATGCTGGGCTCACGGGAGCTGAGGTGTCGCCCTCTGTCAATCACTCTCTTGTTGCAGCCAGAGACACAGGAGACACTCAGGGTCGAGTTCAGAGCCGTGCGTTGGACGATCCTGAGAGCTCTGCAGTTTGTGATGTAGAAGGGAAATGGGAGTAAATTGCTTCTAGATATATCCACATCATTTTTACATGACATTTTCAAAGTCATCTGCCGCTAAAAGGATGATAACATACATTATGAAGCAAGTACACCAAAGGTCAAATGAGCAAAAAGTCCTCCCCGTTTTCACGTTTTCACTCATGTGAATTTCTCCACTACAGAAGGCAGGCAGAGATAGTTTGTGAGGAGGTTTTTGGCGTGAGAAGTCTTTTGATTTCCTTTCAGCTAAAGAACTGAGTCTCTATTACAGACTGTTGGAAGGCTGATTAAACATTGATAAGTTTCCTCACATATTTAGCAGGATCGTAATCCTGCCCTCAGCACTCTCACTGTGCTAAAAGCTCACCTGTCTTAGTGCCCCATAAGCACTTCCTCAGGGAGAATCTTTTCAGGAGCAAGCACCGTTTTTACCTCGATCCCCATACAATATGACGCAGAACTGAGAAAATGTGACGCAGTCTGGATCTAAGGTCTTAAAAGATAGGACAGAGTCTAAGTCTTGGAAAGTCGGCCACAGAGTGACATGAACATTGTGCCTACACTCTATGATTGCTCTTAGTTCATGACATTAATGTCACTTTAATGAACTATTTATTTATACCAGTATGACGTTTCTATACTTATAATGATTGTTAATGCAGGTTGATGTTATTCAGCTGACTGGACCAACACTATTTCACTACTCTAAATTTTGAGGATTCAGTTAAATGTAAGTCACAATCAGTGAGATGTTAGTATGATTCAATGAGTTATATTTGGGAAGTTTTAAAACCCCCAGATGCTACAAAATCAAGAAATGAAGTCTTATTAAATTGTTTTTTAATTTAGTAATTTAATGTATTCTGAAATTTTATGAATCACATTGATTTCCCAGACCAAAATAAGCATTACAAAATGAATGAATTGATTAAAGGTCCCCTATTATGACTAATCCATTTTTGTGTAGTTTTCTAACAATAATATGCATCCCCTTGAATGCCGATACACCCCCCCCAACCCTGGCAAAAAAAAATTTCATTCTCTCCCTCTCTTGCTTAACCCTCCTTTCTGAAAACATGAGCGCAAACGGGCAAATGGAAAAGCTTATGCTGTTATGACGACATAACCGCATAAGACCCTCCTACATGTTGGTAGCAGCACCACAATAATTATTAGCCCAGCCCTCTGAAACTTCTTTGCTGAGGTAGCGTCCGCCATTTTTTTCCCCTCGCATACACCGCTCCGGTACAGCAACCATGTTGTTGTGTGGTTCTTGGCTGTACAAACGAAGACAGGAGTCTATTTCTGCCTCCTCGTATGAAGATTTGAGGACCCAGTGGATTCATTTTATTTTTGATGGAAATGTACCCACGACTCTGAAAATGTTGTACGTGTCTGCTAACCATTTCACCACTGACTGTTTTACTACTGTGGGGCAGTTTAAAGCAGGATTCCTTAAGAAGCTGAAGATAATACTGGGATCCTTATCGACTGTCCGTATCGGAGACCCAACTTCAAACGTGGAAGCTGTAAGATTTACTATTTTATGTTGCTTTACCGCCGCCCATATGACTAGTATTTTGGCTGCAAAGTACTAGTCCAAAGTTTACCTTCGTTGGTCTTCAACTTCGGACTCACTTCTATTTACTTTCATTCCCATGAGCAGTAGGTGTTCCTTGTGGGCACGGAGGCAGGCTGGTGCTTCCAGCTGCAGTGGTCTATAGGTCCTCTGAAGAGGTCCTCAGAAGATCTCCAGACCAAGGAAGAGGAAGAGTGTGGTTACACACAGCTCATTATCATTTCAAGGTACAGGCGCAGTATCAGCCCGTTCTCAGTGGAGCTCAAAAAGAAGGGGCTACAGACTGACTGATATCCACGAATAAACTGGTGTTTTAGACAACAAACTTCAAATTTACTATTGTGGGACCTCTGGGACTGATTTAATCTTGATGAAAAATGCCATATTAGGGCATCTTTAAGTTAGCAATCATGAAGGCCTGTTATGAACAGGTTGTTACATTTGGTTGGGTCCTAGCAAGATGAGCAGGACCACAATACAAAATGGAGGGTTCCAATCTGCTATGACATCCTGACCTTTACATGTTATCCCATTTATTGCATAGCTACTAACTAAATAAGTAAATCTTTTCACACTAGACATTGGTTTTGAAATGAGTTAATCATCACTATTACTGCAGCAAAAACCATGAATTTAACAGACTGTTTACCAAGGGTTTCTCAATTTTCAATTACAAATTACAATGTCATTCAGCAGACACTTTCATCCAAGGCAACGTATGAATCATACACTAGCGGAGGACACAGACTGGGAGACAGGTAGGTAAAGTCTCTTTCCTAAGGACACAACGGACAGACTAGGGATAGGGGGGAATAGAACATCCAACCTTTCAGTTGTTGGACGACTGTTCTACCTCCTAAGCTACTGCCACAGTAGTTTCATTTTCCTCATCAACCTGGTCATTTCTTACATTAAGTAAACTTAACTGTTATTACTCACATGACACTGAACATTCCCACTGATGGTGAAGTAAAGCGAGTTGAACAAGGTCACATGAATCAGCGCAGCATCTGATCGAAATTTCTGCCTTGTCACCCTCGGAGTCTGTCACACTTTCTTTCCATTTATCAGTCCTTGTAAAAGACTGTGTCCCATATCGTGTCCTATCAAGGCTCCTCACAGGGCGTCTTTGATTTTTCTAGAATTCTGTACTGTAGTCTCAATTTCTGTCTTTCCTCCTGCCATTTCTCATTTGTGTCTTTTCTGTTTTCCCACAGTAAAAAAAAACATCATATTAAGCAGACCTCTTTCAGATGTAAGCAATTAGAGATGTATCTATAGCAACGGTGTCTTGATGAGGAGTAACAGATCTGTGCTGTGCAGTAATGACCAATCAGAATCAGTATTTCAAACAATAAGATATTGTTAATTATGTTAATTATGATCGGGCAAGTCTGTTAAGTTTTAGCAAAAAAAAAAAATTCAAACACTCTGACAGTCACAGTGTCTTTTATTACAGACCCCTCTTTATTGTCTGTAAATTTGTCTTTTTTGTGTTCGGTTGTCTGTTCTCATTTGTGTGGCTTTTTCAAGCTCAGCTATAGGACTGCAGTGTTTTCTGATATGTCAGCTTTATTGAACTCCTTAATTAACCTTTGATATTTTTATTTTCACCACACTGTCGAATAAATATATGTGAGCCATCAGCTGAAACGTGTCTTAAAGCTAACGCAGGTATCTCTGCTTTATGAAAATAGTGAGTATGAGTTTACTTTTGCATTAATGTGATGATAATATGTCTATTTTAACCTTATTTTTGGGGTGTTCAGGAGATCAAGTGGAAATATATATTTCTGTGTAATTTCTTCAACAAAGACTTGACAGGAAGATCAAGACAGCACATTTCACTGTATTGATTTAATGCGATGAAAGATTTCATCCATGTAGTTCCTCCCAATGCAGGAGTAAAAACATGAAGATCTATTTTAATGACCATAACGGTGTGTAGGATTGAGCTGCTGTTTAACAGGTTTTTGATAGAGTCATTCATCCTTTTTCAAACAGTACATTTTGTCACAGTGACTAACCCTGACACGTCGCTCGTAGTGTGCACAATAAAACAGCAGGAAACGCTGCTGTAAAGGTCAAAGAGATGCTGCTGTTCCTGGAAAATGTGAATTCCAATATGTGAAGTGAACCAAATGTCTCGGGGATAATTCATTATTCATAATGGACTGCTACTGTTAAACATGACACATACACATTTATGTAACATATGACTTGTGTGATGCTGCCTGAATGCATGCTGTCATGTTGTGAGCATTATCTGTGGCTTAAATAAATGCATCAGTTTACTATAAAGGAACATTGCCTTGTTTAGGCTGGGGTTATTTCGAAAAAATTCCAGCTAAAAACAGCTCAGTCGGCTTTAAAACACACTCTCAATAAACCATGGAAAGGCATATCCGCCTCTTGTCTCATCTCTTGTCACACACAACCTGTGCTGCCACTTTGTATTTCATATGATTTGTGTGTCAGCAGAACCTGTGACTAAAACATGAGCTGTTTCAATGTGTCAGGAGGAAAAACTGGAGGACACAGGGCAGGATTTTGTTCTCTAAATTTGACAAAATGTACTTCAGGGATCATAAACTGAGGTGTGACAGAGCGGAGCCAAGTGCATCCAGCAGCTTTTGTTTGGAGGAAGCTGGACAATGGGCTCAAGCAGTATAAGGATTTTTGTTGTTTTAAAGACGGAGTCATGATTGACATCCTGGTTATATCTTACAGACAAATAATTGTTGATTGCTTGATTTTTGAACAATAAAAATCTTTGCTATCTTTACCACCTTGCATAATTGACATTATGAGAGGAAAGTCAAGCTGATGACTGATACCATGTCTTGTAATTTTGAAATTACAATGATAAGTCTGATGTGAGCAGGCCTGAATAGATGCTCACAGATAAAGCAGGCCGACTGACTCAGTGTGTCTGACAGATGCGTACGGACATGGAGTGCAGTGGTCCAGTTAAAACTGAGACAAATGTGTTGCATTTTACAAGTTAAATGACCTAAAAGTCTATCTGCGCTGTGCTTGCCTGTTTGTGTGAGTAATTGTATGATTGTGTGTGTTTGTGTCTCAAACGAGCGAATGATTTTAACAAATCTGTATTCTTTTTTCTCCTCAGTGGTTAAAATAAATGATCCCAACATAGAAACAAATCTTGGTACATTTGCTCTTTCTTGTTCCATCTAATATGCACAGTGTGGGCAGCAATAAGCACATGCAATACACACACACACACATGCATGAAGAGGTGAGTCACCTTAATAAAATAAGAGGTCACAAATATTCCAGCTTCATCAATCAGCCTGGTTCATCCTGCTCTTTCTCCCACACAATGCACAATGCTTTGTATGCTGTTCATATGAATAAGACACATGAATAACACATAATCAATACCTGCAAGAACACGCACAAACACACGCACAGACACAGGCACACTCAAGGTTATAAATGTATCAGGAAAGCAGGGGTCCTGTCTTTTCTACCTCTCCTCCCTATCGCCCCCTCTTCCATTTATCTGTCTTCTCCTCTGCCTCTCTCTCTCATTCCTTTCTCTGCCCCCTGTCCTCCCCCTCTCATCCCTTCTCTGAAATATCGATAATAGTCTTTTATTCTCTTCACCCCCCCCCCCCCCCGCAAACCTGCAAAAATTCAATTGAACCTTGCATGCACATCCCTTTGTGGTGTTTATGTGTTTTACTGCAGCACACCAAACACTGCAATGTAGGTGTGTGTGCGTGCGTGTGTGACATTCAACGTAACTCAGCCCCTCTTGTGTGACAGACCCCTGATGTGGGCCAGCGTGGGACCCTCCTGAGTCATTATGCCACTTTTCTCCCTGCATGCCTCCTCCGAGGCCCAAAGGAGACTCGTCACGTGCCCATGAATATTTCAGGGCGCACTCCTACACTACTGACCCAGCTTTTAATGGCAGCCAGAGGTAAGAGGCCCGGGCAGCAACAGCAGTTCATCAGATCCCTGTCTCACAGTGATCAAATGGCCACTGACAGCAGCAGCAGCAGCAGCAAAGGAGCAGGGCACCTTTGAGAGAGAGAGAGAGAGAGAGAGAGAGAGAGAGAGAGAGAGAGAGAGAGAGAGAGAGAGAGAAAGAGAGAGAGAGAGAGAGAGAGGAGGGGCGGGGTGCATCCCCATAGCCTATATCCATATCTTACCGTCAATCCTCCGCTTTCCCTCGTCCTCCTCCTCCTCCTTACTGCGTCTCCCGCATCCCGTCTCTCCGCGCCCTCGCGCACCCACTGTACACTCCTCCCTTTCTCCTGCTCCTCTCCGCCCGATGCATCAAAAAAAGAAATATTCAATGTGATAATTCTGCAGGGCTATTCAGCAGTCATTAGTGTCCAACAACAACTGGGCGTCCTCCTCCTCCTCCTCTACCTCCTGTGATCGGCTCTCTGCTCGGCTGGACCTCACACCCTCCCTCCGTCCTGTCAAGGCTCGATGTCTCCCCCGCTGCGCTGTGTGTGTGTGACTGTGCGTCACGTCGGAATCATAATTCCCACGGGTTTCATGCCCAGAGATGGTACGGGCTGCAGGCCTCACAGCTCCGATGGTTCAATGAATGGATGGGGGGGAAATACACGATCACAGGCGAAAACAACAATTAGGCGTAAATTAACGCGCAGTCTCGCGCTGCTCCGCCTCGCTCCGACGATTTTTACAGCTCATCAAGCCCGGTTAACGTTTGTCATCGCTGATCAGACGCTTCCCGTGTTACATCCTTGCCTCTTTTTGAAAATAGCGTCGACGTGAGAACAGCAGCTTTTCGTATCCTTGAGGAATCGTGATGAGGCGCAGCAGCACATCAGGGCGGACATGGGGATGGACCAGGGTTTTTTTTAAAGTGAAAAAGCTCAAGCACGACTTCCAAAAGGATGCTGCGCTAAAGAATTGAAAAGACAACAGCTGAACGAGCAGGAGAGATAAGGTTTTTCCGCTCCTGTCCCCGCCTTGCATCCGTCCTTCTCTCCTCCTCTTCTTCTGGCGCTCTCTCTCTCTCTCTCTCTATCTCACACATACACACACACACTCTCTCTTTCTCTCCCACTCTCTCTCTCCATCCGCTGCTCCGCTTGTTGCGCGTTCTGCACTCGAGAGCGCGCAGCGTGCGTGTGCCTTCGTGTGTGAGTTCATGTGAGCGCGTGTGTACGTGTGCAGGGACAGGAGAGAGAGGCAGGGAGGGAAGGGGCTTCTACTATATTATCAAGGTTTGTCTGAGTGAGCAACAATAAGCTGCTGTGCAGGCAAAAGGAGGGAATATAGAATAAACAGAGGCTCATGTTTATGGAGGCCTCTGTGTCCTTTTACAGGAAGAACAGCCCGAGTGTGGGTCCAGCTTTTTAAGGAGCAGCAAAGCCATTTGTGTTTTATCAACCTTCATTTGGTCTTTGTTCAGCCTATTTTTGACACATTTTTATGAATCCTTTGGCATAAATCATCATGTTTGAGCCACTTAAAAACCTTCCCAAACCTACCTATCAACCAGTCACACCTTGATGACAACTGACAACACCCTGCTTTCATCATCTGTCTTTGCTCTGTATTTTTACCCCATCTGCTATGGCCATTACAGTCATTTCTGCTATAATGCAAAAAGAGCACTCCACTGCTTTTCCTATTTGTGTTCAAGGAGTAATGGCAGCACTAAAGCTCAGGTCAGTCAGAAGAGAACAGGCTGTAAAATCCCTTCTTCTAGTCTTTTTAGAGATCAGGAAATGATGCAAGAGAAGATCCGATAAAAGCTCCATTTATGCAGTTTACATGTATGAGGAAGTGTGCAAAGGCTAAACAGCCGTTAGTATGAAAGAAGAAGGAAATCACTGATTATGGAGAAAAGCCAGTTTCTCCATAATTTCACTTGACTCCCTTTGAATAGCTCTGATTGCTTCTTGTGCAGCCTGTAAAGCAGAACTAGACTTCATAAACACTCAAAGCTCAACAGTCACTAACAAAATTATTTTAATGGTGCTGAATAATTCATTGATTTCAGATTATGCATGTGTGTGTTTTGATTGGATGGTACCAATTATCATGTGTAAAAAAAAAAAAAAAGCACATTGCATTACAGAGCTGCGTGTTGTTGAAAATGGGAAAATGGTTTCGAATAATCTCCTGGGTGTCGTAAAACAAGCCATAATGGCGAAGACTTGGCTCGGGCAGAAGCTTGGCTTGACTGTACTTGGCAGCATTTAAAGCTAATGCTACGCTGAGGTCAGCATTGGTTGGCAGCATCCAGTGTTCCTTTGGAAAGTGTTTTACATTCTTTTTTATTGGTTGTTGGCATATCCACACACACTTATACCGGAGGTGGAGGTGTTTCACTCCCTTTTTTCAACCCATTACCAATTCGGATACCATTTGTTGAACCAGTGTACCTGGGAGCAGGGGCGTATCCAGACTTTTTGATGTGGTGGCCTAACTGAGAGACTGAATATAGATTTTTTTGGGACCTTTTCTATCTCCATCAATCATATTGACTACAACTTGAATTAAAATACGACACCAGGTATATAGTATAATTTCTGTTACTTTATAATCTAATGGGCCGCCTGGCTCCACTGCAGATCGGCTCTGGCGGCCAGATCAGATACGCAAGGCTGCAGCACACGGCATCAATTCGGTGCAGCTCAGCCCAAGCAGCAGCGAAAGTTGTATGCAGCTACAGAGTAAAATATCTGGTTAATTTTCAAAACAAAAGAAAATCAATACGTTGAACTGTTCTTCGCTTGATAATAGGAGAGGCCAGGGTTGTGGGATTCAGGTGTTTATATATACCACCATTTATATACATTGATCAGCGGATTTTATTTAATGTCTCATGGGGAAACATGCTATGTGCTTGCGTATTTGATGCCCTTGCCGGTCCGGAGTGGAGCCATTCTGGATCCAGTGGAATCCCCTGGTAACAAAGGGTGGAAATAAGTAAATCTTCTATGCTTAATTTCACGATGCCTTAAATAGAGGATGCCATCCAAATTTTTAATTTAAAGCACTGACATACAGAAATGTGCTGCGATGGGTCAGGGTAAGCAAAGACAAAGATGACTTTGGAGCACCATGTCACTACATGACTTTACAGTTGACCTCAAGATAAGTTTTATTGTCTTTCTCTATCTTTTTCTGATGTCTACTCATAAAAGGTGGTCTATAAATGTTATTAATAATAAAATTATTTAGCCTCACCTCTGACAAAGCATATATGCTATAACTATAACTATAGCTTGGGGCAGGCGAGTCAGATTTTTATGGGGGCTGGACCACCCCTAGATGCCATATTGGACAAGCTCCTGTATGCCTGATATTTGTGGAAAAACACTGATTGCTGAAACTTTTCTTGGTTTATTTCAGTATTAAAACCGTCCTCTGAGTCAGTGCAGGTATCACTGTATCATTAGCGCTCTAACTTTCCTTTACACTGAAAAAAGGAAACACTTAAGAAATCAAAAAAGTGATCCTACATCATTTTTGCTCACTTCCTCATCTGCCTCTCCACCTCCTCCCCACCCACTGCATTTTTTCCACTTCTTTTTCTTCTTCTCATTCTCCACCTTGTACTTCAGTTTTCTAACAGGGTTCCTCAGGCTGCACATAGGCTTCTGTCCAATGTCCTCGTTGATCATGAAGTTCCTGTCAATGATCTCTGCTGCTTCCTGCCAGTTGCGGTAGCAGTCTGGGCCAAGGCAGAGAATCTCCTCCACTGCATTGTGGGCAAGGATGGAGCAGTCGGGACGCAGCACCACCACTGTGGGCAGCTCCTCCACATTAAACATGGCCTCCAGCTCCCTGAGGACATACACACAAATACACTGGCACAGAGCTAATGGATTTATGGAGCTGGATATATTTACAATGCAATCATCCACCAGCAGGTTGTGCACACAACAAACTGGCTTGTCCCACATACCTCCTGTAGGGGTCCTCGTAGGCCAGGAACAGGCACCGTTTGGGCAGCTGTTTGAGGAAGCTCTCCTGCTGTTCCTCTGACTGGTCCAAGCTGTTGGACGAAAGGATGAAAAGATTCCTGAGAGATGTGGGATAGTGCAGAGCTTTCAGATGAGATTAATTTGATCTTGTGCACACAAAATAATTATTTTGTGTGAAAAAAGTTATTAACTTGAGTGACTGAAGCAGTGGTGATAATTCTCACTATCTGCTGCCTTCATTTGGATTCAAAAGCCTTTCTTTGAAGACATTTGCATTTTTTATGGTAAGGATACTTTCTATGATGAATTGTTGTTAGCTAACATGTGATTTATTGTTGAATATAAGCACCTGCTGCTGGGCATGTACAGTTTAAGTTAGCATTCAGCTACGTGGCTTGTCTTGTGTTAGAGGCTAATTTATGCATTTGTTTATCCGACTGTATCATTCAGAAATGCTTGCTTTTAGAAATGTCCTACTTACTAATAAAATTAACTGATGAGTATCTTTCAGCCAGTGTTAGTTGACTATTTCAATTGCGCTAACAAAGATGTCTCAGATTACATCTCCTAGAAATTTTAGTTTTTTTTCCTACACTGTCCAACAACAGCTAACATTAATGATAAGTTAGCATTCAGACACTTTTACCACTGTGAGCTAGGATGTTTCCTGGTGTTGCCTAGTTATTCTAAGCCAGTGTTACATTACCTTAAAGGAGATTAGATGCTACCAGCTAATGCTAACCTGCAATGAAGGAGCGAAACGATGACAACATGTTAGTTCTTTACATTTATAGAACCCAAGGCCTACAACCTTCATCAGAAATCACCATGGTTACTGTGTGAATTTGGTCAATGCATTTGGCACATTTAAGGTTTTTGTGGCATCTGAGCACACAAAACTATAAATTCTGATTGGGTGTGAGGTCTTATTGAGCAACTGATTAGATCAAGTTCAAGTCTGGGGATTATTGTGGTCCTTGCGAACAAAACGTGTATTTGTGTGTGTGCATGTGTGTTACCTGATGTAGAGGAGAACAAGCTGAGCGGAGCGATCTACATAAAACTCATCTGTCAACCTTCTGAAGAAGTCTGAAAGCGTGGGTGCAAACTGCTGGCAGCTCTGGCATGCAGCAGACGCAAAGAAAAGCATCAGGATGCGATTCTGCAGGCGTGTGACAATCTCACGCTCTGTGTCCAGCTCATCCTGGTCTCTGTTGTTCTTCACCAGGACCCGGTCAGTAAACAGGTCCACCATGATAGAGGGTCACAGGACAGAAAACTGAGATGTAGAGAGGTACATGGAGATATGATAGAACAGCTTTAAACTAATTTGACCAGAGAGCCTTAAGAAATGTGAGATTAATTCTAAAGTTAAAAAAAATGCGTACAGCTGTAAATATTAATGCCAAAGACAGAAAGACCCCAAATGTTTCTTTCACAGGTTTATCTTGCATACTATGTTTCTGATGATTCCCAATTACTATGTTATTAAACCTGTATGCGTTGCACTCACAATGACAAACCTCCTCTTAATCATGAGTCCATCTCGCTTGCTGTTCAATCGGATAATCCTCACAGTTGCTTACCTCTTACAAATATTATCTCTCCTTGAGGCCGTAAATCCAAAAAGAAAACAACCTTCAAAATACTTTTTCTTGTCCTTTCAACTCCTCCTGGGTCATACTTGACTCACTTCCCAGTCTGTCAGTTTATGTCACGTTTACTCATTGCCTGAGTCTCCTTCACCTTGATAACTGCTCACTGGCTCTTCCTTTGTGCCCCTTCGCTCCACCTCCCTCCTCTGTCTGAGAGGGGGGATTGAAAGACAAGGTGACAGGAGGACAGCGGACGTAAAGTGCTCACAGTGATTATATTGTGCGTGTGTGTTTGTGTGTGTGTGCGAGAGTGTGAGCAGGCAGTGACTGAGAAAGAGAAAGTATAGAAATTACATGTGCTTGAAAAAATAAAATGGCCGTAATGAATTGAGCCACAGAGAGACTTTTATTATTCAGTAACTAATGGAGGAGCAGAACCACAGGGACCGTCTGGTTAGTGGTAGTCTGATCTACTCAAATGGGAACAGCACAATATGGCCATGAAACAACAGAAATGGACATTTATTCCTTAACAGAGATCAACAGTGCTTATTTTGAACTATCCAATAACAAAACAACATTAATCTTAAATTAGGGCTGTGATAAACAGAGAATAACAAAAATAACTTTGAACAGTGGATGACATACAGTCAGTGCTTGACAGATAATTGATTTTAATGCTAAAACACCAGCAGGCGCCAGCGCCTATTTTGGTATTAACTGCAATTATGTTCTTTGTCTCTTGGGGTCATTAAAGCTGGACAGTTTTACAACTTCAAGAAACAAATAATGGACATGTGATGGAGACATTTTGGAGCAACATTACATTTTTGCTGGTAGAAAATGAGCGACATTACCTTTTTTAAAACCATGTTTGTTGCCACCCAATGTGTTTAGGTGCTCCATTTATTCTTCTTTTCCTCTTTCTTTACATATCCTGCATTGTCTTTGATTTTAGTTTCTGAAGTGTTAACCAAACAGCACTTCAGCAGACATGGGTTGTACACAAAAAAAGAAAAAACAGTCAAAGGGACGGGGCTTGTTTGTGAGTTTTTGGTGTCCTCTCAACTTAATTTTTTCTACCATGTTGTCAGTCAGACTAACACAGAGAAAACCTCGGCTGTGTGCTGTTTGTTTTTGCACTGGTTGTTTCCAAACTACCGATTAGGAAGTATCACTGGAAGTGTCACTGATATGAACAAGACTATCTGTAAACAATGAGCTAAAGAGGTGAAAAAAAAAAGCTGCACCATTGGGTTTGTCATGAACAGTAACCCCATTTTTTCACTACACGTCTCAACAATACACAAAAAATCATTTGTGGACCTTTAAATTGGGATTCTTGGTCATGATGATGCTTCCTCTAACCACTGAAAACATGACCTCTTTCCTTTTATGGGCATATTTTGCCTGTATTTGATGAAACAGCTAAAGAGAGACAGGAAATGTAAAGCATGGAGTAATACGTGATGCAAAGGGTCAAGGTCAGCCCCAGCACCCCAAACCCACAACCCAACTTCTCTATTTTTGCAGGAGGGCTGTCCAAAATGAAATATTGATACTCTGTTAAAAATAAGTTTGCTGTATACTGTGTAAGTAGTTGGTTCATAGTAAGGGGCTATAGTGGTTTCCTGTGATGGTCACCACACACTGTAAAATACAGAGAAGCCGAAGAAGACTCAGTAACCAAGCTATCCAGCTGGCCTTTAGTACAGCCTGTGGCCAGTACCACAGCACATGTCAAAGGAGATGACAGATGAAAGCAAGGTATACTTCACTGCACCCAGAAAACTATTTTTGGAGATTTTGTATTAAAAAAAAAATTAAAAATAAGGGGTTTTTATTTTGACAATAGATGATGCAGAGTCAAACACTGTTAAGAGTATAATAAGACGTTTCTGGGCTGATACAGCATCTCTAGAGATGGATGATGACATGTACATTTATCGATGGAAAACAGTGTGGCTCTAATCTTGTCTTGCCAATGACTGGGAGCATTTTTTCCCACAATTGTTGGCTGTGATAATCATTAGTTGAAACTTTCCTGACAGTTTCTCCATCTATTTAGTGAAAATAACATTGGGCTGGATTACATTTTCAAAGAGATAACAAAACATTCTTAATAAAAAATAAGAAAGAGGAAGAGTCTATTAGAAAATATAGTATAAAATAATGTTAATAGAAATGTATTTCTATGGAGAGGGACTCAGTGTTTTTCAAAGACTTTGAAGGTTTTTGCAGGTAGACACAGCTACGTGATGCTTTTACCTGCCAAGAATACCAAAACACTTCTTTGAAAAATCCTACTTTTAAACCCAATGCTGGCAGAGAAAATATTTCAGTGTTTCTCTAAACAGTCTTTAAAGAGGCTTCTGCATCAGTAACCAAGAATGAAATATTTATGAGGCTCCACTTGCTGTAAGACAATCAAACCAAAAGGCTCTGCCGTATAGATACTTATATACATTTATATAGACTTGTTTTTCTTCAATCGTTTCTCTTCATCTTATTCTCCAAAGTCCATGGTCTCCATCTTTTCTCTTTGAATCCCAGTCTCCATCCCTCTCTGCCTCCTCTTCATATGGATCTTTGTCCTTCCCCCAAAACTTCCACCACCTCTTCTTCCTCTTGTCGTCTTCTGTCTTGTACTTGAGTCTCCTCACAGGTTCAGTGGCACTGCGTGGGTTCAGGTTGTCGTACTCCTCGTTGAACATGAAGGTCCTCTCAATGAGCTCTGCCGATTCCTGCCAGTCCTGGAAACAGTCTGAACCGTATCGACAGATGTCGTGCACAGCGTTTGGAGAGAGGATGGAGCCGTCAGGACGAAGGACGATGACTGTGGGCACATCACTCACCTGAAACATGGCCTGTAGTTCTCTGGAGAGCAGACAAACACGAAGGGATCTTTTAATGTATAATTAAAGTAGTCGTAATAAAGCCTACGGCTGTTTGACTTCACATATTCACAGATGCACTTAGAAATGATCAAAAATCATGAACATACATCTTCTTTTGGTGGACTTACTTCCTGTATGGGTCCTCAAAAGCCACAAACAGAATCCTTTTGTTGAGCTCTTTGAGGAATCTCTCCTGCTGCTCCCCTGATTGGTCCACACTGGAGAGGGAAGATGGAAAAATGGAAATCTCATGAATGTGAAAAAAGACCAGCAGGAGTGTGAGCGTATGCAATAACATGTGTGAATCAAAAAGATAAAGAGAAAAGAGAGATAGAGACCTGACATAGATGAGCGCAAGCAGTTTGGGGTATTCAATGTATGCAGGATCTTTCAGTTTCTTAAAGAAGTCATTGAGAACAGGTAGGAAGTCCTGGCACTTTTCACACTCAGCAGATGCAAAGAACAGCATGAGAATGCGGTTTTCGAGGATTCCTATGATTTCTCGCTCTGTGTTGAGCTGATCCTGGTCCCAGTTGTTCTTCACCAGGACTCGGTCTAAAAATAGGTCCACCATGATGAAGGGAATGACTGCAGAAAGGTTGTCTGTGGAGAAAGAGAGGTAAAATACAGATTAGTTTACTGATGTGCATGAATATATCTGCAGCCCAGATGAAAAAAAAAGATTCTCTTATAATTCTATAAAGCATGAAGAGATCATCAGACATTTTCTGCAGCTCCAGGTACACCGCCGAAGAAAGATAATTACTTCAAAATCGCAAGACCGCACACTGAGGCTGCAATGCATTCTGGTTTATCAGCCCTAGGACACTTAGTTTCAAATCATACTTCTTCCTGGAATTAAACATTCATGACTAAGCGAGGCTGAATTGAATTTCACGTTGGGAGAAATATTTTTCGGCTTATTAAAAGTTACTCGAAGAACTCTGCTTCATCTAGACTGACTGGATGGAACTGGAAACAGAAGCAGATTTTCGTAGACATTCAACTATTGTCTATAACTCAAGAAATCAATGCCCTCACTTCAATGATGTCGAGAGTACAACAGAAAAGAATAAGTGGGTATGTAGAAATTAACATGAAACCCCAAATCAAAACTTGTGTGTATTAGTAAATTTACAATCACAAAACAGTTTACAACAAAAAACATCCAAAGCTTTGAACCGGGGTTTTAAAACTGATGTATCTAAACAGTTGTGTTGAGTTTAACCTGTTATTGACAATTCAATGTTTGTGCAAAGAAAGCAAAAACTAGAGCCTGTGACGTGTAGCTGTTCAACATACTTCCTCATACAGGCTGAAATGGTGTGAGGTAGCTGTCCCAGGTGATAAATCTTAAGGTTTAGAGATTAACTGTTTAAGAATGGCTGCAGAGGTATGTCTTTGGATAATGCTACTGTGGTCCAGGACAGACATGAAAACATATGCAGTGATCAGTTTTCTGCAAGTCTATGCAGTTTATCCTTTGCACATAACCTGAAGTTAGTGTACTGAGTGTAGTGGAGGAAACTTTTAAAGTGAAAATAGCTTTTATTTACAGGGCAGAAGCACAAGAACAATGAAAGAAAGAACCTTACCTCTGTACATAAATTAAGTCATTTCTGGTGCTTCAATCTGTAATAACTACCCATCCTTGCAAAATAATGAATTTATAAAGAAGTGAGGGATAATCGTCTCTAAACTAATTGAAAATATCTGCTGCTGACAGCTATGATGACGATATCTGAGGAGTTGCACAAGTCTAAAAGGATAAAAACATAAGCAGAGATAGGAGGTTACAAACTGACTTTAAGACATTTGTTTACTGTACAGACGCTGGATTTGTTTGTGTTTGATTTGATACAAGCCCAGGAACCATCAGCTGCTACTCGTACTTTGTATCAGCTTCTCTGCACTGCCTCCCAGTATAGAATTTAAACTTCCTTTTACAAAAGCTCTTCATAATCAAACACCATCGTATCTTTCAGAGCTGGTAGTTTTTCTATTGTCTATCCATAGACTGTATATAGAATGGACAGAGTCTGCCTCCTCACTGCGTGAAGTCAACCCGAGAACAGCACCTTCTGGTGACAGGCTGCAGTATAGGTCATAAATCCTGCCTCCTCCAACAATCTCTATGGAGCTGTGGACAAACTTTGGAAATTAATTACACAGTATATAAATTTTTCTCCCCCCTGCTTGCGATGTTGACATGTAGTTATTGTAAGACTGGTTTGTGTTCAAGTCCTCTTTTTTCTGTACAGCTCCATTTTAAAAAGTTATTAGGGGTTCATGTTTTCTATGATTGACACTTGATACAGTCTATGGGCGTACGAAGATTGCGTAGCTCACCCGGGGGATACGCTGGTTCAGCCGAGCGTCATCACAGCATGGAACCAAGTTGTCCATAGTATATACAGTCTATGTGTCTAGATAAATAACTGCACCCCCAGATTGCAGGTTTGGTTATCATATCTTATGTGACAAAAGGCAGTATGGGAGGTAGAACGTTCAGTTGTCTGGCCCTTCTTCTTTGGAATCATCGACCAGTCAGGGTTTAGAGTCAGACATCCTCTCTATTTTCAAGAACAGGCTTAAAGCATTTCGTGAAGCTTACATTTAGGGCTTCCTCAGGCTTGTCCTTAATTATCTTGATAAAGGCTCAGACTGTCGGACACACCACGGTTGTTTTCCTGGTTTGCATTTATCCAAAAAGAGAAGAAGGTGTCACATTATGTTACGGTGTATCACTAATACGCCTGGTTCAAGATTTCAGCCAATTCAAAGGAGCCAAGTACAAGCTCATGATGGATTATGTGAGACTCCCCCTAAAAAATACAAGAGACTATGCCTGGACTTGCTTCTTTTGTTAAGATTTCATAAATACATTATGTTATGATTTGGTGTTATAAATGAGTAATTGAATGCTTAATTAAGCTTGGGTAAAAGTACTGAACCAAAGACGGCCCAATATTGTGACTCCCACTGTGGTTAAAATAGAATATATGTTCCCCTGTGCTCTTGTGGCCTGCCAAAGGGATTTTAAGGTCTAAGCTACAATCGTTCTGTAGAAAAAGGATAATCTAAATACGACATCACAGCACATCCAGGATCAGCTGGTCAAGAGGAGTCGCCCATTCATTTGGTCTTCGTGGCTCAGAACAAAAAAAGCTCAGAAGAAATAAATTTTAGACATAGAAATAAAGTTGAGGCCTAACAGCTCAGAGATGTGCTTTATCTGTCTGGGCCAGCTTGTATTTCTCTGTCACAGCAGTCGCTGCAGGCTGAGAATTGACAACGATAACCTCACAAATGAGATTTGGCTCTGTGGCTCTGAGCTGTGCCAGATCCATTTTGAGACTGAAACTCCAGACTGAAACTTCCAAGGCTAAAGAAGGAGAAAAATGTCAGAAATTGAGCAGCATTGCAACTTACCACGGAAAAAAAGAGAGGATTTAGAGGAAGACTTACGAAGGTCAAGGCTTAAATCCTACATTGGGAAGACGTATTTCACAAACGTATGGTTCAGTATGTGAAACTGATCGATCACCCTTGTTAGAAACCAACACCGCCCTGTTTTGGTGGAAGCTAATCTCACAGAGCATCAATCTTTGTAGGTGCTGTGGCAGCTACATACACCATAAGTAATTTACCTCACCTTGAAACTCCTTGACTCCTATAAGGGAAAGAAAAGTATCCAGTTCCTGCTCTCTTTCAAGCCATTGTCGTCTTTCTTTGATTTGCTTTCTGTCCGCCTTTAAATCCTGTGAAGTTTGTTTCTTTTTGTGGCACCTTTCACTGCCTTTCACCCCTCTCCCTCGTAATTTCTTTACTCTGCTCTATGCGGTCGACTAAGGGAGATTACAGATAGCTGGAGGTGTGGCGGTGCTGTAATTCAGAGGCAAAGGTTACTTCTGTGCGTGTGAGACAGATCGTGTGTGGTGTGGCCACTTAAACTGCAGCTCAACAGTAGCAATCTCATTACTGTCAGAGGAAGGGAGGAGGGTTAAGGAGGATGGAAAAACGAGACAAATTGGATTGCAAAGAGAACACTGACATGTGGGTTAAGTGGTGAAAGGAAAGACAGAGAGGAAACAATACAAAACACAAAGTTGTTTCATGTAAGAATCAGGTGAAGTCTACCCGCTCCGGCCCATTTTTAGTAGCCAAACTTTCACTCATTTACACCCTCAAAGCATTGCTGTGACTATTCCTCTGTACATGGAGCAGATTCAACAGCCAGGATGCAGAACATGGAGGAAATGAAGAGGATGTGTCAATAGTTTGAGTGGAGCCTGGTTCTAGTAAAACCCCAGCAGGTTGTAGTGTAGAAAAATGGCTATTGATCTGCAGAGGCACTTGCAGAAAATACCCAGGTTAATCTGAGAGAGGGTGAGGTAAATATAGAGGTAGGAAGAGAGGGAGATCTAATGGGATTAGTCTGAGTCACTCACAGACATGTGCTTCTGCATGTGGATGAAGGCAGACAAACACTCGCTCATTCACACAGACAGGCAGACTGAGCCTTCTGCAGCAAAAAAGGAGCAGAAACAGATGTGAGCAATCACGGGCGCTAAAGCTTTAAGTCTTGATTTTGAAGTAACTGTACTGTCCCTGAGGCCCAGACAAGACTGAAATGTTTCTCCCCATGAACAGAGAAATCAAAACTCCAGGATTTAAATTTAACAATGACTCTTATTTCTCATCAAGTACCTGCAAATGTATTCTTTAAAGCTCCTGTGAGGAGTTTTCAAACAGTAACAAAACAGTCTAAAACAAATGATGATGCCTCTTCATGACCTACGAAACACACACAACTATCAGCAACACTACTGACTAATGTTAATAGGAGCTGTCTGAAACCTCTGCCATGGGTAGGCGTCATTTATAGCATTGATACAGCTTTGTTGCGAAGCTTTACAAACACAAGGGAAAAAAATTAGACACCACAGAGTGAACTCATCCATTTTTGTCCACAAGGTGGCACCAAAATGAAAGTCATCTCGAAAATTTGAGCTTCCTACGTGCTAATATGCTAAACCAAAGATGTGAACATGGTTATAAATATTTGCTGACCTCATTGTGTTAGCTCATTTTTAAGCAGGTGTTGATATTTAGCTTAAAGCTGTGCCCAGACACAGTTCAAATAACTGTAAGTGCCATTGCCATCTTTACCTGTAATATAATGACATGCATATATTTTTTTCTCAACCACTCTTCACTCCACTGCTCTCCTCATCAATGCACTATTGCACCTCTGGGTTGTACATGTTAAATGTCTAGCTCCAGTTTGTACATACTTTTTAATTTCTGTAACATTTTTTTTTAACATTTTATGTTTAATGTTTGTACATGGAGGGCAAAGTTAACTAGAGTCAAATTCCTTGTATGTGTTCGCATACTTGGCCAATAAAGCTGATTACAATTCTGACTGAATTGTCTGACTTTTTAAGTTCCCATGACAGCGCAACTGCCCATGAGGAGCTAATGGTTTGGGTCAGTTTTGGTGCCCCCTGTGGACAAAGCAGTCCTGCTTATATTGCTTATGAGTAGCGACTTTTGACAAAACTCCCATCCTGCTGACTTTTGATGGTAAAATGTATAATTTATTGCAAACATTTTAGGTGAAGGTTTCAGTGACGTTTCAGTCCAATTAAAAAAAAATCCAAAATAAACCCAATCAATCTTGTTCCTGCTGGTCTTGTTTGTTTTTGGATATGGACTTTCATTCCATATCACAAAAGAAGAAATGTTTTTATAGGAGCTTTAAAGCAGTTGTAGAGGAAAACATTTCAATCTTAAATCTATATGGTACTACATGTAGGGTCTGAAGTTTGGTGGAAAAGGCTTCTCAGTTTCAGACATGTATCGGGCAGAGAAAGAGAACTTTTTACAAGTAAAAAAAAAAAAAAAAAGTTAACTAACTGCAAGTTTGCTGCTTTTTGTCAGTTCGTAACTGAAAACTCCTTTGAGTTTTAATGCTTGGTTTGACCAGAAAGCCACTTGAGGATGTCACTCATTATTTTGGAAAAATGTGATTAGATTTTTTTTTATTTCAGCTTAATAAATCTTTAAAATTTTTAGACTGCAGAAAAGTTGTTTAAATAAACAGCAGATTGAAAGGTTATGAGATTTTTAGGGCATGTTTATGGCTCTAAATAAAAGAGATTTCTAAATCTGTCTTATCCAATGAAAAATCTCTGCAGCCTGTAAAGTCATGAGCAGGTACAGCATGCCATGTTTCACAGGTTAACACTAAATACCGGATAGTCTGTGTAAACACAGTGAGGGAGGAAGAGTAATGGCAGCCTACTGTAGCCCAAACTAACCATTACGGACACACATAGTGGTCAAACAGCAGCAGGCACTAATTAAAAGACACATCTTGTGGAGGTTCATGTCTGGACTAAAATGAATCTGCTGTGTGCCAAGGAAAAAAAAAAAAAGGAAAAAGGGGACGCAGCCGAGTGTATTTGATGTCTCCACCGCTGTAGCTCTGGCAAGAATAAACCCACAATTTGTACAGTCAGTGCTACCATGTGCTTTTAAGTGAGCTTACAGGGACAGACGCTTGAGTATTTCCCCTTATAGTTTTAGCTAAATACACTGGAGAACAACACAAGCAAGCCTTTCATTATAAAAGTTTTTATTTAATCTTTGGTTAGAAAAAAAAAAACTGAAAACTCAGAGGAACAGAACATGAAATGTTACAGAAAAACAATCAATGTTCATTTGATTTTCTGATTGTCAAACAAAATGAAACAAAAGCTGCATGTTTGGGCTGAGACTGCAATTTGTAAAAAGGGGAGAAAACTGAAATGCTAAACAAACAACAATAAACAAGATTTGACGGCAAATCAAAGAAACACGGATACATTCATGATTTAAAAAATATACAAGGTTATTGAGTGACAAGCTTCTGTATGTCCTTAAACAACACACTGGCTGCTCACAGCGTAGCTGAATGACAAGATGGTGAGTTCACTGGAGGAGAAGAATAAAAGAAGAAATGTTGTTCCCAACCAAGAAATTAAATCCTCCATCGGGTGTAAATTATAAAAGGAAGAAGACACAAACAGCACATGAAACGTGACTTTTTTTCATGCCTTTGTTCTCTGAAAATTACTAGTTTGTTTCTCTTCTTGACTCTTGAAATGATTCACATTTGTCTAAAAATAATCTCTGCAGTGGAACTTTCCCAGCAGCAGCTGATGATTGGGGTTGTAAATTCAGACTGGGAACCTCTTTGTGTAAAAGAAAAACAGCATCTAAGAGGAGTCATATTTAAAATCTATCACCAACGGCAGCTTGATGTGTCTTCAGGTAAAGTTCTGGTGATGTAGAGTTTTTTTCATATTCCTGAAATGTAACCGTGAGTCTTTGGAGTCACTTTGAAATACTTTTTAAAGTCGTAGTTTTAAATGTCAAAATGTTATTCAAAAAAGGAAAATTATCATCACACCAGGCTGTGGTCAAAGGATGCTTTGTATGCAATAAATAAAACAAAAGCTGCTAGCTGACTCTTCAAGAGTTAACTCTGCATGTGACTTCCTCGCTGCAGAGGAAGATTTGACAGCGGAGAGAGAAAGACATGCAGCTCATCTCTTCCTAACTGTGTATATCTACTGACTGCCTTACCTCCCTGTTCTCCTGCATCCTGCTGTATTCCCTCCACTTTTTCATTCCTTACACTATCACAGCTTTGTTCTATTGTCCTCCTCCTCCTCCTTATCTCTGTGTCAGAGTTATCTCTGTCTCTCCTCCCTGTGTACTCTCCTCCTTCTCCTTACAGCTCGTCTCGTGCGCTCCAGTTCTCAAGCTCAGACTGAAGTACGTCAGAGTTCTGGGCCTCAAAGCTCAGCTCCCCCTGCTCTTGGGTTTTCCTCGACTTGGCTCGGTCCCAGTCAGTCTTGACAGTCTCGTTGTCCCAGACCACAGATGTTTCTGTGTCACTGATGTAGCCCTGGTCTCCCGTGTAATGAGTCGGATACACCAGAAGCGGCTCAGCAGAAAAGGCATGCAGGTCCCGCTTCTCAAAGTGGTCCTTGTACTCTGATCTGATGAGGGAGAGGAGTGGGGATTAGACTAACATGAGCGCTGCAGGACAGGACTGAAACAAAGATGGAGAAACAAAGAAAAGATATGCTCACATTGGATGTTTGTCGTACATGACAGGGAGGAACTCATCAACGGGAAGCATTTTTGTCAAGGGTTCGGCCCTGAGCAGTTTCTTGGCTCCTTGTAATGACAACATGTAGCCGAGGGTCCAGTAAGAGTAATCTGCCTCCACCAGATTGTGGATCTTTGGCACGGAGGTCTCTGGGTGGTCCACCTGCATTCGCTTCCGCCCGATGTAACTGTATTTAGACAAGGCAGACAATCATCACACAAACTCTACTTACACCTGCATCTATATGACAGCATCATCTTAGACTGAACTGATATGATGGAGTCAGTTGGTTAGAAAAAGTTGATTTGTGCATCAACTGCATTAATGTTGGGTTCAACTTTGATGAACTCTAAAAATGGTAGAAGCTGTTATCTTAGCTTTATGACTAAGCTTTCTTGCATATCTCCAGGCTGTCTTACATACTCTAAACATATGGTCCAAACCTCATAACAGTAGTTATTCATTTTGAATAGGAAGAGAGACACAGGGAACAACATGATCACACATACAACACAACAAACCAATCTGCGTACAGGAGTTGGACATATTGGCAATGTTACAGGACTGACTGAGTGGGAAGAAAATGGAGACACAAGTTCCAAAGAGGAGACCTCACAATGATGCTGCTATTATTTTCTGGATCCACTATGACTGCCAGCTGAATAACACTCAAGACTTGACTTCACCGTGAATGAAAATGTTGAATTTAATGTGATTTATTAGAGTCAAGCTGGCTACTTTATAAAACTTGATGATTAAATCATTTCTAAATCCATACTTGACATCAACTTGTTTGTATGTTTCGTTGTTAACAAGAAGGATAATGCAATCTACAGATCCAAGCTGCCAATCATCACACAGCTAACTGACTTATTGACCTCTTGTGACCTCTTGTGATCTGGTCTACTGTCCTTATTTTTGTCGTTATTTTATAAACCTTGAACACAGACAGAAAGAACTAATCACAAAAAAAGCAGATATTTTTCCAGCAAAACACTAACTCAGCAACATGTTACTGTGAAATTATCTTTCTGTCGGTAACTCAAAGACAAATGTTATAAAAGCTCACAAGACTGCAGCAGAAATTCAGCAAAACTGTGCCAGGCAGATTTTTTTTCCATCATTCTGAATCTGAGCAACCTTTTTGATCATCTGTTCACTCTTGTGTGTGTATGTTTGTGCTCATATATGCTCTATTGGGAGCTTGTCCCCGGGAACAGTATTTTTATTGTACTCCCAACTATTTTGTGTGCAGAGATTGAAAATAAACTTGTAAATGTTGGATCGCCTCCTGTGTGTAGTTTGACAGAAACATGTGTTTTGTATTACTGCTTCTGCGGAACTCGGAATAGCAAAGACATAAGAAACCATGGGAGAGGGTGACTGCACCAAATGAGGAGCTGAATACTGAGAAGAGAAGAGAACCAAAGAATGAGCCTTGAGGCACCCCTGTTGATAAGCAGTCAGATTTGGACTATATACACATATATATATATATATATATATATATATATATATATATATATATATATATATATATATATATATCTATATATATATATATATATACACTCACCGGCCACTTTATTAGGTACACCATGCTAGTAACGGGTTGGACCCCCTTTTGCCTTCAGAACTGCCTCAATTCTTGGTGGCATAGATTCAACAAGGTGCTGGAAGCATTCCTCAGAGAGCTTGGTCCATATTGACATGATGGCATCACACAGTTGCCGCAGATTTGTCGGCTGCACATCCATGATGCGAATCTCCCGTTCCACCACATCCCAAAGATGCTCTATTGGATTGAGATCTGGTGACTGTGGAGGCCATTTGAGTACAGTGAACTCATTGTCATGTTCAAGAAACCAGTCTGAGATGATTCCAGCTTTATGACATGGCGCATTATCCTGCTGAAAGTAGCCATCAGAAGTTGGGTACATTGTGGTCATAAAGGGATGGACATGGTCAGCAACAATACTCAGGTAGGCTGTGGCGTTGCAACGATGCGCAATTGGTACCAAGGGGCCCAAAGAGTGCCAAGAAAATATTCCCCACACCATGACACCACCACCACCAGCCTGAACCGTTGATACAAGGCGGGATGGATCCATGCTTTCAGGTTGTTGACGCCAAATTCTGACCCTACCATCCGAATGTCACAGCAGAAATCAAGACTCATCAGACCAGGCAACGTTTTTCCAATCTTCTATTGTCCAATTTCGATGAGCTTGTGCAAATTGTAGCCTCAGTTTCCTGTTCTTAGCTGAAAGGAGTGGCACCCGGTGTGGTCTTCTGCTGCTGTAGCCCATCTGCCTCAAAGTTCGACGTAGTGTGCGTTCAGAGATGCTCTTCTGCCTACCTTGGTTGTAACGGGTGGTTATTTGAGTCACTGTTGCCTTTCTATCAGCTCGAACCAGTCTGGCCAATCTCCTCTGACCTCTGGCATCAACAAGGCATTTCCGCCCACAAAACTGCCGCTCCCTGGATATTTTTTCTTTTTCGGACCATTCTCTGTAAACCCTAGAGATGGTTGTGTGTGAAAATCCCAGTAGATCAGCAGTTTCTGAAATACTCAGACCAGCCCTTCTGGCACCAACAACCATGCCACGTTCAAAGTCACTCAAATCACCTTTCTTCCCCATACTGATGCTCTGGTTGAACTGCAGGAGATTGTCTTGACCATGTCTACATGCCTAAATGCACTAAGTTGCCGCCATGTGATTGGCTGATTAGAAATTAAGTGTTAATGAGCAGTTGGACAGGTGTACCTAATAAAGTGGCCGGTGAGTGTATATATATATATATATATATATATATATATATATATATATATATATATATATATATATATATATATATAGAGAGAGATAGATAGATAGATAGATAGATAGATAGATAGATAGATAGATAGATAGATAGATAGATAGATAGATAGATAGATAGATAGATGCCACTTGAGGCTTTCAGGACAAATGCTAAATTTGTTGAAAAAATTGTATCAATCACAGTATTAAACAGTATGTTATGCTTTTATGTACAGCGTTTTAGTTTGTTTAAGTGTGTGTAAGATCACAGTGAGAAAAGTTAGAGAAATAATCTTGATGAACCATATATTTTTTTACAGTCAAAACAGCACTGAGAGAACAATTTTCATTTATCAGTAAGAGAAAGTCTGCATTTAAACAATCAGCATTTTTGAAAGGTAATAAATGATCAGAAAATATGATCAAATACTTCATCAATTGATGTTATCTTACACCCTTGGTGGATGATGCATGTCTCTAAGTAATACAATATCCACAGGCTCCCAGCAGTGTTGATGCAGAAACCCCAATAGCCAGTCTACTGAGAGGAAAACCAGATTTGTAGCAAAATTCAAAACCCTTCACTGCTGTTTAAAACAAAACGCTGAGGCATGGTTTCTGAATTGGTCAAAATGCTCCTCCATGCAAAAATAAATATTTTCAAACATGACACGTTCATGTCTTCACACCACACATTTACTCCGAGCCATCAACTTCTTACACTGAGCTTTACACAAGCTCTGTGATGGCATGTTTCTCATTGAGAGGCTGTCTGGGAGCTGTCATATTCTCCTCATGTTTTTATGTATGTTTTATTTTAAAAACAGTAAAAGGATTTTTTCCTCTCACAGCTGCTCGTTTTGTGCAAATTCAGCTGGGACAGTTTGATGCCTATACAAGCTTTGAAAGTGCTGTCAGTCACTGACATTGTCAGAGCAGGAGAAGAACTTAATTAATTTGTCCCAGTTTGCTGTTCTATGACAGTGATCAATCTCATCAAAGCTGGAGCGGCTTTGTTCTGTGATGTTAAGATGATTTATTCCCAGAAGTGTTTACTGCATCTGATCAGAGCTGTCGGACATATCATGTGTGACAGATGGACAGATGTCTCTGCAGAGGGACGATACTCTTCTCTGTTTACAACATCATGTTTTTCTTTGGTTTGTTGGAGAGTCACTCACATGAGATCCCAGTCAAGCTTATGTGTCGTCACCTCCAGCAGCAGAGCCTGGAGACGCCGTTTGAAGAAAACCTCGAAGCGGAGGTCATCCTCGATGACCAGGGAGGTCTGCAGACCCCGATCTACTATCTGAACACAATCATACACAAATGCAACATGCAAACATGAATAGCTGTCACTGTTTCATCTTGAATGTAATGGTCATACACATTTGTTTTAAAAAGAATTAAACATACTTTAGTAAAAAGAGTACAGAAGATTAAATGTATCTGTTTTAAATCCTTACACTCATTACTTTGTACTCATGCGGCACACCTTAAAGGGATATTGTGGCAAAAATTTCAGTTATGGTCAAACACACAGTAACATCGAGTTAGACACCCCTTCGAGAGATGAATGTTGCCGACTGCTTGCTTTTCTAGTTATACCAACTTTAGTGCAATAGCAATACACAACCGTCTAAAGCAAACCTCAACCAAAAAGCCACTCTATAGCCACAAATAATGCTCAGAACAGCACCTCACTTCATCAACAGTACATGTAGGGTCCCAGCCATAGTACTAGCCACCAAACATCTTTTTAGCTTTGCCTGATTTCTTTAGCAAAGAGACTAAACACAACTCACCTACTCTCCTCCAGCAGCCACTTTTTTGTGGCGGAGCCCTGACGAGTCGATCACTGAGTGCAACTGCTATAACAAATCCTTTACACTAAACCAAGGGAAAGCATTTGACTTATTATAAAATGCGACAATATCTCTCCTAAATCTTCAAATTGATCTGTTTGGAGCCTTTGTCAGGAAAGATACTAGAGTTGTAAATTGACAGTGTGCTCTTACAAGTCAGAAATCAGAATTTTAAACCAGTTTTCTTAGTGTGTGATGGGAGTGGGTAACCCCTGTTACAGAAGAATAGGTTGGGCCTCCATTTAAAACACATGTATAGTCCCCCTGCCAAAAAACAGTCATGTACAAATCCATCAATAAAGTGATATGCAGTGACAATGTACTTCTTAAAGGGGTAGCTTGTTTGTGGGGAAGGGCCCTGACGAGTCGATCACTGTGTGCAGCGGATCATTTCCTTGAAATAATAATCACTATAATAATCATTTTGCACTGCAGACCCGGTAGTTCTTCTGCCTTAGCGTCTTGGTCTGATTGCATTTCCATGAAGTTACAATGATAATTGTTCTTCCTTGAGCTGCGAAACTCCACTGCACTCAGTGATCGACTGGTCAGGGCTCCCCCACAAACAAGCGGCTGCTGGAGGAGAGTAAGTGAGTTGTGTTTGGCCTCTTTGCTAAAGAAATCAGGCAAAGCTAAAAAGATGTTTGGTGGCTAGTACTATGGCTGGGACCCTATATGTACTGTTGATGAAGTTAGGTGCTGTTCTGAGTATTATTTGTGACTATAGAGTGACTTTTTGGTTTAGGTTTGGGGGTGGAGACGTAGACCACTGTGTATTGCTATCTGGGGTTGTTACTAAAGTTGGTATAACTAGAGAAGCAAGCGGTCGGCAACATTCATCTCTCAAGGGGTTGTCTAACTCAGTGTTGCGGTGTGTTTGACCATGACTTAAACTTATGACTATCCCTTTAATAATATTCCTTTAATCCCTTTAATTCTTTACAACAGTGAAGGTAATTGACACAACCTTGTTTTCCTGTACCAATAAATATCAACCTTTTACACATGCACACCCCAAGGTCTGACCGAGTAACTTACCTCCTTCCAAATGTTGTAATGCGAGAGGAAACATCCAAGTTCACCCTTTGTGAGAGGTCGACCATGATAAGGGTCTTTGTATCCTGGCAGCATCTTAATCCCCATAGACTCTACATCTGTCTTGTTCAGAGCTCTGAAAAAAGAGGAGAGATTAACAAAGGGATTAGACAAGGAAACCATATAGTATGAGAGTGTGTGAAAATGTGAAGTACAGGGGTATTAAACAGTGCGACACAAATATGACAAGAGTCATGCAGGTGTTCAAATCGTTTTTTAAAACTGAGAAAATGTAGAAAGTGAAATATGTAAAACATCATCTCCATCCTATCCCGACTATTCCACGCATAGATTAGTTACATTTTCTTTTCAGATAAGCTGGCTCTGTGTGTTCAGACAATGCTTAAGTGACAGCATGCAGCCGCCACTCTTCAGCTGGTTGTTTGTCTGAGCGCAGCCTCCCTTCATCAATCTACACAGCATGAAGCAGAGACACAAATCAGGATGACGCAGACAGTGGGGGAGGAAGAAGATGAGAAACGTACTTGCCATCCACAGCAGCAAAAACCTTACAACTGAGCTCCTGTTCATACAGAGCTCTTAGCATTCGCTCGCGGCGGTCAGATCTCCGCACCAGATTGATCATAAACACCTGGGTGCACACAAACACAAAAACCTCACACACATGCTGTGGTTATGGTGTTTGTGTATTTTCAAGCATTTGTGCGATTTTGCTGTGCGTACCTCATCAAAGCCAATCTTTGAAGGTTGCTTGGGAGGAAGAGACAGAAAGCTTGAGGGCTCCAGTGGAGGATTTTTCACTTTGAAAAAAAAAAAAAAAAAGAACGGAGAGAAGGTTACAAACAGAATGATAAATATGTTGAATCAGGGGTTCCCATATGAAGTCTGGGGATGTTTAGAGGCCTGTGGGAGATTTTCAAGAAACTCCCAAGAGAAGCTCCCCTTTTACTTCAGCTTTGGTCTTTTACATACAAGAAATTAACAAGATGAGCTTGAACATTTCTTCATCCAGAGCATTTATAATGTTGGTTTTAAAAGCAGTCCATTTATTTTGTCTTAAAGACTGACACTCCTTTGGCATTAAGAATACAGCACAGCAAGAAATACATTTATGCAAGGGAATATTTCACAAAACAGTTTCAGGAGTTTTCTTATAACATAAAATCTCTCTTAGTTCTCCTGAATTAACAGCACTTTTTTATTATCACTATATTGACTGTATTTCCTTTGCATTTACACTAGGGGTGGGAATCACTAGTGGCACATTATCACAATACGTTGGCCACGATACGATATTACTGCGATTTTCAACATTTTTCAATACAGCGAATATTGCAATACCATATATTGTGATTTATAATTTTTTTTCAACTGTTTAGCTAATTTAGCATTTGTCTTTCCTTTATGTTTGTTTTGTTTACGCTGTGATTTATTTTCATGTAGCACATCTTGCAAGCCTATATAAAAAATATATATATTTTTGTTGTACTAACTTTCTCCTGCTCTATGATGTCACCTCTGCCAACCTCACTGGACAAACAGTTGATTTTATTTTTCCATTATCATAGATTTGACTTCATATCAACGATAAATTTGAAAATCGATACTTGGCAGATGAGAGGATAAGGTGTATCACCAGACAAAATATCACAATACTATGCTGTATCGATTTTTCTCCCACCCCTAATTTACAAAGCACTTTTTTTGTGCACACTCCTTTCCCTCTGCTGATGAAGTGTATGAAAACTCTGAACAGCTTCCAGTGCTCCTTGAATTCTTTACTTACCCATGACCTCAAGTTGGGCGTGCAAGAAGCTTTCAGCCTCATCCTGCAGGGTAGCATGGGAACGCATAGGAACAGGAAAGTACCCGTAGCTCTCTTTGTTGCACACATACATCTGTACATCTGAGAGGATGGAGAGAGGAATGACATGATAAATACACACACATCATACTTTGAGAGACGTCTCTCCAGATAACTAGATAAGGAGAAGACTCCCCCTGTTGCATGTGCCTCACCTGCCATGCGAGCCGAGTATGCAAAGACGATGACATCATCCAAGGTCCAGCTGTACTCTGGGTGGGGTGGATAAAAAGCTAGCTGACGGGAGGCCTCTTTCTGAAGGTCAACCAGGTAGGTGGAGTGAACCATGGGCACAGCGAAACAACCACGTCGTTCTTGCTTACGGATGGGCATGTAGGCTGGTGTGCGCTTGTAGTAACCCTGTGTGGAGTCAGCAAAAACACCAAAATACAACACATGGTGAGTTATAGGGATAAACAAAACTTTTCAGGGTGGAATTGGAAATATTTGATTGAGATATCATTGAGAATATTGGCTACCCAAAGTCTCTTTGTCAGTCAAAATGTTGTTTTGAGTTTAAAATTCACAAAACATTCGGTGACTGAGAAACACTGACTTATGGGAAAAGACATTGACAAACAATGCCACCAGCCTCGTGGCTCTGGGCCTGCTAACTGTCATAAAAGAGAATGTTGTTTGCAGCAATTAGAGCTGCAGACTCCTTGCTGGAGTTGGCTTATTTACGCTGGAGGACAGATAACATTTATATGTCGACTCAAATTTGATAATAAGTAAGGGTGAGATCTTAAAGGCATCCTTTCCAGACAGAAATGGATCACAGGCACCAAATTACACAAGGCTGATCAGATGTGAAAGTTTGATCAGTGAAATGTGTATTGGCATAAGGACTTTTTGTAGTGATTTTAGGAAATAACATCCAATGAGATATGAAGCTAAAATCAATTATAATGGAAGCTTTTAATTTGGAGGAAGACTAATGAGCAGGAGAACAGATTTAATGTGAAGGAGCCAGCAGTGACAGTCTGAGAAGGCAGGGCGAATTCAACATTATGAGCTGAGCAGGCTGGATGTCTACCAGCAATATTATCCGCTATAACCTCAACCTTTCTCAGGAATACATATTATGCTTCACACAACCAGTAATGCTTTGGAATATACATTTTTTGTATAGAAAACACACATATCATTTATGAACATGTAGAAAACACATATTTCATTGTTTTAAATAATCAATTCCTATTCAATCAACCAAAACTGAGGCTAAAACCTGTTAGTTCCCATAAATCTATCTGAATGTATGATTTTTTTTCATGTCATTCTATTCATTGACACAATAGCTACCAGCTGTCAGAAGCAGGAGTCATATTTGTTTGTACCTAAGAAAAGTTTAAAGCTGCTAAAATATTGATAAATGCTGAGAAAAAAAAATATTTTCAATCAGTTTATGTACAGATTTGTTTTGGTCATGTTTCATAAATGAGATCTAATATAGTAAGTTGCAGTTTTTAGTCACAGTCTCCATACTCCATTATTACTTTCATTTAAGGAAATTTAACAAAGAAAATGTTGAGCAATTGCAAGAAAATGTGTCATAAAATCAGCGGCAGCTCAAGAGCTGAAAATTTCAGCTTCAAAAAATGAGTGTGAGTATTTACTCCTGCATAAGTCCCATCCTGTCTTGATTTTAAGAGGACAGTGACAGAGAAGTGGCATTTACAAGTTGAACTATTGTGAGAGTTCAGTGACGCTGAGAGCATTTTTGCGCACACTCGTGATTACTATAATCCATTTCTACAAAGTCTGTTATTGATAAATACTGATGAATACTCCACACTGCACCTTGAGAGTTTTTCTGAAGTCTCTTGGTGAATGGAAAGCTTTGGTGTATGAGCAATGGCAGTAATTCCTGCAGCTTGTTTTGGAAACCAACTGCAGATGATCGTAGATAAGTAAAGGTTCAATCTGTAATCACAAGTGGGGCTGGGCAATAAAATAATAATGACGTCAAACATTAATTTCCCTCGATATTGATATGAAACCTGGTCAATATGCTTTTCGATAGTCAACTTTCTGACATGTTTTGGTAGACTATACGAAGAGCCAATGAAAAGTGGAGTTGCTCAGGGTTGCCCCACTCTGAACCAATCATGTGCTGAATTAGAACCAAGTAGCAAACAACTGTGCAGTAGCAGGCTGCAGCTACACGCAACTAGGGCTGAAACGATTACTCGAGTAACTCGAGTAACTCGATTAATAAAATTCCTCGAGGCAAATTATATGCCTCGAGGAATCGTTTAAATCCGGAACCATGTGCAGCGCACGGTGTTTGACACGGACGGTTATTTCTGTTGCGCAGAAGCGTGCTCTTTCCGCTCCTTCCGCTGCCGCGCGTTTGGTTCAATCATGGAGGGAAACGAGGACAGACAGAAGCTGTGTCCGAAATGGCATACTGCCTGCTATCTACTTACCTACTCAAGCAGTAGCTACTGCCTACTGACTACTCAAAGATGATTTGAGTATGCCGCGGCTGCCCGAGCGTTTACACACATACATACTAAATACCCCAGAATGCATTTCGTGCCGGCCGGACGCAGCGCCGGGAAAATTTAAATAGTCCTACCACAAGCTACATAGAACGACTGCATACCGGACAAATTATATAAATTCATTCAATAATAATATTTTTTCTAGCGAGAAAGTAAGTGTTTACATCACGATTATGAGCCCAGTTGTTTGAAATAGTGGCTGTTTGTAAATTTGTCTCGGCGTTTTCGGAGACCGAAGCGTCCACTTGGTCGGTGTTTGCGTCTATTTACCGTAAACACCGGGCAGCAGCAGCTCCCCCTTCACGTTTCCAAATTATTGCGAAGTGTTTTCATAATCAACATCTACACGACACAAACCGGGCGGCATTGGATGAAAAAAATCACACAAACATCCGTGTATCCATGGTGATAATGCTATACACCACCTGCTAGGCGTGTGATGAGCAGCAGAGGGCTGCAAAATGACCAACACACAACAACATGTAAATAAAAATGTAACACTTTTATATATTGAATAAATGTACATTTGCTTGTCAAATTATGTTAGTATCCAAGAATTATATTATTTCAGCCTATTAATTAAACAAGTAAAATTAGATCCAAAGCCTGGAAATAGTTGTGACTGGTTTAGTGAAAACTGCAAAGATCATTACCATAGCAATTAAAAGACCATCTGCAGACCTTGCCTTCAGTAGTTTCATGTGAACTACATGGTAAAATGTAAAACTTTTGGTTCCTGATTTATGCAGTAAAAATATTCATTTGAAAGACCTGGCCTATTTCAGTTTTGTGTGTTACTGATGGTTTTTAATGAGGCAAACGTGATTCAATGCAAAGTATTACAGTGAGAGCAAAACATTTCTTATCCGATTACTCGATTAATCGACAGATTAATCGATAGAGTACTCGATTACTAAAATAATCGATAGCTGCAGCCCTACACGCAACCATAGCACTTTAACACGTGAAGCCAACAGCACTGAAAAAAAGGAAATGAGTGCTACCCCTGGCAGAAATGCAGATGAAGGCTCAACAGATGACGACACCGTTGACAACACTGGCAGGTATTATTATTTTTTTTTTTATGTCAGACATATAGTAGAGTTATGTGCACTGCAACTTATGTTGAGTACAGGTTAAATTTCATTTTAGAGTAACAAGAAACATTTAAGAATGACAAGTGATTTTTTTTATATTGTGGTATCGATATCAACTGATATGAAAAAAATATTACATGATAAACTTTTTCCCTTATCGCCCAGCCCTAATGACAAGTATTATCCACTTATTTACAAATAAATGTGTCTGAAGGCTATGTGACTGAGCAGATCCAGACATTTATCCATTATTTTATAGAACAGAGTCAGTCTCTTTGTCCTAGTCTAATATCAACTTTCTTGCATACATGCTGGATATGGATAAGAATACAAAGTAGAGATGATTGTTTCTTTTATGTATGAATTCCAGGCTTCTACACAAGAGTCATTTTTGTGTTTGAAACTGTGTGCCTATAAGGTACCAAGTAACAGATAGAAATCTGAAAGAGATAATAAGAGCCACTCAGGTATATTCATGCATTACTTTCTATTCTTCTTATCACCCAGCTGTTCAATGCTTCATTTTGATTGGTGAGACCCTGCAACAATAGCAGGAGTGAATTTGTATCATTAATATTGTGATTTGTTGTAAACGTCTTTGCTGATAGTATTATTGATTGTTCATACTAAAGAATTTAATATAGAAAAAAAAATATTTAATGATATTGAGATACTGCATTATTTGAATATGAAGCAGGTGGAACACTGCCTAAGAATCCTCCATTGTGACCAAAATTCTAGATCAGTGACCTTATAGTGAACAGGACCTGAATTTGGACCATGATCCTGTAGAGAATGATCATTTCACCTCAAACACTTGACCTGACCAGCATCATCTCTGCGTCTCGAATGAATATTATCAACTTTATTGAAAACATTGACAACGAATTCAGCTTCACAATCATCTCTGAAGAATATCAGAAGCCAGCTCTGTTTTTGGGATCAGTTTTTTTATTGAATATCAGAAGATAACTCTTTTTTTGTGATTGTTTCTTTATTGAATAATCAGATAATTACTCTAAAAACTTCTATACAGTTTAACATTTGTGTAATCACTCTGCCAATATGAATGGAAGATTTCCTGCAGGAAACTTGGTAAGACTTTTTCATTGGACCCTCTGTAAATAACTACATTAGTTATGTACCCATGTCTACAAAGGTCAGTCATTTTTTTAATGAACCTCATGTCATTTTATTTACTCTTAGTCTTTTGTGCCAATTGCTTTTGGTGTAGCTGTAGACACCATGAATGCAGCGCCTGCTGTTCAGCTGCAGCAGCCTCATTTACAGCTCACCGATGCTCAAATCATCCAGGGTCTAAGGGAAAACCCTCTTCTCCACCATCAATGAGATCAAGTCTCTGAAGGAGCAGAACAAGGTCCTGACAGACAAAATCAGCCAGCAAGACACCAAACAGGCTGAGGAGTCAAAGCGGCAAGAAGACATTAACCAGATCCATGCCAACACCCTCGACCTGCTTACCCTAAGAGAGAGGGAGGTAACCAAGCTTCAGGAAGAACTGAAGCAAAAGATGACCTCCTCTTGAGAGCAGCTGAAATGGAGCAGGACAGAGCAAAGGCCCACAAGAACACCATGGACCTGCTGGCCGAAAGTCAGAAGGAGATGATAAAGCTCCAAGAAGAGCTAAACAAAAAGGATGACCTGCTCATCAGAGCAAGTAAAGATGAGCAGGACAGAGTGAAGGAGCATGAAAGAACACTGGACCTGCTGGCCTAAAGAGAGGCCAGTATAACCGAGCTCCAAAAGCAGCTGAAAGTGAAGAAGGACCTCCTAGCACCAGCTGACAAAAAGGACAAGGACATCAGCCAGGCCTATGAAGTACAACTGGCCCAAAAAATGTCTGAGGTGAGCAGGCTCCAGGGAGAACTCAACTTTATGGTGGAGCTCCAGCACAGAGTTGTAAAACAAAGAAGGGAGAGAACCAGAGCTCACATCGACACCCTGGACCTGCTCAACAAGAAAGACATGGAGCTGAAGAGAAACGAGGAGTACTGGAGGAGAAAGTTTGAAGATCTGCAGAAATGTCTTTGCAGCCAGACCAACAATCTGCAGCTCTCTCCCCAGATACAAGACTTCAACAACTCAGTGCAACAGCAGAAGGAGCTGGATGCACCAAAAGAACAGGAGAAGACTCAACAAGTCAAGGAGGAGGAGATAAATGAGGAGGAGATAAATAAAACAGATGAGGAGGAGAAAAAAGAGGAGGGGGAGAAGACAGTTGATGAGAAGGAGAAAATTGACACTGAAAGACAGTCAAATGATGACAAGATAAAGGAGGAGGAGAGCGAACAGGTGAAGACCGAGCTCAAAGAGAACAAGGAGCTCATTGAAAATGAGGACAAAAGCAAAAATGTGAAGAAGAAGAAGAAGAAAAGAGGAGGACAGAGAAGGAGATAGGAGCTGTCCACGAACCCCACAACCACCTCCCTAATCCCCCTTTCTTACCTTAACCCCCCCAACCCCCTTTCTCACTTCTTTCCTAACCCCCTTCTAACACGCTCCTTCCTAACTTCCTTCCTTCCTCACCTTAACCTCCCCCTTCCTTGACCCTAACCCCTTCAACCCCTACCCACCTTTCCTTCCCTTATTCCCTCACCTTTTTGTATATAGTGTATATTTGTATATAAGAAAATTGCTCTAAACTAAAGAGCAAAGAGCATCAATACAGTTCTGCTGAGCTGAGCCGTGTGTATTTGTGTGGTTTCTTTGTCTTTTTCTTGTCGACTTGATTTGGGCGGTAAATCGGTTTCTTACACATCTGGTAACACTTCAGTCTTAAAATCTTTAAAGCCAAAGAAATTTAAAATGTTCTGAGAAAATTATTCTATCACCTTTTCACTTTTTTATCTGAATGGACAATTCATTTTCAACTCACAGGTTAACCCTCATTAGTTATTCCCTTCCAACAAATGTAAAGAAAAAGGTTTTAGCTATGAAGAGAGCTTAATCAGATTTGGGTGAATATTAAGAGAGCTCTAAATCAAGGTAACTGTGGCAATAACAAACCATACACTACTTTTAAAAAGATATTTGCATTCATGCAGAAGCAACAGCTTGACTTGAGCTGGTTTACAACAAACTTTATGTTGTTTATAACTGCATTTGGAGCCCATCCTGGTTGATCATCACTGTACTGACCTTTTCCTAATATTGACCTGATGACATGAGTTCACTAAAGTTCACTGTAGATACACAATAAGGAGGCGGAAAAAACTGTGAGGTGACAAAGGTGGTATAAAAAAAAAAGAAAAAAAGAGAGATACTGCACAATCGGGATGGGCGATATGGGCTAAAAAAATTATCACAATAAGATTTGCCATTCTGGTGATAATGATAAAAGTCCTGATAAAAAATATTAAAATCCGAATCCATCAAACAAGTGTCAAATGTGAAAACATTTTTAACATTTGTTGAAAACTCTTATTGCACAGAGTGAACAGCAGCAGATCCACTGTCCAATGTCAGGCAAACAGGTTTGTTTGTTATTCTGCTCTGTGTGGACTATGGTTGTCAGTCCATCGCTCGCTCTTATATCATCAACTTGCATTTATCATATTTATCACAAGATGGCAAATATTTATCATGGAGGACTGTTCTGGCAATATATCGTGAACAATAATTTATCGCTCTTTCCTACTGCACAACATTGATTTCATGCATGCATAAATAGGAAAAGAAGGGTATCCTTTCCCTCTAGCAGACATTCCTGCATTATAAAGGTGAAAGAAGATGTGCTTCATAATTCAAAACGACAAAGAAGCATAAAAAGTGACATTTAAGTCACTATCAGGAACCCACAGAGTTAAAAGAGACTTTATCTGGATTTCACAAGCAGAAAATGTGGCTTTCATGGCAACACTGTAAAAAAGCAGCTCATGGTAATAAATCATTTTTACAGTTTGTTAGTTTGGTGTGTGTGTGTGTGTGCATGCGTGCGTGCGTGCGTGCATGTGTTCTGCAGTGGGGCAGAATGCAAGTGGGACTCAGAGGGATTTAGGAGGATTCTGTTGTGTGACATGGCCTTCATTATTTTAAACATTTAATCTGACCTGATCTGACAAACATTCAGTGAGCTCCTTGTTGAAACTCAATCCAGAGGCGGTGGAGATGTGACATGTTATAGAGGTGAGAATGTGTTTAGCAGCACCATGAGAAAACATTTACTGTACCTGTGAAGTCATACCGCACCAGAAGTTGGAGTACGCCGCTCTGGACTCCAGCATAGGCGCAATGATGGTCTTATTCTCTCTCATCAGTTTCCATAACACATCTTGGTTGGTAAGCAGGTTGTCGCAGTCAGCCACCTGCAGACAAAAGAGAAGGGCACAATATTGACAAGTTTCAGACACAAACATGCAAGCACACACAAAATGTCACCCGCTGACACTAAATGACTGATTGAACCACAGCGACATGGGTCGATCACAGAGGAATGTTAGCAGTTCCCCCCTGAACGCTGTCATTTCAGAGCGGCTCTGAAACCCTGCTTGAAGAAAACCTGTTTCCCGTGTTTTGAGAGGAACATTTTCAGTGCGAGGATTCAGCTTTTGAATAGTTGACTATTAAAAATGTGCATCGCCAGTCTGACTAAAATTTTTTTTTTTTTGGTTTTCTTTTAACTTCAGTCTGTCTAATATTCCAACTAAAATGCTAAAAAATGCTAACCAAAATAAGTTTTTTTCCATGTGCAATAGTTGACACGTGCAAATGTGCAGTAACAGCCATAAAGATTTATGAGATCCATGATGATGATCCGATTTCAAATCTAATAAATGAAAATTAATTTAACAAAAGGAACTTATGGCATTTATAGACATTTACTCCAGAAAACTGAAGCCAGATCAAAAATGAAACAAAAAAGATAAGTAAAAAGCAAACAAACAGTAAAAAAAACACTGAGGGGCTGTCCTATATGCACACTTATGCACACCAACTCCCTGGTGTGTAAGTGTGATCAAGTGTGACCCATTCCTTCAACAATCAGGAGAGCAATGCACCTGATTTGCACTTTATCTTCACTTACTGTAATGCTGCAGCTGAGCAGTATTAGCCCAAACATAAATCCCATGATGTATCAGGTTGGTGACATTTATTCCTACTGAGTTATTATTAAGAGCCACAAGATTGCCACCAGAAGCTGCCTGAGAAATTTAGACGGATTCTTCAAAGGTGCAAATCTTGTAACTTTATATTATATTGTATGATAACAACATGATGGTAAATTTTCCTGTTTGCAAGCTCCATTAATATGTCTCCAGTCATCAAGTCCACAGCAATACATTACTATTCATTTTATGAATAGAGGGTAGACACAGGTAATAACCAGTCCACTGATGCAAAGAATTCAGCATCTGATTAATAACAGGAAGTAGTTTTATCCTTTGACATATATTTGAATTGGATGTAGGCCAGGTATGTATCTTTACTTGTATCTTGATATGTGAAGATGTTGTTATTCATAATGATTTGGAGTCTTTTATTATAACCAAGCAGTAAGAAAACAGGAAATCATAAATCTACTTACAAGGTATAATGACTGTATCAATAACATGATGTCTTCGAGTAAAATATCAACTTTGATATTGATGCCAGCATAATCAGCTGCATTTCTTTTTGTCCGTAGAAACATTATCATGTCAATCTACAGCGAAATAAATCGGAAATCTGACCTCAGGGGTCGTTCCATTTAAAAGTTCCGACTTGGAGCTCCGAAATCCGGAATTCAGAGTGCAACTGGATTACACCACTAAACTGATCACCAGATGTAATATTAGGAGCAGAGAACCTCACTCTGCAAAAATACCACCTACAGTGCATTTGCCCCTGTTGGCTGTCATAATGAAATGAAATAATGTTTTCTACTTGTGTGAAGACATTGCCTTGCTGTCAGAAAATTGGACTCAATGTTCACTGTAAGCTCTGAAAAAACAAGTGAAAAAAATAAATAAACTAACTCAAGCTCTACTATTTTTTTCCCCAAGACTCAAATGCTTGGAGGAAACTTTTCTCCATTTCTTTGAAAAGAGCTAGTGTTAGTATTAAAATGCTAGTTACCATAGAAACAATTTTCTCTTCTTCTCTGTTCATTAACATTTTGATAAAAAGAAAAACATGTAGTGCAGTCTTGGGTTACACGGCTCTCAAAAAGATATTTGACCTCCACCCCCTCAGCTCCGCATTGTTATTCACTGCCTCCAATTTTCTTCATAACTTGCTCATTCCAGCATTGTTCGTTATGCAGCGTTCAATTTCTTAATTTTAATCTATCGCACAAACATACTTCTCTTATTACACAGATATTTGGATTATAGATTAATGTGAACTACTAATGCAACCATTTATACAACACATGGCTTTGATTTCATGTTTTATATCTTCTTGTTTCTTGTCCCCTGTAGCGAGTATGGGCTCTGCTTCTTGTTCACATTTTTAACATTGTAAAAGTTGTTGTGTCCGGATAAAAAAGGGTAAAGACTTCAGAGTATTGAAAAAGTCTGGCAGAAGCATGAATTGGCTTTATACTCTTACATATCTGTTCACACATCTAACCCACAGACACAGATATCACCGTGGGAACATAATAAGAACAGGCTTATTTAGTTTTTTGACGGAGGAGAACATACCAGGAGGTAGTCAGCCCAGATCTCTCGGGCGGTCTCCAGTGCTGCCTGACGGAGCTTCATTACATGTTCATAACGGAGATTATTCCAGTGCTTAGGTCCCACCTCATCTTCAAAGGCACTAAAACAAGCACGGACACACCTGGTGAGTAATATACACATCAAACACACACACACACGCACACACACACACACACATACACATACACATACACACACACAGACACACATACCTGGATTCATCATCTGGCCTCCACTCCACATAGTGATATTCATTCTGCACTTTGATTAACCAGTCCCTCAGGATGGCTGTGGTGTTATCGATGTTGTGATCTGTCGCCACCCTGTGGGAAGTGATACACAGCAGACAGGGAAAGACAGAAAAGAAGAAAGAGAGAATGTCACAGTGATTCATGGGAACTTTGGCTCAGATGTGACAGTTTAGATCAAATCTTCTTTTGACTTAATCAGATCTGCTGAACAGATACTGGTATACATGCTGACTGGACACAACATACCTTAAAGACGATGTAACTAAACCAAAACAGAGTCTGTGTGTTTGCGTACACGTTGTCTGGTTTCTGCACATTTGTGAGGTGTAACTCTGAAATGCCTGTGGTGATTTAATGATGGCGTTATCATCCATGACGACAGTTTTCTGCTCACTGTCAGTGACAAAATTTGTGGAGTCTGACTTTTTCTTTAGCGCTGAGATTCTTTCTGACTTGTGAGCACCACGGCCGTTTTTGTGCCGGATAATTTCCTTCTTCACTCTGTCAGTCAAACTGCGTTTTTACAGAAACTCATTGTCTTCTAATCTTGATCAGGTCCATTTCATTCACTGCAGTGAGCTGACATGTCTGTGTATAAATACAGATTTGTATCAGTTACATGGAGGTTTGCAGATTTTAAATTAGGGAAGGAAAAAAACCCTACTATCAGATTGGCACTGTGACCGGCCATTACTGCTTATTTAGAGGTCAGAATCTGGGATCCAATTAGTTGATCTGTATTTGACTGCAAAGCTGATGCAGTGATATGAATTCTGGATGAGAGATTTTCTGGTAAATTCAATTAGAGAGGTGATAACCTAAAATTCAGAAGCCAAAACAGCAAACGGATTTTGACTTTTTATATGTATAATTTAATCAATTAGTAGAGTAGCCTTAACTGCATTAAGTTACAGACGGTTCAATAAGTGGTTAATAGGGATGCAGGATAAGATGGAAACGTGTCAGCGGAGTGGAAGTATTTGGATTTGTCAGGCAGAGACAGCAAGATGCAACGCTAGTGAAGCATGGGTGATGTGAAGAAGAGAAAAACAACACTCCTTTGATACCACTTTTTTTTTTTAAATCAGAAGAGCTATCATCCTGAGCAGCACCAAGAGTGTCTGAAAACTTGTCAGCTGCCTCTACCACACTTATCTGACAAAGCCAAGAAGAAAAACAGCAGCGACCATATTTCTGAAAATCTATAATCTAAAAGCATAAACTTATTATTCATGGTTGAATCAAATGTTTGTCTTGTCTAAGTTCTGATCCTGAAATTAAGTGACTGTCAAACTAAGAGTAACATGTCAACTCTAGTACAGGAGAGACCTGGTGTTGTTTACAGTGTTACAGAATTTCATTATAAGAGCCTCTCTTAAATAAGAATAGAATTTAATATTAACCTAACAGTAAATTAAGTAGCTATCGGGTTTGAATGAAACATTTGGTTAGCACAGTTTATAGAAGCAGCCATAAGCTCTGCAAGATTCAGGTTTTCACTTCCGTCTGATGTAACACAATACAATACAATACAATACAATACAATACAATAAAATACAATACAATACAATACAATAAAATACAATACAATACAATATAATACAATACAATACAATAACTTCATTGATCCCAAAAGAGAGGGAGTCTCTAACGTAGCCTTAACAACAAATCACTAAATATTGAAAGAGAACCAACAATGGATACAGGTCTTTGTTTTTCAGCTGGATTTTAAAACAATTACTTTATATAACACACAATGTTATAACACAGAATTCACTGCTTTCCGAGAAGCACTCAAACTTATCTGTAACCTAAACATGACAAACAAGCGTGCAGACTGAGTACTTTTGTTTCAGCTACCACACTCAGACATTAAGACAGCCTTGAAGATACAATTTATTGATCTCTTTCTGGCTATTTGAGGGCAGCACAATAAGCTGAAATCAAACCCGTATGCTATCCCCCGACAGACTGACTGTGAGGCTGTGCTGGTAAATGGCTGCCTGTCTATTCTCAACTGTGTTTTTGGTTCTTTCAGTTTGTTCTGAAAAAGGTTTTAACAAGCAAAGAAAATAAGATCGCATCCTAGATGATATTTTATGACGAGCTTTGATTCATTATCTATCTCCACTTTGACATTCATCCTGTTCTGGGCCTTGTCGTGCGATCAGAGTTGCACATCACTAATGTCAGGGGTGAACACAAAAGAACAAAGACAGACAATATGGGCTGAGGAGGGGCGGAGCGGCATTCGTCTGCTGTCTGTGTTATCATAACAAATCTCGGTGTGTGTCAGTACAGGCCGGAGACAGACAAAGCCGGGGGGAGGTAAAGAATGTGTAAATACAGGAGGAATGGAGTCCCTCTCAGCCCCATCATGTAGTGAGTGACAGTCGGCATGCTGCAGGTGTTAGTTTCACATCAGTCTGCGATGTTTTAGCACCACAGTGCTGTACTGAGCACCTATATGAGACCAACTCACCAATCATCTGTTTCTCCTCCTGCTCTCTCTCTGTCTACCTTTCTCTCCCTGACTGCTGTGAATGTTTGAATGACCAGAAGTGGTGAATTAAAAAGGGTTTATGGAGAGTAAATATTTGAGACTGATCGCATGCCAGGAATAACACTGCCAAAAAAATAAGAGCGGGCTGAGAGAGAGGAAGGGGGATGAAAACAAAAGATTTATGGATTGTTAATATCCCTCCTGCATGTCCCTGCAGAACACACACACACACACACACACACACACACACACACACACACACACACACACACACACACACAGCATTAGGCAGTCTGCATGCATGTGCATTTATGATGCTGTGTGCCAAGTACTCCATCTTATCCTGTCAGGCGGAGAGCTGCAGGTATCGACAGGTGGCCGACTGGAGGCTCAGTTTATGTCTTTCACACTGAATTTTAAAACTTATACCATTTCTTTTACTGAAGGGAGAATGACACCGCACATCAAAGCAACCACAGAGAAAAATTAGCTCTGGCTGCCATATGGGCACAGTTAGACTGAGGCACACAGGCAGATATGTGGCTGGAGGAGAAGGAAAGCTTCACAAACATGCTGCTTTGTTTTATGACAGGAAGTATAAGTGAATGTCTCATTCTAGCTAACACAAAAATTACTAAAGTCAACATTCACCCCCAGAGGATTAACAGTCCCATCTTTCATCAAAGAATTAACTCACAGGAGTGACTGATTGAAATCTTTAATCTCACTCTTACCTCACACAGTGACATTAAACACAACTCTGCTTGAGGCCATGGATATTATTTACCTATATTAGGCCCCGGGGTTGCCAAGAAATTCAATCTGACCTGTCAGATGTGAATACTGATGAAAAGATTAAGATAATCTTCAACAACACATTCGCTGGCACAGGATCAAAATGAGAAGAGGAAGTGAGCTGGAGACGAATTATCTAGAAGGATGGGGGGCTGGGTGACACAGTAACAGCCTGTGGTACAGGAAGGTAAACCCGACAGAGGCGTGTAACTTGACACACACTCACAGATACGCTTAATTTGGCTTCAATTTCTCTGGATTGAGGACATTTAAACAATATTTTCATGACACAATAGTGGTTTTGTTTCCAGATGAGCTAGAGAGACGAAGATGTGGAGGTGGAAGAGGGAGGGGGCAATGGGAGGGAGGGGTAAAAAAAAAGGGGGGGGGGGGAAACGGAGGGGCGATGAGAGAGGATCTGTGACTGAATGGAACTTTTCACGGGCATGACTCTGCTGGCTCAACCCGTCCTCCCTTCACCACAACCGAGCGACTCCTTCACTGAATCCTGCGGGTTAAAACCTTTACTGCGCCGAAATTTTCACTCATTGCAACTCCGCTTTGCACTGTTAATAGTAGAAACGCAGCCCCCTTGCACCGTTTAACAGTTTGTATAGCCAATAACACAGCGGCCCCACCTGGTCAAAATTCACAAGCGCACGCGCATACGCACGCAGAGTTTCCTTCTTTATCATTTGCCGACACGTAATTGACGTGACTCCGCTCCTGTAATATTAAACTGACACTTTCCTTAACGCAACTGCGAGTTTGTTCATCATTAATTTAGAATCTAGGCTATATACCCAGAAAATGTACAAAACTTTTGCATAAAAGCGTCTCGTTTCATGAAGTCAATTGCTCTGACTTGCAGAGATCATTTTAGGGGACTTAGAGCGCTGACACTCACCAAAGCGCAATGCGGTCCTTCGGGTAGTTGAGGCGCTCGATGGTTCCCAAGAACAGCGGCAGAGAGTGCGCCGAGTTGCGGCAGACAAGCGCGATGACGACCCGGGGAGCGAGGAGCGGAGACTCGGGGCTCCAGCGCTCCTCGGGGAAGTACCCCCGGCTCAGACCCGGTAGGAGAACACACAGCAGAGCAGGCAGCAGCGAGGTGACCCGGGGCATGGCAGGGGAGAGAGACAGGCTGGTGACACGGCGGACAGAGAAGGACACGGAGGATGTTTGAAGCTGAGGGTCCCGCTGTTGTGTTATGCCGACACTGGATACATGGCGGAGGAGCAGGCTGACTTAAAGGGAAGGTCTGAACCAGTTTAAGAGGAACTCGTCGTTGAAAAAAGACGGTTTTAGGCTTGCATTAAAACAGTCTTGAAACAGTAAAAACGGGCAATACAATGTTCTCCAGTTCCAAAATTCAAATCTACGGGATTTTCTACAGCTACGTATCCCGTATCCCGTTAAATCAAAACGACTACCGAGCTTCCGTCTCTGCCGTGCTGCCCTCCCCTTTAAGAGCATATCCAGCTGTAGTCCATAGCAGTGCTGAGGTCCATAGGAAGACATATGGGCGTGTTCATGAGTTCAACATGCTCCAGGCCACATACACAGAAAGCACTGCAGATTTTTCCAGAGCAAATTCTTTACAATAGCAGTCCCTAACTTAAGACTACTCCTTAACATAATGCCATTATGTCTACATTTATGTGTCGTAAAAGAAAAAAAAACTGTTGGCAGTTGAAACTGGTGTGAAAAGTTGCATCTTAAGCCTTAATTCAGAAGGGGAGATAGCTCATGCAGTAGCATGTTTTATATTGGTATATTTTACTCACTAATTTAAAAATATGAAGGTTTTTTAGTGTCTGACAGCAGGTATTTTAAATTTGGACCCCTGTTTTGTTGGGCTGACATGTCTAGTCAAAGACTCACTCTTGTGTATATAAGAATAAAGTGAATATGTGATGGCAACATGATGTAGGCATCTATAATACAAATAAACAACAACCAAAACATGCCATCAGAATGTCTTTGTATTGTTGGTACACCAAAAATTGAAGAAAGGTCACATTTGCCAAGCTGTAGACTGTACAGTGAAAAAAAGTATCACACCAACCTGTAAAGGAGGAAAACAGAGTGTGTAATTCTCAGGCAGTGTGGTCCTCATATCATCTGGGGAGTCTGGGACTAACATGGCCTTGGAGTCTGGACTGGGAATTTACGTTATCTGTCCTCCAGGCAGCCAGTGTGAAGGTCTGAAACGGTGCGTCAAAATTAAACATTCATTTTCCTACACATTCCCACCATTATAAGGCAATACCAATGTCATTACACACAGTCTTTTTTATCCTTTCCTCTTCCTCTCAAAGTAGTACCTTAGATGCAAACATTGCAAATGGGTCTAGAGGTCTGCATGAACTGCTGCAGTGAGACTGATGTGTTGTCTTTCATTAAGCTGTGGAGCTGTGTCATTTCAGAGTTTGCCTAAGTGTCAACGCAGACATCAGTGGTGCTTTGAGGGGGTGTTTCAGTCACCAGGAGGCGGAAGCTTGTGGTAGAAAAGCTCAGAGAAAATACAGCTGAAGCAGCTGTACTTTGGTGGATGCAGTGAGATAGAGACAACCAGCAACAAGATTTAATAATCCTATAATCAACACTAAAAAGACACACACGATGATACACTTGGTCATCTGCACAATGTGTAAATGTAGATGACGAAAACAACTTCTCTCATATGTATCATTCATCAAGAATATTTGCAACAGAAAGAGTAAAAGTGGGATTTGTCTTTACTGTGCTGTAGGTTGCCGTGTCTGACAGAAACCCCTGGCAACAGCTGCTGGTGTTATAAGTTACAACCCAGTTAATCTTTATGCTAATGGTTTAGTTCGCTGTTGTAAGTCATGGAAATTCATCCATGTACAGTCCAGTCTGTTTCATAACTGGCCAAGATTACCCACAGGAGCTTTCAGTTTGTAAGTTGTAGTTGTCTTTATGTTTGAGTGGAAGAGACAAACAAACAGAAAAGTTCATATCTGCTATCAAGAGGTAATAAAGACACTGTAAGTAAAAACATCCTTCTTGCTGTCATTGAATTTTTCCTAAAATGCTGAACAGATTGACAAGAAGATGGTGATTGAGGTTTCCATGTACGTTCATACATTTACATTAACAATGATTCTTGATAGTAATAGACACATGGCACAAACTTCTGTTAAAATATTCAACACCTCGGGCTACGTAACATTTGACATACCATCATATAATTAAACTGTTGAAAAGCTTCCAGTCAGATAATGAAGTGTTGTAAAGAAACTACCTCTCTTGGTGCCTGGGGAAATAAAAGATCCTCCTCTGCTGTTACTTTATGTGAGACTGTTACAGTCTTGAGAAACCCTGCTCAAGTCAGGAGTCAACTGATTAAAAACATGTCATGTCTGTGGCTCCTGTTCCTCTATTATAGACTAATTGATGGTGTAAGGTAAAAAGTCTATTTTATTTGGATGTTAATATTCAAGAGGACTAGGGTAACTGGTCTTAAGTATGTAATTGTTGTCATATAAGAGAGTGACTTGAAAAGTATCATCTCAATGCATGAAACAAAAGGAATAAAAAGTTTAAATTACTTGAGGTCCTGATGTCACCACATGTATTCAGAGGGATTTGCCAAGTAATCGCAAATCCTTCACATGTGGGTGGAGCCGTTTTCAGCAGGGTACAGTCAAGCCTTTGGGTGATCGTGTGATGGAATGACTGTCATGTCAGTTCACACACTATACGTCCTTGAAAGGTGAGAAGAAACAGCTCTATGTAGATGCTGAAAATGGTTTCATTTTACAATTTCTTGACTTCACAGACACAGCAGCTTGAGGCAACCAGGCCTGTTGCCATCCTGCAGAGATCACTTTCTCCACATCAAAACGATTAAGTGAAAATCCTACTTCAGAGGAGCCATGGCAGCTTAGACATCAGAGAGCAACTTACAAGCTCAAATAGTCATGAAGTAGAGGTTAAGAGCAAGACATGAAAGGTGAGTCAGGGCAATATTTTTAGCCATTTTATATGTCTGCGTAGGGGCGCTACTTAGGTCTATTGTTCATCTATTATTTTCTCTTTTCACTTACTGTGATCCAGGATTTCCACTTAAGATGATTTTCAATAATCCTGAGAATTACTGCATCTTTTATCATTGAGCTTACTAACAGCTCAAGGGGAACAGAGATAGAAGATCAAAGATGGCTCAGATGATGGGGAAGGGAGGCGGCAAACACAGTACACCACGCCAGCAACAAACACTAACAGATAAAATACAAAACACAAAAACCAACTGAACAGATGGTTAAAAGTGGAAAAAGAAAAAGTCTTGAGGGTTTATTGAAGGCAAACAAGTTTAGGGGTTGACATATTGTCCGACGGTTGTTTTCCTTTTCCCAGTTGCTAAAGATGAACCTTTTTTGGACAGTCTCCCCAGAGGTTCTTCAACAGATGCATGGCATCCTGGGTCTTCAGTTCTCATGCATTTTTACTGCACAGTGTGAACAGACAACGCACTGCCAAAGGCAGAGGGCAGGGAAAAGAATAACTTTTAAAGGGGCATTTCAGCTTTACAAAGTTGGCTCATGATTGGGAAGAGTAACAGATGTTCAAATAAACGAATGAGCTTCAAACAAAAGGGTTTTGTGAACCTTGTAGTAAGTTATTTCTGCTGTAAAAGTAGACAGTATGAATGGGGATCTCTTGGCTTTTGCAGTGGACACTTAAGGAACTGTTTTGGCATTGGATTCATCTTTTGACATTTTAAGTTATTGCTTGACTTTTCCTAATTTTCTGCTTAGACAAGATTAAGGTATGTAGAATATTTTAAGCAAAACAGAAAGATTATATTACTTTATTACCACATTTATGTTTCAGCTATATTTAGATTAGTGGTTTAAGAAAACATAACTGTTAGAGAGTCACTTGTTCTATGAATGCCCGTAGGACTCAAGTTATGTTGTGTTTGAGCTTTACATAACTTGTAATCAGTGTTTATATTCCTCTTAATTGTTGTATTCAGTCAGGAATTAGAATTTCCCTAATAATCCTGCTCTTTCATTATAATGTGAGGTGCAGTTTCAGTCAATGTTTGCAGTTAACCCTCTGTTTTGTATCTGTTTATTTCAGACCACACACAGACACTCTCTCTCTTTTTACCCACCTAATGACTCAAAACATATGCAATCACATAGATGCTGTCAAGAGAGACTGTACCAGCAATAGTGGGACAAGAATTAAGTGGGGAAATTATCCTTTCTCTTGAGCCTGATTCTCTAACTGGAGTCAATGTTCATATTGTGTAAATCTTAGAGAGTGAGGTCTACAATAATTAATGTCTGCTAAGTATGTGAGTTGATAATGACCTAGAAATAAAGTGACTTTCTGCACTGTACATTTTTCATCTCTTCTGAACTCTGGCCGCCACATTCGTTTCATGTTCTACATACATGTCAACATTAGACCCATGTCTAATGTTAAAAGGCATATCCCAGAGTCAGCTGTTGTGCTTGAAGAAACTGATGACAGACTTGTACATAACAGAGACAAAATAGCACACTGCAACGAGTTCACCAACACTGGTTGCAATGAACTGAAGCATTTAACACACAAGTTACCCTCACAACCTGACTCAATTAATGGGTTACTCTCAGAAATATAACCCATAAATATTAACCGAGTTGAAAAACCCACAAGTTGGATTGAAATGAAATACCTATAACCCAAGAAATGGGTTTGGCTCTGAAAAATAACCCAGAAATGTAACCCAATATGTATAGCCCAGGAATTGGGTAGAAGAAATAACCTGTGTTTTCAGAGAGAAGTGTGCACACTTTGAGCTCTATCTTTTAACTTAAACATACATACAAGGTAAGTGGCTATTGTGCTGGCTCACTTTACCAAATGAGGAAACAGAACGCATGATTTCCGTGTATTACGTAGGTGAGTATGGTGGGTAAAAGTGGTCACATGATGCAGGAAAAATTAATCCCTTGTTATTCGCTGAGAATCCCTAAAAATTCATGCTCTATTGATTTGCCTAAAATCCTGATTAAAATGGCAAAAACTTAAGGTCTGAAAGTTTTAAAGAGTTTAAATGGTTTGAATATGAATACAATGTGTTTGTCCAAAATGATGTAATTTAGAACACTGACTGGAAGGGGCTATGGGGGTTTAAAAGAAGGCTTTCTGGGCCTTTCATTCGGTCTGGAGTTTGTTGCAATGAAGGTAACTGCCAAGCTCACTTTTGTATTGGTGCTGTGTTTCTGTTCATTTCTTGTTGCCTTGTACACTGTGTAACAAATGTTTTGACCATTTTTTTACCTTATGTAAATATTTTTGCTCTGCACCTTGATCGACTGGCCGTAAATCAGTACTGTATAATCATTACAGCATTTTCCTAACTACACCTGTGTTTATTTTAGTATATACTGTGATTGTTTCAGCAAGAACCCTTCAACAATGTTGATACCTCGAAGATATTTTCAAATCACATGCTCATTTGTTAATCAACCATCAGCCTATGTAACATAGGTTTGTGTCATATCTCAATCAGTCGGAAAGTCATGGAAGAAGCTTGCTTAGCAAACACTAGTTCACTTACGTTCGGGTGTACTTTGCAGCATGAATCAGTGAATTACAGGTGCAGCTGCTTTGACATACTTAATTTCAGCCCCTGTAGATACCAGCGTTTATAACTGTGTGAAGATTTAGTCCAAAAGTCAACAAAAAAAAAATCTTTAGTCGCAGCCCTAAACCCCATCACAAAACTATCAGTCAGACAAAAACAGCAAACTTATTTCTTAAAGAACCATTTCTTTCTTTCTTTCTTTCTTTCTTTCTTTCTTTCTTTCTTTCTTTCTTTCTTTTATTTCTTTCAAACACTAAATTCTTTTAAATGTTTTAAAATTGACATAATCAAATGAGGTCAAGTCACTGAGGGTTAGTGGTTGCAAATGTTCATGCAGAAAAATACCTTGCTTGTGTTGCACAGAGTTAAAAGACAGGCAATACTTTTAAAAACAGGAAAATGGCCACATGAGGAGAGACAGGCTATTATAAAATCTTCCTTTCTGAAATATTTTGCAATCTAATATCAAAAACTCAGTAATCATACCACACAAATGCAGCTTCTCCTGTTATTATCACTGGGTTCAGCCCTGTTAATACTCTGTCACTCTCGTGGGGAAGTATAGAGGTCAAAGTTGGAGAGAGAACAGAGAGAGTAACACTTTATTGCGTAAACTTTCCCCATTAACATAATTGAATTATTCAAATTCAATAATTCTGGACGATTTTAGATATCCTTTAAACTGCATCACCAGCCCCGTGATAGAGAGTTGTACTCTGATTAAGACTCAACATCATCTTCTGTATATTACATGCATTGTAGAAACTGAGAGCAAACACTCTGTGGTCTCTATGACAGTTTTAATCTGTGATTACAACATTAATACTCCCTGGCACAAGCCAGAAAAGACTGTCCTTCAAACAGGTGACACTCAGCTTACCTCATTATCAAAACTGTGAAAAAAACTGCAGAAAGTGAGGAAGAGACATGACTTTAAATAGATTCACACAGCTGCTGCAGCTGTGTGCGTGTTATCTTATCGCTGCCGGTGTGAGAGTGCTGCTCAGGTGTCTCTTACTGAATCAGTGGCAGACATCTTATCTGATTTTGGGAGTTATGCACATGCACACAACCATGCATGTATAGTAGCTCCCATATAAACAAGTGTAGACACAGACAAGGCAACAGTTCAACCCGTATGAAAAAGTGATGTGAAGCTTGCATGTACCAGCAGGTTAAATAATGTTTCTTTCACCCAGAGGAGAAAAATTCTTTTAGCATTTAGTACATTTCAACCTCAGCCCTGAAAGGACATTATTAAATACATTCACTCAATCGCATTTTTGTGGCAAAATTAGTTTATTTCAGTTATTCTACAGCTTATAATTCTCTTTATCTTGAAATATCAAAGCTTGTTTTCTGGTAATAACCAGATAATTCATGTCATCATCTTGCCATCTTGAATGAATTGAGCTTGTTTTCTCATGAAGACAAAGAAAAAAAAGTTGGAGGAGTAAAAATGTAATAAATTGTGTCTGCATCGGGTGTCCATATGTTTCCCCACACAAATCAACAACTGTCACTGGATCATAAACAAGTTTTTACACGTCAAACATCTACCAGACTTTAGAGATATTTTGCTATCTACTTCTTAAAATTCTCATTTTCAAGGGTTGGAATTTTTTTTTATAAGTAAGACAAGAGCAGCACATTAAACATTAAAATAAAAGAACATTTTAAAAATTGTGGTTTTAAAAACAGTTTTAAGTGTTACAAAGGCATAAAACCTTTGAAAGTTTTGTTGTATAACAGAAATTCGTCAAATTCCCTGAAACTTTAAGCATGCACTTTGTGAGAAAATGACCACAAACAGGACACGTTCTGTTTGCAATTGTAGTTTCTGCTGTATCCTGCACAGACAGAGAAAAGACCCGAAGACCTGCAGTGCACTCTGGAAAATTTTATGGGTCTTGACTAGTCAGGTCAAGTCACAGTGTTTATTGACATATGCATACTTAAAAACAAGTTTCCATGAAAGAAATTCCTCCTTTGCTACCATTCCTTACTGAAAGGGCCTCTGTTGACAAGAGCTGCTACGTTGAAAGTGAGAAAAATTGAAACTTAAACTACAGTAGAAAAACAAACATGATCAGCGCATTAATAAAAGGAGGTGGCAAAGGCATAAAAAGAGAGGTAGCATCTACTTTTGTGTAGTTTTGGCTGCTACTTACATTATGACAATGCACCAAAGACTGAGGCACTGACTGCCCTGTTGGGTAGTAAAAATTTACCACCTTTTTTTTATTCACAGCCACATATTTCTCATGTAGTCTATGTCCTGTTAATGGCATTCATTTCATTTCAGAGCATATGATGCAATGAAATGTGATTCACCCGTCAAAGCTAGTCAGTGCTGTGATGCATGAGGTCCAAATCCGAGCAGCTCGGGTTGTTAAAGGCCAAAGAAACAGGATCTAATTAAGCTAAGTCAGGCTTAGCATACAGAACACGATGTGCTGCATGTCTCCAAACTAGCCTGCTAGCTCATATTCTTACTCACTCCTCCCACCTCATCTCATCTTAAATCAGTTTGACTTTAACTGAAGACATGGTCAAAATAAAACAGTAGACAGCAGCTGCACATTTGGAATAGTTAAACTGTTGAAAAGGTCTTAAAAACTTAACGATAACTCTTTTTAAAGGAGAAGAAAAGCCATTCGTGAAAAAATGCATTACCTCTGGATTTGGGTGTGAGTCTGTGGATGCATTTGTGTATGTGGTGTTAATAAATAACAAGTAAAGGCATGAATTTGGCCCCGGGATGTGAGATATGCAATAAATCATCAGGTCGTGGAAGTCAAAGTGACACTCAAGAGTGATGTATGGCTACATCTGGTGGGGCCATGTTTGGCTCAGCTTTGCGTTGAAGGGGTGTGTAAGCAGATATTCTGTTGCTGCTGTACATATGAACTGCACATGCTACACTGATACATAAACATATGAACATACAGCTGCTCCTCCTCTTTTTATATCCTCAGACATTTCATCTGGGTCATACACTCTCACTGTTTCCCTCTGACACAAACTGGCCAAACTGTCTTCTTCTCTGGACACTCGGACCTCCAGCAATCCCTCCATGAGCTGCCCATCTCTTCTACCTGTCCTCCTTCCCAGAGAAGAGGATGAAGGCATTGACTCTCCTCCTTGGTGTGTTGACTCCTCAGAGCTGTGTGAGGATCATGAGGAGAGACTGTCCTTGTTCTGTTTGGATGACCTGGAGCCTTTATGTAAACAGTGTGCAGCTGTGAGTCACACAGAACACAGAGTTTACCCTCTGACGGATGCTGCAACCGACTGCAGGGTAAGGTGACGCTCAAACGGCTAAAAACAAAATCATTTGAATTGCATTTAAAGCTCCTAGCTGAGTATGAAACACAGAGATCACACATGTTCACTTTGACCACAGGGGCCGCCTTAATTAACTCAAATAGTTCCTAAAAGAAGCTCTAAAACAACTGGGAGGAAAGAATGGACCTCAAACTAAAAGATTGGTTTATAATCAACCAGTGCAGACAATCGATTACATTTGTATGTCTACTGTTGCCTTAAATCTTCTGCTGTGCAGTCGGTATAATATTTGATCACTATACTGTACTTTAACTACATCTGTTTGCTCTTTAAAATTCTGAATGCAAAATTTAAGGTCTTTGCACACTAAGTCCATTTTTACGGATTTTTTTTTAAATTTCAAATCTCCAGTCTAATGAAAAAAGACATTTTGCCCAGGAACCTTGCACAGTGAGTCTGATGCACCTGTTTTTCTGTTGATTACAAATATCTGCCAAGCGAGACAAAACAAAGTCATCAAGCAGTGAGGCTGAATTTGTTGCCTTTTCATTTATTGAGAGAAGAAAACACTGTGTTCAACAACTCCCGAAAAAAAAAAAAAAAAAAAAAACCAAGGACACTTTTACCTGCTGATAAAAGTGCAGGAATTTATGCGGATCACTTCCAGTTACATTCCAAGGTGTCAGTGATACAGTTGGATATGTTTCTAGAGATACCGCAACTGCACATCAAAAAGAGAACTACCACCTTCCACGAAAGCAATCGATCCTGAACAGTAGTGAGCTGTAGACTATACTAAAATTCGGGACACATATACACACATACAAGTCAGTGTGCAAACAGGATCGACTCAACATGAGATTGTATTTCCTTTGCATGGCGATTTCACGCAAAATAATTACTCAGTGATGAAAGACTACTTATTTGACTTCAGTATGTTTCCTTAGATTTTGATTTATGGCCTATGATGGTGGCCCAAAATCATGTGTGGGTGTGACATACTTTACTAACTGATGTGTTGTGGTAAAGATAACAAGTGTCTTCATGTTGGAGCGCTACATGTTGTGAGTAGTACTTACAGTTTCTGAGTATTATGAGAAATCTATCAGTGCCAGGACAGGAGTTCAGTCTGGTTTGTGTGTGTATAGTCTGAGGAGCATTGTCTTCAAGTGTCTCAGAAGGGATGAATAGTACACTGGAGAACAATCTGTGAGGATGTGAAAATGGCAGAACCCAGTGGCTGTAACACAAACCCTTCACCCATCAACAGTAATATCTAGTAAATTTGGCTTAAAGCTCCCGTAAGGAGTTTTTGATGAAACGCCAAACAGACTGAAATGAACCGTGATGAGTCACTATAATGTACAAAAGTTAATGAAACCATTGACAACAACAATGACAGTTTATTTACAGTAATTTTGTATGTTATTTTTCCCACAGCAAAAATTCTGTGATTTTAGTTGTTATTACATGAAAGCACAACTGGAGGAGATTTTTTTTATCAATCAGCACCTATTTAAAGGGATATTCTGGTGTAAATTTATGGTCAAACACACTGCAACACCAAGTTAGACACCCCCTCCTTCAGTAGCCACTTGTTTGTGGGGGCAGCCCTGACGAGGTGATCATCAAGTGCAGCGGAGTTTCGCAGCTCAAGGAAGAACATTTATGAACGTTTCTTCATGAAAATGCAGTCAGAGTTCTTGTGTATCTTGTGCACTGCAGATGTGGTAGTTCTCCTGCCTTAGAGTCTCAGTCTGATTGCATTTCCATGAGGTAATAATCATAAATTTTCCACTGCACTCAGTGATTGACTATTGACCATAACTTAAATTTACACCAGAATATCCCTTTGAAAAGGAAAAGACGAAATCCACAGATATCAGAGTTAAGTCTTTGTTCACAGGGGGGCTCCATAATCAACACAGACAGAAAGTCAATCACAACAGCTTTTAGTTAAAGCACCTAAACAGAAATCTGCATGCAATTGCAGTTAAAATTTTGCTCCAAGACTTTGGTTTTTAATTCTAACATCATCTCACTTCCCAGGTTGCTGGTCTGAGGTCCAGCAACACAGGAAGCCCCAAAAGATCAGCCAGACCCCAGATCACCATCACACAATAGTCAAACCTCTGGTTTGCATTGAAAGGGGATAGTAATTGTCAGGTACAAGCTAGTAGCAGTGGATGAAAATTCAAGTTCCTCTTTTCTTTTTTGGGTAAACATCAAGGGAAAAAAAACATTAGATGAAATAAGCCATAGTGAGTAATCGAGAGAAAAAAAAAGAAAGTGTAGTTCAGGTCCACTAAGCAGGAAAATACATCACTGTGACGCTATGTTTTTAACTATAACACTCTTCTTTCACCTCTGTGGCTTGTGTTTATACAAGAAACAGCCTTTTCATGTGAATCTCTTTTAATCTTTCTGCCAGTTAAAAGCAGTTTAATTGAAATGCTCTGACATTCATCTTTTCCCAGCCTCAATGACAACCTGGCCAGCTTTCCAGTAAACTACAAACTAAAGAACCATTGGAGAAAAGTCAGAACAAACAGACATGTTTTGGTGTAAACAGACATGTTTTTGATTTGTTCCTTCACATCAATCCTCTTGTGAAGTGTCAGTACAATTTTGCAACAGCTTTGAGTGAACCACTTAAGTAAAAGACAGGAAATTGTCCCTCTTATTTCGCCTAAGAAGCAATCCAGCATCACGCTGAAGGACCGTCACTGGAAACAGAGCAGCTGGCAGGAATTCACTATTTCCCTCAAGGACTCTTCAGCAGGGACTATGATTGCCAACAAGTGCACTTGAACGCTGGTTTCCCAGATTGAGCTGCCTGCTGCCACAAAGCCAAACCAAACAGAAGCACAAAGATGTCAAATAACAGCAGAGCTTTCTAAAACACAGACTCGTTCAAGATCTGAACCCTGTTTTTTTTTCTTTTTTCCGAGGACGAAGGAAGCATCCCCAGTCTGTTTTTTCATTACTGAGCATTCTGCGACCTCAGCAGGCGAATATTTGAACAAGCATGCAGTCAGGCATTTTTTTTATCCCCTGTAAATATTCATCTTCCTGCCCAAACAGATGCTGCCTTGTGTTAATCCTAGATTAGTTTATACAGGCTGAATTTAGAGTGACTTTTAAACAGGCGCAAAGATGAAAACTAAGCTGGAACCATCACATCACAAATAAATACGTTTACTCCAGAAAAACATGAAATTTGACCTTCACCTGCACATGTACACTCCTGAGAATAGTTAGAAGTTCTGGTGATTCAATGAAATATTCCTGATATAGTGTCAGTGCACAGTGCCGCCACATGAATCTGGCTCAAATAATAATGCTTATCTTATAACAGTGTGTACTGCAGGAAACCATGGGCTAATAACACCTTTCAGTTAGTCAGTGATTTCTACAGGTCTGAAGGTGCTGACTGACTCTCTATAGCAATTATTTACACAGTCTTCTACAACACAGTACGCTGCCACAACAATCACACCTCTGGTCTCCTGACGGCCTGCAAACATAAATACATACAGTATTTAGTAGCACTTCAGCTCAGAGCTGAGTAAAGGTAATGTTTAAGGTTTGTTCAAATATTTCCTTTTGTACCATCATTCAAGACTCTATTCCAGGGCCTTTTCTTCAAAGCTTAATTCAATTATTCTCAAAACTTTTTCAAAACATGACAGTGCAAGATGGTGGAAGAGGATACACTGCTGTAGAGCTTGATAATTATGTGGATAGACAAGACTTGTTCTCAATTAATAAAAGCAAGAAATCCTACATTTAGGTGAATATACACTAGTTTTAACATACTTACGAAGACTATATTCTGTTTCTACAAGGTCTGTTCTGCTCAATTCCATGAACTACCACACACCAAATTTTAAAACTATTTAAAACATTCACTATTTTGATTTTTGTCAATCTGATTTTTCTTTATTTTGTGAATATTTGATGTAAAAAAATTAAAAACAGGGCTGTTTCTTCCTCTGCTTGGCTGACAACTACCCTCCCTCACAGTTTTCAAGCATTGAAAATCACAAGATAAAAATAATCAGTCTTATTTCTGATGTTCTTGTTTTCTCTTTTATATTGTAAGAAGGCATCAATGTGAATTTTAACCTACTTCATAAATGGTTAAAAAAACTCCCTACAAGACTTTTAACTACTTGTGACATGTGGGATATGGAATGAAAGAGTTTCTAAACATTCAAAAATTCAGGAAAAGTACAAATACTGTAAACACTATAAACTACAGAAGCTACTCCTGGTATTGTACTCATTTACATTTCAAGTATCTTCATGATACTTGAAATGCTACTTTCCTAGCCTTTAATGATGTCTCTCTAATCCTGCACAGGCTCTTCGATAATTTTCTTTTTGTCCACTAGGAGGAGCTCAGAGCATCATTCAATGGACTGGAGACAAAGCTGGCTCACTTACAGAAATCCACACAGACATGGGAACACGCATCCAGTCATAACAAGGTATAGAAGTGGGAATCCAACTAAACAAGAAATTAGTCATAAAACTTCTGTTCTCTCATCCTCCCTTTCTTTCCTCTCCAGTCTGATGCCAAATTCACTGAGGAGCAGATGAAAAAAGACTTTGAGAGTCTCCACCAGTTTTTGAGAGAGGAGGAAGCAGCCAGGATTATTTTCCTCAGGGAGAATGAGGAGGAGAAAAAGAAAGTGCTAGATAAACAGATAGATGGGATGAGTCAGGTGATAAAATCTCTAGAGGAGAAAATCCAGCTGATTGAGGAACAGCTTGATGCAAATGGAGATGGAGCTGAATATTTGGAGGTAATTTAAAACATGTCATGGGTAGTGAAGGTGCGATGTGTTTGATTTTAACTGCAACACTATTTCTTTTTCTGCAGAACCACACAGGCAGAGTGAATAGGTATGTGACACTTCTGGTACTTTTCATAAATAAACATCAATATCAGTCTCTAAATATTCACAGGTATTCTCTGCAGTACATTGACAGAAATCAGGGACCCAAAGCGGATTCGCAGACCTCTCATAGATGTGTGTGAACACCTGGGTAACCTTCAGTACACTGTGTGGGAGAAGATGAAATGCCTCACTCCATACAGTCAGTTTCCTCTATCATGCTCGTAACTTCTACTCCTGTCTGTTTGTCTGTACTTCTTCACTCCTCCTGATCCTCTTTTTTATGTTTCAGCTCCGGTGACCTTCGACCCCAGGACAGCTGGCTGGTCTTTAAAGGTTTCTCCTGGGTTAAGCAATGTTCGTATCTGCCCTGGACCCTCACAGGGGCTGGACCTGACTCTGGATGTTTCTGTCCCAGATAATCCTACACGTGTCCACCCATATTCCTGCATCCTGGCGAGAGAGGCTTTCAATTCAGGAGTGCACTGCTGGGAAGTAGAGGTATCAACAACCTGGGCACCATTTCAATGTAGAATTGGCTGTTAATAATCAGCTATTATTGGTTTTTCAAAAATTTTGAATGTACATAATGTAAAGGCTACTTTTCATACTCTGATCCACCTCTTAATTAAAACTCAACACACCTTACTTAAAGGCACTATAAGGGTTTTTTAACTGGTTGACAAACAGACTGGAACTGACAGTGGGGACCTTTAAAAGCATATTTGAACACTAGCAGCAGGACTGATCTTTCTTTTTAGTAATTTTGAATCCTTGTAATGGCTGTGAGTAGGTTGGTTGCAACCCATGGGCTTGAGAAATGAAGTCGATGAAGGGGAACAAACTGCAGTTTTGTCGAGGGTCCACTTGAGGCTGCCTCCAAAAGACACATATGCACCCAATTAAAAAAAGCCAATCTATATAGCAATAATAAACACATTTACAGCCTGGTACAAACAAAAAATGATTGTTGTCTGAATGCCTCCTCTCTCTATTTGCACATGCTACCTGGGAGTTGCGTTTTTAACAAACTTGTTGGTTTTGAAGATATCAAGGTTTCAAGTTTGGCAAATTAAAGACACATCTGACAGACTGTAGCTGTTAGCATGGAGGCTTAAGGCCCCGCTAAATTCTGCCTCTTTGCCTTTTGTTGGGGTAGTCATAAATTAGGTTGAGTCAGCATTTATGGAGTCTGTCACTGATAAGCTCCAAACTCTACTTTGGAAACCAATTGGTGACGTCAATGAGTCCACGTCCATGTTTTGTACGACAGATTATCAGACTGTCATTACAAAAAAATATTTTACAGCAGAATTAAAGATGTTCAAACAAAAGTTTCCTTATTTTTTTTTTGCACATTACAGGGGAGATTTTGTGCTGGTGAGTCATTTATTTGGATTACTGGGAGAAGGACATTTAAAACTTTATTTCTAACAAACTGGCACAAAATATCTAAATTTGGTTATCCATCATGATCTAACCCTTACCTCTAAATCCATCACCAATTGGGCTGCAGTATACACAAAACATGAGATACGGGCTTTTCTGAAGTGCTAGAGTAAAAACCCTCCCTGCACTCTTCTCAGTTGATCTGATCTTTTCCTGTATTGAAACCAACAGGTTGGTGACACCAGTAATTGGACTGTGGGCGTGGCTGCTCAGTCCGTGTCCAGGAGGACAGAGATCAAGGCCTGTCCAGAGGTAGGACTCTGGTGTATCAGCCTGCAAGATGGACGATACCAAGCCCTAACCAGTCCCCCACGGAACTTGAATCTAGATGCAACACTTATCCTGAGAAGAATCCACGTGAGACTGGACTGGGATGAAGGGACTCTTGACTTTAAAGATGTTCATACCAACACAAATCTGTTTACTTTTTACCATTGCTTTACTGAGACAGTGAACCCATACTTTGAGAGTATATCCTTATTTGGGGGCTTTGGTCTGTTGTCAAAGACAGTGGACGTCAGTGTGAAGTCAGATTTCAGCCCTGAGGAAGACACATGGGAGGATCAGGAGGTAAATGATGAATTTTCTCCCGAGGAAAGCAATAATAGTGAGTTATCAACATATAGCAACACCACATCAGAGTGTGGACATCTGACTGAAGACAAAAATTCAGTTATTTGTGCTGAGAGAGAGAAGGAAACTAAACCACATGAAGGGGCAGTGAAGGACAAGCCTGTGAAAATAAAACCCACCGGAAAAAATAAGCACAGCAGGCCAAGGTTCAGCGTTACATACCACGTTTCGCTGAATAGAGCTCTTAACTTTATCAAAAAGTTAGCAGGGAAACACGAAGAACTCCCTAGTCACAATAATCCCTTGGTTGAACATCCATGATGAGATATATAGATTTGCCACCTTAATGGCTAGAATCCCAGTTTGGTTTTGGATGTTGTTCTTAGTTTTCAGTCTTGCTAGCAGCTTTAGATTAGTCCACCAGTCGGATCCAGTTTACAAACTCATTATAGGAAGCTAAAATGTTGTTCTCTTGTTTGCTTCGTTCCAGGTTAAAGTTGTATAAAAACTGTTTATCCTCCCCGCTGATTTAATTCAATCACTTTCCGAATGATAAGAAACCACAAAGGCAATCAAAAACATGTTTGTGAACCCATTAGCTACCATCAGATTCAGCTAGCATGAGCAGTCAGATACTTCCTAGTAAACACATAACACCTGATTTTCCATCTTTTGCCAAGAGGTTCACATTTCTGCTTTTGAATATGAAGTGTCACAGAGAGTTGAACCTCTCATACATTAGCATCATACAGACAAAATTTGAGTGTAATAGTGTTACAAGCTCAAAAGCGCCCCGCAATACATTTGCTTGGTGCCTAGCAAGCTTAGATGCTAATCCAAGGCAGTGGGCATATTCAGCCTGACTGTCGCTCTGCAGATCTCCCCCCTTCAAATAATAAATAAATCAAAAAATGTTCTTTTTTTTTTTCAGAGTGTGTTTTTAGCTATGTCTTGTACGGTGTCCTTGGGTGTTTTGAAAGAATCCTCCAAATAAAATGTATTATTGGTATTAATATTATTCAAGCATGTTGGCATTTTTAGATTTCAAGATACAGATTACAACCTGTTTTTACAAGTGTGATGAATCAAATGTTTGCTGTGTGCTCATTACTGTTTAAAAGTGACATTATCTGAAATCGTAGTATCCTATGTCTTGAGTATAGTGATGTGAAACTTAAGTGTTCTTTAATTAAACTGAAATTTGTTCCTTTTGTTGTTTTATTTTATTTTTCTACTTCTTAGAGGATCAATTAGAAAAAACTAATTCATATGTCTAGCATTTACCCTTACAAGCATGTCATTATTCATTTATTTATTTATTCAATTATTCTTTTATTTATTACTTATTCTTCTTTTTATCAAAATTATAACACACAATTTTGGACACTATAAGTGTTTATTTAAAAAAAATAGCAGCAATCCTTTACACATCTGTATTCATGTAAATATAAACAAATCTCTGCAAAGTCATGAAGTATACACACCATTGTCATCATCATAGCCACATTCTGTCTCATAGACTCACTCTTCCCTCCACAATATCATTGAACAGGTCATCAGTTACAGCTTCATAACACCCAGCACGACTGTTCAGAAAATAAACCTTTTCACTCGAGTCCTGCGGCTTGTATCCTTCCCTTTGCAGCCGTGTCTTCTGGATTTTGAAAGTACCTGAAGGCCAAAAGTGGAGAATGGAGTTAATGCTTACCCTTTAGATGCGTGGGTTTGTTTTTATGTCCTTTCAGAGTTGTCTCACCTGTAGTGTCAACAGATGGCATGAGTCGTAGGAAGACAGGGCGTGCGTAGGATGGCAGTGCTTTCTGAACAGCCATCAGGAAAGCATCATGGTCAAACTGGCCTTCTGTGTGAGCTACTGCTGCCATACCTGCTTTACCCTCCACATCTGCATACACGTAGACACAAGAAGTAAAAATGTAGCAAATATTAATCTTTAAATAGTTTTTCTCTTTTATTTATGATGGTTTATTTGTTTGTTTTTGAGTTTGTCTTTGCCTGGTATGGTAACTCCATAAACAGCGACATCAGCATGTCCCAGCAGGCCACTGAGGACTCCCTCTACCTCTGTGGTGGAAACATTCTCCCCTCGCCAACGAAATGTGTCACCGCTGCGGTCTTTAAAATATATGTAGCCGTATTCATCCATTACCAGCGTATCACCTGAAAGACAGACACAAAAACAGACAGAGAGAAATAATTACCTCAACAGTTCTTTCATCATTGTCCCGGAGGGGAATCAGGGAAAAGAGAATGAGGAAAAAAATACAGCCTCCACATGACTCATTATTACGGTTTTGAATCAGATGTAGTAAGATTGTGAGTCACTCTGCAGTTTAGAGTTACACTTTAAGAGCCTTTGAGAAAAATGGTGCAACATTAATAAATAATAACCAAAGATTTTTGGGGGGCTCTTTATTAGGCTTCACTGAAGTGAGACATACATTTTTCACCACCCAAATTGTCTTCAGATGTATGTATTTGTACCCACTGCTGCCTGATATATGTCTGCTATGTAACTGTTGAATGACAGGTATTTTTTTCTACACTTAGGGAAACAAATCCCAACATGCACTTGGTTGAAAGTCAGCACCGTATTGCCCTAGTTCCCAGTCCGTCAAAACAGACAGTGATTCACAATCATTCATATTAGTGGGCTGCATTGTTTGTGAGGAGTTTGTGAGACGTTATAAGTAAATAATGACGATTTACTGAAGCTAGACAGTTGCTCATCATTATTGTGACTGAGGTCTAATTTTATGGACTGAAACACACCTGAGACATAAGCTGAGTCTCCCATCTTGAAGACATTGCGAGCTATTTTCTTGCTGGTGGACTCCTGATCAACATAGCCATCAAATCTCCTGAGCGGATCGGTGTCATTGATTCGTCCCACCAACATGCCTGGCTCACCTGCAAATACAAACAAAAGGATCATTTTACTTGAACATTTGTAGTTAGGGATAGGACAAAATATTATTGCAACCATAAACAGTATATAGAATGGACAGAGTCTGCCTCCTTGCTGGGTGAAGCCACCCCAAGAACAGCACCCTCTGGTGACAGGCTGCAGTTTAGGTCATAAATCCTGCCTCCTCCAGCAATCCCTATGGAGCTGTGGACAAACTTTAGAAATTAATTACACAGAATATAAATTTTTCTCCCCCCTGCTTGCGGTGTTGACATGTAGTTATGGTAAGACTGGTTTGTGCTCAAGTCCTCTTTTTTCTGTGGAGCATCCATTTTTAAAAGTTATTGTAAGTCATGTTTTCTATGATTGACACTTGATACAGCCTATGGGTCTCCTACCGAATGCGTACAATGCTACTACGCAATGTTAGTTACAGGAAATGGAGAAAAAAATGCGGAAATACAGAGAGCTTTTCAGCTTCAAATGCTGGCGGAAGATGGAACCAAGTTGTCCGTAGTATAAACAGTCTATAATTGCAACGTATAGCAGTGTCCTGACTTGTGTGATGTGATCATCTGCTGGCACTAAATGTCAAAACTGGAAGAAAAAAAAAACGCACTCCAAAAAAGCTTTCTCATCATTTTTAAGATAAGATATGATAAGATAAGATATCCCTCTATTAGTCCCACAGAGGGGAAACTCTTAATTCACAGCAGCACATTAAAGGTGGAGCAGGCAGGATTCTGTTAAAGAGGCGTCTTTTTTGTGGTGTATCTACAAAAAAGCGTTTAATATCAGTCAATACCTAATAGTTATTGATGACATTTGGTAATATAACAATATTGCTGTGTTTTGTCATGTCTGTGGAGTCAACATTTAAAAACTTTTGAGCGCCCGCTCTTTCTGACTGTAAACAAAGCCTTCCCCCCCCAACCTGATTGTTTGTGAGGCAGACGCTGCTCCCCCATGTCGCTCAGGAGCCCAAACAAAGTTAGCATGCTATAATATCAGACAGTAGAAAGAAAGCAACCAGAAAGTATGGAAAAATGTCTGAATCCTCCTTTGGCCATGACTGCCAACACAAGCAAGAAAACAGAGTAAATACCAGAGACTCTGGCGGAATAACGGGCGCTTGAAAAGAAGGTAGACTGGGCAAGAGCTAAAAAGCCGGGTCAACATCAGCATAAATGATAGGGGACACTTTGGGATCTTGGTGACCCTGTAACCTTTCTGCTGGACAGGTAAACCGCTTTAACAAAGTAGGCCAAGTGTCTGTAACAGAAGTGTTTCTTGGACCTGCTGCGTGGTGTAGCGCCGCTAAACTGTTTACCTCAGGTCCTGGAGTATGTCACTTTATCCTAGAGGTGAAAGCCCTGCAAATATTGTGTTTGCTGGTAGTCTGTTGGCATCTACAGTAGCACCAATTCTTTTTACTTTCATGTTGACTGGGCCCCATTTGTAATTATCTGAAGTATTTATCTGCATTATATCTGAATTTAATTGAAACGACATGAGCGAGCAGGAGCGTCTGTTTGAGGGCGAGGCTTGCTGGAGCAGAGATTGTACATAAGTACAATACAAGAGGACAGCAAGATAATGTCAGACTTATCGTATCACCTTGTATCGTATAATGTCTTATCCCATAATGCTGTATTCTATCATATCGTATTACATTATATCGTGTGTTTGTGTGTGCGTGTGCTCACCAGGCTGACATGGCACACAGAGTCCCTGTGAATCCCTGAGCAACTCTCCACTCTCCTGCTGTACTCTCACCAGTCTGATGGGGTAAAAACTGGGCAGGATGCGACTGTTGAAGCCACATGCCCCCACCTAGATATGGAAACCATCAACATGCGACAGGGTCAAGTTTGGAAAATCTATTATCTTCCTCTCAAAAGTGAAATAATACGCACCTTCCCATCTATGTTTATCAGGCTGCAGTTACACTCCGTGGCACCATAAAATTCACCGACTCGCTGGATTCTGAATCTCTGTACAAACTCCTCCCACACAGAGGGACGTAGGCCATTACCGACGGCAACCCGCACCCTGTGTTGAGCCTCAGATAAACGGACAGGTTGGGCCAACAAGTAACGGCAGACCTCACCTATATATAGAGTCACCTGCACAAAAACATAGAGACAGGAAAGATCAACACCTTGGGCTCTATTTTGGTGCCTCGCCGGAGATCTGCCGAAAGCGCAGCGTCAATCAGATCCGCCGCGCTGACAAGGCGTTCCCAAGCACATTTTGGTATTTTGGTGAGCCGCGCAGCCCGGCGTAAGTATCCCCCCTCCCTAACTCAGCTCCTCCCAGCACCATAAGTTGGAGAAAGGGCGTGTAGTGATTTTAACAAAGCCGAGACCTGTTTTCACCAATCACATAAGCTCCTCTCCTTGCCTTTAAATCCGCCACCGGCGAGGCGTATTACTATTTTCATGAAGTAGTCAAAGAGATCAAGAGATGTCTTAAGACAGTAATGCCACAAGATGGCGACAGAGGGCAGCTCCTCAACAAGTGTCCTCCACACTCTCTCATATGAGCACAGATGGATTTAGTGTGCGTAATGTTGGACCCACTGGTAAGACAAACACCCTTTTCCACAAATAAAGACACTCACATAACGTTGCTCATATTCAAACCTCACGTGACAAAGGTGGGTTTAGCGCACAGATCACAACATAAACTCCAAAAATGGCATTAAAATTGGAACCATCTGTGCGTAAATGACGCATCGCGCTCCGTGGCCTGGCTCTTTCTTTCATAGATGTTGGCATATAAAATAAATTTGGCTCACAAAACTGAATATTATAATATCCGTATGTCGGCTTAAAGTAGATCACGCATCTGAGCACTGAAACAAATCATCTGTTCAGCCGCAGCAGCAGCAAGACGGACAGAGGACACGGAGACGTGTCCAGGTCGAGCTGCGCGAGAAATAAGAGGAAGAGGAAGAAAGAAAAGGAGGGAGACGAATTACATATCTTGTTAACTTCATCATGTGTGTTTATTTACTAGATATTTAATTTAATTTGATGCGGTTTCAGCTGTGTTGATTCGGTCAGGTTGTGTGTCCAAACGCGTGCCAAACGCGCTCATCAGATCAGATATAGATCAGAATATATCTATATAGATCTAAATATATGTGCTGACTCAGATTAATAGTTGATGATGATTACTTATTGCACTGAAATCTGCCTGACACTGTGGAAACCTGCCGGTGAGGCATCAGTGACGTATGTCGATACGCCGCCGGTCTACCAAAATACTACTAGACCAGCTGCGTTCCGCCTTGCGCTGAAAGCTGACCAGGTTTGAATCGGCGAGCTTTCAGCGCACTTTACACGCCGTTGGCGAGCACGAAAATGTCACTGCGCCAGCTGATTCTGTCAACACCTCCCCCTGCCACACCACCACGCCCAGCTTGGCGGATCTCGGCTCGCCTCCGTGCGGCTCATGCCACGAAAATACCAAATTGGCCTTACGCTGGGCTCCGCCAGACGAAAATACAACTGCGCGGGGCTCGCCGCCCTCCGCCGCCTCACCGGCGCGAACGAAAATAGAGCCCCTAGAAAGACATAGGTCGGGATGAGACTCAGCATGACTGACAGCACTGTGTGTTATGATTTGTGTGTTCCTCACAGTGCAGTTGTGTTTGACGCAGTCTTCCCAGAAGCGACTGGCAGAGAATTTCCTCCTGATGACAACAGTCAAACCAAAGAGTAAACACTGGCCAACACCCATGATGGTACCTGCAAACAATCAAAGTTTCACAGACATAAGCATAATAACAGTGATTGTTCTGGTCTGTGAGTTATTCTCCTACTGAGTCATGATCACTTTTATAGCCTGATGGTTTTAGTTTTATGGTATTATTCATACTTTGAAGTGAAACCCTCAGTGGAAATGCATCCAAACACTGTAAGTGCTTCATGGTCCTGCAATTATGAGCAATTTAGGGTAATTTCCTTTCCAAGTCAACTCATTAACTTTGCTATTTTAAGATAGTACCTGTGATAAGGAGTGAAGTTTGGTTGTTTTGTCAAGATCTGGACTTGTTTTTCATCTTATCTTTAGGCTCCTATGAGGAGTTTTTAGTATGATAATCACTGATATTAAAACTGCTGTATCTTACTTTTTTGTGTTTAAAACTGTTGCTGTGGGATGGCTGTCAGACAAGGAAATTACATAAGCAGACAACAGATAAGATAAGCAACAAGAAATGGATACAGTTGTGTTCAGAGTGGTTGCTAAATTGACACGGCACTGAAGTCACTCTTGGAATATGAATTTAATTAATCATCTTTAACTTATGAAGCAGAAAAGATTCTGGCAACCTGAAAAATTAAACAACAGGCTTGTCACTGTGATAGACCACAACATGTCATGCTGTCAATGCCCACGCCAGTGAGGTGAAGCCTATTTATGTTTGTTTTGTTTTAAGTTATAATTATCTGATGTTAAGTTAGATCTCCAAGAATCAGTTTATTACTGCAGGAAAACAGAGTAATCAATAAGTATGGATACATGTCTGCATCATGAACTTTGTCTGTATGATATACTGGCGAAGTTTGAGAGGAGGTGAGGTTTTGACATCTTTTGACATCAGCCCGAGCTTTAAAAGACAAAAGTTTTCACCATTAAATTTTGAAAGGATAATTGAAAAAAAAAAAAAAAAGTTAAGGTTACCTGCAGAGTGATACAGAGGCAGGCAGTTGTACATGATGTCATCGTTCTGTAAACCAAACGAATGGAAACCAAAGGATGCGATACGATAATACCTGAAAACAAACATCAGCAGATCACTTATGTCACCTAATAGAAATCTTCATTTTAAATAATACTTGACACTTGTACATTTGTTACCATAGTTTGTTCTTTCTCATATTTTTTGTTAGTTTGTTTGTTTGTTTGTTTGAGTCTCTCTTGGTGTATTTGACTTAAAGGGATATTTCAGTGTAAATTTAAGTTATGGTCAAACACACTATAACAGCGAGTTAGACACCCCCTCGAGAGATGAATGTTGCCGATTGCTTGCTTCTCTAGTTATACCGACTTTAGTAATGACCGCAGATAGCAATACACATCTCCACCTGAAAACCTCAACCAAAAAGCCACTCTATAGCCACAAATAATGCTCAGAACAGTGCCTAACTTCATCAACAGTACATATAGGGTCCCAGCCATAGTACTAGCCACTAAACATCCTTTTAGCTTTGCCTGGTTTCTTCAGCAAAGAGACCAAACACAACTCACCCACCCTCCTCCAGCAGCCGCTTGTTTGTGGGGGAGCCCTGGCGAGTCAATCATCAAGTGCAGCGGATCATTTCCATTAAGTAACAATCTCATGATAATCATTTTGCACTGCAGATGCGGTAGTTCTTCTGCCTTAGCGTCTCAGTCTGATTGCATTTCCATAAAGTAGTAATCATAAATGTTCTTCCTTGAGCTGCGAAACTCCGGCTGCTGAAGGAGACTGGATGAGTTGTGTTTAGTCTCTTTGCTACAGAAACCAGGCAAAGCTAAAAGATGTTTGATGGCTCGTGCTGTGGCTGGGACACTATATGTAATGTTGATAAAGTTAGGTGCTGTTCTGAGCATTATTTGTGGCTATAGAGTGGTGTTTTGGTTGAGGTTTGAGCGTGGAGAGGTAGACTGCCTTATATTGCTATTGTATGGTCGTTAGTAAAGTTGGTATAATTAGAGAGGCAAGCAGTCAGCAAAATCAGTCTCTCAAGGGGGTGTCTAACTTTGTGTTACAGTGTGTTTGACCATGACTTAAATTTATGCCGGAATATCCCTTTAAGTTAACTTGCATTGTAAGACTGACAGACTCAAACCATTCTAGAGCCTTATGCATCATCACTTCAGATGATACCACAGCTGCACTCACCGGCTGTGCACCACTATAGCTGCCTTTGGCATTCCTGTTGTTCCTGAGGTGTAGATGTAGAAAAGTCGATCTGTACAGAAAGACAGAGGAGAGGACTGAGAGGCAGAAAGGTGAGGCAGATTTTTACAGGTAGTACTCATCCACTAATCCATACTCATATACCTTCCCTGTTTCTTTCTTAGCAGCTTTTGAACATGTATGGTATGCACACCGACCCCCATCATTTCTTAACATGTTTCTGTCTCTCCTTTCACGGCCTCCTGTGTGTCTGAGGCTGAGCAGGCAAAGACTTGAAGAGAATGAACACAGGAATGTTGTGTGATAACTAAGACAACAAAATACATGAAGGAAGCAATTAGAGAAAACTTCATGTGCAAATATATCACCTCAAAGCTTAAAATTAAAGCCTCGACCAAATAAAATTTTTATCAAATTTTATCAAATAAAAGCATAAATATCTTCCCCAATTCACTTTAATGTATTATAATTTTTCTTTCTAAAGAAGTGAGAGGGGGATTTGTTTGAGAGTGGTTTGTCTGCTCATGTGTATGCAATAATACGTTGATTTTATCATATAAAGAGGGCAAAGACGGGGACCTCTGGCAGTTAAAAGTTAACTCTGGCAGGCAAAGGCTTGCTGAGCAAAAGGTGTTGCAATCCAAACTTTAATATGTGTTACATGATTTGTGCATAACATCATAGTGGCATCCTCGTGCACAAACACTCCAAAGAGACTTACCATTAAATCCCTTTTTGAGTAGACGGCTTGGTGGGTGTTTGGATGAGTGGTCCAGCAGGGTGTCCAGACTCTGAATTTGGAGGCTGCAGAGCTTCTCTTCATTGACCTCCTGACCACTGATGAATAACAGCAAGTCAGGCTGCAGACCGTCTCTAACTTCAGACACCACTGCAACAAAAATGCAGAATAAGAGGACATGTGCATATACAAAAAGTATCTAATTTAATATCTATAGAACTATGATTCAAACATTCATAATATCCTTTATTCAAACATAATGTATGCTCTTACCTTCTCTCATGTTTGTCCCAAACACCATCGCTCGAGCTCCTGACACCCTGACACAGTGCAGCAGTGACTGCTGCCGAAGATTATGATTGATGAATGCAGCCTCCACACCAACCATAGCCAAACCCAACCACAGTGCCACCACTAAAGGCTGGCTCTCCATAAACAAGGCCACTACCTCCCCCTCTGCCCACCCCTGTGCCAGCGCCCAGTGAGCCACAGCATGACACTGCTCCTGGAGCTCCCTGAAAGTCCACACCTGGAATAAAAGGGACACTTGGGTCTGTGATCCTTATTAGTTTTCATCAAAGTGAGGGTGCAAACTCTGTCTAATCATTCACGAGTGCTCACTTCTCCTGTTGCCTCATAGATCAGCGCTGGTTTATCTGGGTGCTTTGACACCATCTGGGCAAACAGGGCAGGGATGGTGCTTCTATTACGTAGATTACGGTACATGGAAAACCTCACTCTCAAGATAGCGTACAGACACCTTTCAGACAGGGGGGAATGGAGAAAAGGGTGATGACACAAAGTTTTAAATTGACGCAGCAGGGGTTGAGGAGGAATAGGTGGGAGAAATACATTATATTCAGGTTAACAACAACTACTTACATTAGGTCTCTTTTGATGGTGCACACAGCAACACGTATAAATCTCCATGAACCCCTCGAAGGCAGACAGAGCCCCAGACCTGCCAGCAGACTGCAGAGCCAAGAAAGGGAGAGCAGCCGAGCCACAACCACAACGAGGAGCACCATGACACCGCTTATAAGATTCATTTTATCTATTGGAACACAAACAGAGTCCATGCTAAAAAAAAAATTTAAAAAAAAAAGAAAGAAAATGAATAAAAATAAATAAAAAATAAATAAAAAGTCACGTTACCTTTAATAATGGCTTGTTGAGGGGAGACTCACCCTTTTAAGTCCTTCAACCCTGCCAGAGCAATAAAAAAAAAACCAAGTGTTGAAGCATCAATGCTTTGTCTGAGGAGACAGTAAACTTTGTCTTTCAGTCGAGCCAACGTGTGAGTAGTAGCTGTCAGAGTAAGTGTGTGATGAACAGCACCCACCGGGAGCAGGTTTGAACCCATACGGCGCTGCGTCACAGCAGCTCTGCGCCTCTGTTGGCCAGAGTGGAGAGTGAGTCATGGCGCCGCCAGGAGTACATGTCACTTGCTGTCTGATTTATTTCACTGGTAGCTATGTAAGGGGCTAATAAATTGTTCATTTTACTCAAATGTTGAGATTACGAAAGAGTTTATCAGAAAATGATAGCGGAAATGAGGTGAGCAACTACTATGCATCCTACACTTGATTAAAAAATGTTGAAATACCGAGTAAGCTGACGAGTTAAAGTCCAGGCTGAAGTGCCAGGAAATTATAACCGTAAAATATTGAAATAAAACCCCAGAAAATAGAAATAAATAGTTTGGTAGTTGTTTCAAATATACAATATGGCTATGATTTAAATCATGTTACCGATTTACACACAAGAAGAGTAACATGTGCCCTACAGTTAAACTCCAGGATAAAGCTATTATTATTGATTTGTCAACATAAATGTTGAATACAGCTTGAGGCTATGAATCTACTCACCCACTACTCCCAAGGTTGTGTACTTTGAAATTTGTAGATATTAAGTCTTCAAAAGCTTTACAGATAGGCCTACATCTCAAGCCATAAATCAGTTGTCCTCCTTATACTCAACGTGTCTTTAAATTGAGCAAACAGACATCATAATATAAGAGGGGCATGTGTGTTCAGGAAACAAATGAACACTACAAATAATCAGTTGCTTATCAGCACTGAAACAGTTGTCCCTGCAGTGGTTTAAACCACTCCCATGGTTATTTTCTGAAGTTATAATTTAGCATGGCACATGTAAGGAGTCTCTGTCTACCTGCTGGGTAACATAAATGACTTTAGAATGAATTTAACTAACAGTATTAATTACAATAAAACATGATACAATGTTGCTTCACTTCTTTTTTTAAACTTGTATTATAATAGGTAAAGGGTTACACAGGCTTTTTAACAACTATTAACACCTAATTTCAACTGATCCACCTTTTCCTGTTATATTGCCAAATTTTGGTCATTGACTTTGAAAGAACTGATTTGTAAATAGGTATAGGCCTCATGTATAAATAGATTAAAAGTATTTCAGATTAGTAGACAGTTGTGTGCCAGTATTAAAAAAGTTTTTTTTCCTTTTTTAAAACTTTCTCTAAGCGGAACTTGACCTGTTTCCAGTGCCCTTTTTGATACACCTGATGTCCTTTGCTCCTTCCAAAAATTACTGTGCAGGTAGGGCTTCATTTATTTAGTTATGTATATTTGGTCATGTGACATTTTGACATGTATTTGCTGAACTGCCTTCAGTTTGGTTGTATCTGTACTTTAACAAAGTAGCCTATTTTATGCAGATTTTTGTAACTCATTTGACATCCGCTAAACCCATGAAAGCACCTACAGAGTAGCCCAGCTCTGCAGGGAAAACGTAAAGCTGACAGATCTGCTTGAGTCAAAGTGACAGTCTTGTTCTGCCCGAGTATACGTACATCAAAAACAGCTAAAGTTAAAGGCTTTACAATCTTAAAAATTATTGTTGAATTGGAGACATGAGAATAGTTCTTAGTCATCCATCACTTCATGTAATCTATGTCCTTAGGCAATACATTTGAGCAAGTCCTCCCAACATCTTTGGAAATTTCACAACTGACTTATTGGAAAATTTGAGGTAATTGTTATCAGGATAGACTCATGTCAAGTGTTAACTATCCTAGAATACTATCTATCTATCTTTCCAGGTTCAGTTGTTTAAAAAAAGACATTTCACTCAGACTTCTCAGAAGTAGTAGCTTTAATAAAATATTGGTGCACATTCTTTAAAGAAAACAGTACCGAACAGCATGTAAGAAAGTAAAAAAATAAGGTCATATAACTGCAACTATAAAATCATATAATAAATTCTAACAAGATTCTTACATTCACAAAATGCTGCATAAAGCATGTAGCTTTTTTATACACGAAAATACATTTTCCATACAAGAATAAACCAAAAAGTGCAGCCACAAGTCAGAACCAAAGAACAGTTTAGTTGTTTATAGCAACACACAGGTGGCTTAAATGTAGGCCAACATCATGGGATAAGCCAAACAAGTGGAAATTATTTTAAATGTCAATATTTGTCTTTTTCTAATCATTGCCATCAAATAAAATATAAAGTCTAAAACTAAGCTTCATCACAAAAGTAAACTGTTCAAGGTTGTCTTAGGGTGGCTGCTCTCAAGTCTTTTAGATTATCCCATGTGAAGATGTGCTAGATTATCTTTTTACAAACTAAAAGTGCAACAAAAAAAACTAAGGTTTGTAATACTCCCATTTGATCCTCACTGTCACAGTCAGTAGCAATGAGTGGAGCAGGGGGCTGACTGCTGTAATAATACAACACAACAACAAAATGGAATTTATTCCATAAACACGGTTTGATTGCAGGAAGTTGCAGGCTTATCAAAAGGGTGGGTCTGTGTGTGTTCAGTGCCCTAGCATCCATTTGTAACTGGATCTGTTTTCTTGTCTAATAACATCAGGGAAAAAAATATCTTTAAAAGCACCAGTGGGGAAAGTCACAGCTCAAATATAATCAGATATGAAAAGCCACAAGTGATAGAAAAGTCACTTATTTTGTTATAAATTAAAAACAACAAACTCCTAACAGAGGCCCAGAAACAGCACAGTCCTGTGAGGATTATTTGCATCTTTGTCTTTTAACAAACTGTATCTGTAAATACAGCACACAGAGACACAACACCCAAACCCATTGATGTCTTCATAAAAAATACAGCACAAACTGTTTACTCAAGCTTTGAGAGCATCACTCATATTATCTCACAGCCCACATATTGTGGACATTAAATTCTGTGCTTTAAAATAAATATTCTATATAAGTATGACTTTGGATTGTTCCAATACAGCTTATACTATGATTGTGATATGTTTAGGATGACCCAAAATATCACAGAAATATCTTCCATTTCACTTAAAGAAGTTGTCTACTTCTTGTCTGCTCTCACAAAATTACACATTTACAGGATTTACTTCAATGTAAAGTAAAAAAAGAAAACATCAATTTTCAATTTAACTTGATGTAATACAGTATTAACAAATAGTGAATACAATAAGTGATAAATATGATCATTTCTTTAGAATTATCCTCAGACTTTAATGGCTTTGGGTTAATATTTGTGATTGGTTAAATAATAATAATTGGTCCTTCAATTTAGTCACATTTGACATTAAGTTTCAGCAACAAACCAAGAAAGGTAAATTTAAGTGGCACCAAGGTGAGGACAGATACTTTTTTTTCCATTTGAAATGATTTGAACATTTTTAAATGAGGGCTAACTTAGCCAAGGTAGGAGGTTGGAGGTGTGATTGCCTATATTTGGTGGATATAAGTTCTTCATATTTGGGACTCTCCTGTGTTATGTCCACTCCGAGAAGCCTGAAAGAACACACAGACAAACAGTTTGGCACTAATGTAAGCAGTAATGTGCGTAATGTATTTGCAGGACTGGAAAAAGTCTAACATAATTGAAGGAAAAGACATTATAATAGACATTATAAGAGTAAAAGTATGGAATCAAAATAATACAGAGGTGAATATTTATGCAAGCACGCAGAGCTAAATTATTATAAATAATATACATGTGATTTGAGTAAAATAAAAGTTGTAATAAGGTATTGAAATCCTGCACTGTGTTTTGGTTGATTGTGTGTGTGTGTGTGTGTGTGTGTGTGTGTGTGTGTGTGTGTGTGTGTGTGTGTGTGCGTGCATGTGTGCATGTGTGTGTGTGTGTGTTAGAAGTGATTTAACATGTCACTTTAAGTGTAAAAAGAAGTGAAAGCAGTAAAAAGTACAACAATTACTCCTGAACTGAAGTAGTGATGGAAGTTGGTACATAAATAAAATGAAAAACTCCTCTATAAAGTTGTTCTTGAATACAGTAATTTACTGTGATACATGTGTTGATGTAAGTGAGGTTAAGTTATGCTTACTTGTGATTGGCTACTGGAGGGATTTGTACTGCTGAAGTCTGAGTATCTCTTCTTCTGTGGTGTGCAGATACAGGACAGGAAGTGGGCATACTCATCTCTCACCTGCAGAGGGCAGCAAAACATAAATTAAAGACTCTGCTTCACTGTACCCTCATGCTTTTATTGTTTCACTTTCTCTGGTGGTGAAAATGTCCCTTTAGTATCCTGGATGCACACACTCAGCTGCTCCATCCTACCTGTTTTGAAAGCAAACAATGCATGATGAAGACCAGCGCTCCCTGCAGGCTGTTCAGGATGGTAAAGATATACGCCACCACCATGGGGCCCTCTTCAAACAGGAAGGCCCCAAACACCCACATCAGACCCAGTATACACATCTGGGCGATTGCCGTCACTGTGAAAGCCCTGCAGAGGAAAAGGGAGGATGGTGAGTGGGGGGATCACACAAAGGGCACCAGATAGAGAATGAAAGCAGAGATTAACATGCGCCCAAACAGACCGATGACTCAGTTACCATCCCAGTGTCTGGAAAAACCCTGAAGAGAAGGTCTTTGGCACAGCAGCGAAATAACAGAGAGGCATTATGGACACATAATTGTCTATTGACGACAATTAGGAGAAGGAATTTGATCAATATAAAAGATTAGCTCAAAGGAAAAACATCCTTTGGGAAACTTTTTAAAAAATATATTGGAGGTACTTGACCCTATTTGGTGGTTTACCCTTGTTATTCCCATGAATATCAAGCCTTATGATTCACATCAAGATAAGGAGGACTGATAGCATTTAAAGTCTATCGTAAAACCCTACTGGCGACTGGGGCTTTTCTTCACAGTCCTCAGAGTTTCTCTCTACAGTCCTTCACTTTAATGATGATCTGACACAGAAAAATTCTGCAAAATAAAAGATGGATCACAAATCCTTCCACTGACAGGCCCTACAAAAACCTTTTAATCATAATTTAATGCTTTCTGTGCTAAACTGGAAAACTACTCCCTGAGTTTTAGCACAACCGTTCCCTTTTCCCATTTCCCAGGGCTGCATCTAACATCACTGATTGATGAATCATTGCATCCATGGGTGGATTTTTTTTCCCTTAGAGCTCAGATTTATTTTTCAGCTGTGCTTGTTTGTACAGTGTTATCTACAGAAGCATGGGGGCAGTAAAAAAACGGGCACAACACTTACAACATTAGAGGGTAGAGCCATGACGACAAAAACATTCTCTACATTTTTCCCTCTAAAAACTCGCACACTTTCCATCCATCCATTTTTCCCCAAAGCAATCCCATTTCCCCAACATACGTATTAGCCCTGTGTTTGCGAGGTGAGGGTCACATTACTCACATATCACAACAGCTTGTGAAGACGCTAAAGTAGACACAAACAAACAAAGAGGCTGACCTGATTTTGTGCAGTTTGGAGAGGTCTGGGTTGAGGCTAGTGAACTTCTGGGCGAGCTTCCAGACAGTGACGATGAAGAAGAAGACATTGAGTATGATGATGAGGCACACAGGGCCAAAGAAACTCCAGATGAGGCCGTCATTCAGAGACAGCCAGCAGCTGTTACCAGGAAGGAACACATGTTTATGATCGTTTTTTTCCCCCCCTACGTCACACAGAGATAGCAGCAGGTCTGTGTAATCTACTGATGTAATGCTCCCAAACATCCACAAATATAAACACGCACACAGACACACATACTGTAACACTTACTGCTCGTCAGTGCCGTAGCCCTCTGGCCTAATCATGGCAGATATGATGAGGATAACAAGAGGTACTCCATATCCAGTGAGGTATAAATACAGGGGCCGGATGGTGACATTGAACACAAGGACCACCATACGATACAGCTGCACGCCCTCCAACAGCATCCAGGTAAACACTCCCAAGAAGAAGAGATGAAGCATGGCTGCAACAAACCTGCAGCCACCCTTTAAAGCAGCATGACCACACAGAGGACCAAAGATCGGAAAAAGTTAATGAAACATTCATCAGGTCAAAACAACTGCATAAATAATGATATGCACAAACACCAACCATTGTCTACCATACAGCTACTGTGGGATTAAATGTTTGCGATCACCTGTAACCGTAAATTTTACTGATAACATTAAAAGTCAAATTGGTTATTCAGCCCTTTTAAACCTCTGTTACTGATCATGTAGTGTAAAATAACATTATGAAAAACTGATATGTATTAAACCACAAGGTTATCTTTCAGCATATCTCGTCCATACAGGCAGATTATATTCAAAAGATTTCATCAATTTAGGACGAGGTAAGCAAAGAAACACAAGGCATCAATTTGTCCAGATAGGGTGTTGGCAAAATTGGCAGAAACAAAAAGATCATTACAGGAGCTTTAACCAAATATAGTTGAGTAAAAATGCAGCATGTGCTCTGCAAAAACTGGGGATCACAGATATGAGGTTAACAATATGGCAAAACTCCAGTAAAACAGAAGTTTTAACATTTGAGGTTCATTTACACCTCAGTAGATAAGCAAAAGGCCCAACTGGTCCTTCAATGAGTTTATGTTCCAGTTGGTGTTTTCTGTGGTCGGAGACAGTGTTTTTTTATTTACATGTCCCCCTCCAAAAAACCCCACACGGCAGGAAATAGGTTTGAGGTTGCAGACTCTCACTGACATTAATGTGAGGAGTACCTTTTGATATTATAAACAGCACACTTTGTGGCATGTAAACAGGATGATCAGTAGAATCAAAAAAACTCATTGTGGAGGGTGCTTCAACTCAAACAACTTTCCTGTTTAGATTACAGCAGTTATTTTAAATGAAGTCACTATTTACTTGCAAAAACATACCACAGGTTTAGTTTGTGAAATGCCTGCCAAAAAGATGAGGTCAGCCATGAAGAGGCAGATACAGAGGTGCAGATGAATGGTGGTGCGGGTCCCTTGTATGGAGCGGCAGAACTTGAACGTGAGGATGCAGAGGATGAGACACAGCAGGGAGATGGTCAGCCCTATCTTGGTCATCAGGATGAGCCCAAAGGTGTGCTGGAAGAAGAAGTTACATGAGGTTACAAGATGTTGAACTTTCAGGTTTTTGTTCATATTTAATGGTTTTACTGATGTTTGAGTAAGGGAGGGAAAATGCACACGATTTTATTGCTATATGAGACAGCATTCTTAAATAGTCTCATTCAGTTTAAAGAGTCAGTTACTGCCTCCTCTGTCTGTAAACAAAAAAAGGTACTTTTGTACACTTTAATGCAAATAGTTGCTTTTTTCTAACATCTTTAAGAGATGAGTAAGCACTGATTTTACTCATGCTTCTTGCCAGTAGTAGCCAAAGTTTTTGTTAGCTTAGAGAAACGAGGGAGGTTTGCAAAAAGTTTGTTTTTAACACCCCTGTTATTAAAAAAGATCTTGACATAAAAAATGAACACAGTCTTTAAGTTTCATCACTTTAAAGCCTTTTCCTTTGTGGTTCTTATAGGAATTTTAATGAGCCTGTATTGGTAAGATCAACCTGTTATGTAAGTTTTTTATGGCCTTGGTATGTTTTTCTCTTACCTTCATTGGGTAACGTGCCATGAGCACTGCAAAGCTGCTCAGGTGTTCACATGTACACACAGTGTGTGTAGTATTTGAGTGCTGTTGATAGCAACCATCTGTGGACCAGGCTCCTCTCTCGTTCCAGTATGCGCAGACGTAGCTCACCTCAGAAGTCTCCTCTTTGCCCTATGCACAAAACCAAAATGTTATGCTGAAAAACTGGAAATTTTTCCATGTAAATCATCCTGCAGTAGCGGCACAACACACTGAAAAGACTGCAGTAGGACTACCAGATGTCTGAGAGTGATGTTGACAGGGCTGCTCAGGTTCTGCGTGGAGGGGTTGGAGACCACAACTGAAACAACTCTGGAGAAGATCTGGAGGGAGGGATCTACACCATCTTTTTGAAGTCCTGGGATCTCCTCAAAGGAGCTGTTAACAGACTTCTCCAGGTTCTTGTAGCTTAACAGTGCCGCCATAGCGAAACCTGTACCGACAATTAGAAATATGTGAGAAAATCCACAGGTGTGGAAAACTTAAGAGGAGAACAGACAAAGAAATTTGCAGGGAAAAGATTTACCGGGGTATAGTCCAGTCCCAGCTGCTGTTAACCAGTCAGTGTCTAGACTAGCATTCCCATTGCTCAGATGGATGGGTCCCGTGGGTCGAGACTTTCCTCTTTGCACTGTGATCTCTGCATCTATTTGAACAGATATTTTATTTACTGTGGCACACTTCACATTGAAGACTACATCATGCAAATCCCAGCCAAGATCACAAACTGTGTTACCTGTCTTATTGGTCTCTATCTTGGTGTAGTTGCGTTTGAGCTGTGGACCAATTACCCTAATGGAGTTCTCCAGTGTTTCAAGCAGTCCACTCACATCCTCACTGCTGTCCAGGTGATCAGGGGACAGGATGACATCGGTGGCTGTGAAGAGTTTCTGTCAGAATGGCAGAGACAAGAGGTTGAGGGTTGTGTTGAGAATACTGTATACTTTTCTAAGTGTGTTTGTGTTTTCTATCTGTTGCTCTAACCTCCAATAGCGCCTCTCCGTCAGCCTTCCCCGGACTTGCGGTGGTTGGGTCAGACAGAGCCAAGCAGCTGTTTCTCATCATGGACAAAATGTCTGCCAGGCCTCCGAGCGACTGAAAGGAAGAGAATAATGGGCTTTTCAGTTTGCTCCTGACTAAAGTTAACACATAATAAACTCTAAGGGGCCTAAAGGTGGTCTGGTAAATAAAGCTGCTTTATTGGCAGGATCAAGTGTGAAACCTTTAGTTGGAAAAAAAACTTTGTATGTATGTGCTGTGTAGTTTACCTGTGTGGGAGCACTGTCAGCATTGAAGTTGTTACAGTCAAGCGCTAAATAAAAGAGAAAAACATAAAACCATCATTACCCCATGAATTTTTTTTTAAACTCCTCTGCACATTGAGGTGAAGAGGTAATTTAAGTGCGCAAGCAGCAGCGCTGAACTCATCTCCATTATCGTTTGAGACACGAACCACAGATTACTGAGACTGATTGAGCTCAGAAAGAAAAGTAAAGGCCAAGCAAGTCCTGAGAGAAACTGAGAGCTGCAGTATAAAACCCAAGTATCTGAACAGGATTGTTGACAGATACAGTAATGAGAGATAATACAAAAATGCTTATCTCAATAGATAATGAGTAAATACAGCACATAGTAAATGTCATTGCATATAAAATTTATATCATTCATGTTAGTTAAACTGAGGCGTATGAAAGCCGGGAAATACAAAAGCAGATGGAGAAGAATGACCCAAACACTCACGTGAGCATGGAGTCCTTTCGTTGCCATAGTTTGTGAATCCTTTCTGGCACTTGCACCAGTAACTCCCAATAGCATTTTTACAGGTCCCCTTTTCTCCACAGATGTGTTCTCCTCTTGTCTCAGCTTGGGTGCATTCATTTATGTCTGTGTTAAAAACAGAGACATCGAAATCAATATACCTGCAATGTGACCAGCTAATATGTGTGTTTCAATATTAGCAGGATCTGTGGACATTTCTTTCCCAGCAGCGAGTGATATTGAATGTCCTCCTTTCAGTTTTAGAAAATGGATTGCCTTTTGGCTAAGGTCAGAGTTCAGAGGGAGAAAGCTGAATCATAATAAAATGGGACATGACATTTTAGAGCTCAGCACAAGACAGGAAGCTTTTAATTTTGGAAATCTGCCTCAGTAAAAAGGGGGAAGTATCAAGCTCTGAGACTTTAACTACCCTTCAGAGTTTGATTTGAATCTGCAAACTATGCCCATAACTTTGCTGGGTTTGTATGAGGGTCATAAGAGAAGATGTTTCTGTTGTTCACTGAACAGCTCCGGGGTTTTAATACAACACAATGCAGGAATGTTGACCCCTAAAGAGAAACTCATTAATAATAGGATCCCACTGGCTGTTTGTTAAGTTTCATGTTTAGTTAAGACAGGAGAAAAACACACTTCTACCAGAGGGATTTGAAATGATCCAAAATAGATTTGTCAGTAAAATGCAGAGTAAATGTTAGTTGAGATCACAAATTACTGCCCTGCAGTCTCCTCTACTTTTACAGTCAAACTAGCTGATATCTGTGATATCTGTTGTATCTCCACTTAGCCATGACTGCACAGTACTTATTACTTCAAACCAAAGGTGAAAAAATCCACAAATATGAAGTACAAGTACTGAAGAGACAGTGATGCATTTAACTTTGATGTGTTGAAAGACACGGCACAGAGTTAACCTCAGTAAAATTCGGCAAAGACATGTCATATAAGATGTTTGTTTGTCAGTGTTGTTTACACTGCTGTGGTATTTTGTGTACTCGTAACACAAGCTATTGATGCAAGTAAGCCAAACCAGCAATGTGGAGATGATCTTATAAGCACAAACACCCGAACCAAAGTTTCAAAGACTGTTTTGATACATACAGACATTACATGTTTGGACCTCTTGTCCGTCAAGACAAGAGTGTAACATTTATGAAAAGGTTATCATCTTGACAGCTCTCCTAAAGCAAAGCCAAATACATCCAAGGCTTCATCTACTAGCAGTCTAAATGTCAAAGCCTTCACGATGACAGATGAGTCAAACATAGATGCCAACCTTCAGTGTTTAAAATACAACCAGTGCAGAAGTGCCAAAACCTGAAGTTCCTTCAGTGTCATCTTGCCAAGGAGACCCCCTTAAAAACTCATTAAAATGCTCTCTTTGCAGCAGAAATGAAGAAGTTTACAGCTTGGACCTAGGGCTGTCACAGACAGTACTACAGAGGAGAGACAAAAATAAAGCAGTGGACAGCCTGTGAGCTACTTTGAATTTCCATTATTTGATTGTGAATCTGAATACAAAGTTGGAGCTGGTGCCTCTGCAGGTTACTAATAAACTGAATATTTTTACTTTTTAATGTTCCTTTAATCATTTTCTTTTGGTTCCATAAGTCAAGATCTACCTCAAGTAGCTTCATTTTAAAATAAAAGCAAAGTTTAAATTGTGGTAATTAAAGCAACCTTAATCCAAGACAGAAAAATATCAGAATAAAAGCAAGCCAAACACTGGTTAATATGGCTAATATTAACCAATATGGCAATGTTTATATACATATATGTTATGTTACTCCATTCTTGCCTTGCCTTTTGCCTGTGTTATTTTAAATTTTCCATAAACCATGATAATCACGTATAGTGAAAGTCTGATATCATAACTCTGCTATTCAGCAAACTTGGACAGAGGAAAAATCAGAATGACAGTTGGAGATTAATAGCTCTGACTGACAGGGAATTCAATTTAAGTACCTTGTGCTCCATGTTTAAACTACTAGCTACAATGCTCAACACTGCCCCTATGCTTGTCAGTGGGACTGCAACTCCAAATCAACTTCGGCCTTAAATATGTGGACAGATACTCACCTACACAGCCCACAGGAAAACTGGGGTCTTCCTTGTACCCAGGATGGCAGGTGCACCTGTAGCTGCCAATCACGTTTGTACAATTTGCACCATCACCACATATATTAGGAATGTGGCACTCGTTAACATCTGACAGAGGACCAAGAGAAGATGGATTAGTGTTCATGAAGACACACACCCAGGTCACTCACAGTAACCTATACACACTCACCTTGACACTGTCCACTCAGCCCTGTGAAGTTCACAGCCCCTCCGATGCTTTTGTACCCCTCCAGACATTGACAATAGAAGCTCCCATTGGTATTGAAGCACTTTGTGTGTTTCCCACATGGATCTGGATTTTCTACACACTCATCATTATCTGTGACATTCAAATTAAAATACATAAATTAAGACATACTAGTAGGGCTGTAAATCTTACAAGTTCAACACAGCACATCTTATAGCAGCAATATTTTCAAACACTCCTGCAAGTAAAAAGAAACCCTGTCACTAAAATATGTGGGGTTTTAATTATAACCTCTATTTCTTCCTTCTCCTCTGTGCTCCATGATGCTGAGGGTTTAACATTGCTGTCCCACCACTTGAGTCTCTGCCTGTAACTAAAACGTTTTCTTATCCACAATTTAGACCTCTATTGCTATTGTTTTCATAGCACACTGCGGTTTTTGATTCATGCTTAAATGCCTTACATGGAAAAAGTATTGTGCATTGCCATTATCACAGGGTCAATGTTTTGGTCAACTCCATTAAGAGGTATTTCATACTTGAGAGTTCCAGCAAAATAAAGCATTTAGAGACTGAAGCAAGACAATGGAGAGAAGTTTAAATATGAATGAGGGGTAAATGCAGACTCTTACCAATACATTTTCCTCTTTGTAAGATGAAACCCAGGGGGCAATCAGAGACACATTTCTCCAGCACACACAACAAACCTGAAAAGAAAGACAGAAACCACCAAGACTCCTTTTACTATTAGACCAAATGTTTTTTTGTCACTTTTATAGAACTTTAGTTATCTAGTCAAACATTAGTTTTGCCCAGAATCCTTTACTTAGAGCAATTTTGACAAAGTGGTTGTCCCTCAACTGGAAAGTTGGCAGTCTGGTCTGCAGCTGCTGCAGTCTACATGTCCTTGAGCGAAAAGCTGAGCCCTGAAGTACTTCTGGTAGCATAGTCACCGGCGTGTGGATGAGTATGAGCGGGATTAGTGGAACTTTGTAGCAGCCTTTGCCTCAGTATTTGATTATGAGTAAGAATGGGTGAATGTGATGCAAAGTGTCAAAGTGTTTTGTGCGGTCAGAGGACTAGAAAAGCACCACAAGTACAGCCCTGTTACTATTTAAGTTTGTGCAAAAAAAAAAAAAATGTGACTCTGCACTTTAGAGTGATCCTCCATTTTATTCTGCATGTGAGAATCCTTGTGCCTCTGACTGTATTACAACATTACAAAATCCCAAAACACAAAAGTGAAAATGACACACACTCAACTTATCCGGTGATAAAACTTTTAGTTCACATGTCACAAGGTATCTCCGCTGTTTCTAAATCTTAACACTAAAGAGGAAGCAGCTGCAGTCTGCCTAGATTGACAGCTGTGCTTTACCAGAGTCATGGCAACACAACTATAAACTGAAAGATTACAAACCACTGCTGAAGTACATTCCACTTCCTCATCAATGCTCCTCTTACTTCATATGTCTCCAACCGCTGTAGAGCTTTACCTCAGACATTTTGTTGCCCCCTTCATAAAACTCTAACACTTCTGTGTGGAAAACCAGAAGCAGACTGAGCATGCATATGAACAGCTGGAATTATGTATCTACTGTATCTGTTTGTCATGAGGAGTAATGTGACTGTAGTTGTTTGAGGGCTTTGCACACGGGCACTTTTTGGACTGGCCTGGTTAAACTGGGGCACTGTGTAGGTCGGGGTTGCAATAGTATCTATGCACACACAAATAGCATATAGTTGCATCAACCTTTTACATCTTAACTTTCTATTTTAACAACTTTTGTTCAAGTATTGTGCAGATGTTTATAAATACTTGATAATTCTTAATGTGCTCAGAAACAAGTTGTCAGTCCACACAGTTAGAATCAAAGGCACTAAAAAGGTCCTAACATTGGTGAGACCAGCAGCCAATCATTTCTCAGGATTTTGGGGTGGACAGTCAGGTTGCAGGGGGATCCAGTGTGACATTTGACCACCCCTCTTGACACGTCCCTGACTTATTAGTAAGAGACAGGTCCTTCATTCTCTTTTATCCAGACTTGATTTTTTTTATTTCTCTAATTCAGTGAAATAGATTAATATCTGATATATGGAAGTTTTGCAAGTTCTCCTGCTTGAGAATTCTCTCACCTCTGTTGCAATAGCGATACTGAAAACAGTTCACAAACAGCACATGTGCACATGAGCATGGACATTTCTCTGTTTTGTCAACGTGAGTCATCCAAAGGCTGTAAAAAAAAAAAAAAAAAAACTTTAAAACTGGTATGACTATAGACAGACTACATCTGCCATCCTCTTCCATAGTTAATGAATTCACCTTTTGGTCTAACTGCATGTTGTTTTGGTAAGTATCTGCATTTGTGTATGGTGTGTCCATCTAAGTAACATGCGCACATGACTCACTGTGTCTTTCTCATACTCTTTTTTTTTTTTTTAATCCATGGAGGATGAGGACATATTAGACAAAAAAATATCGCAATTTCAATCATAAGTGAAAAAAAAAAAGATTGTAGGAAATCTGGGATTTTTTTTGTTTCTGTTTCTTTGTCGGAAACCGCAAACATTTCCCCTTTTTTTCCTTCACATGTGTATGTTTCCTCTGTGTGCATGTGATTGTTTTCTTCCTCCTGAAAAACTCCACCCACATTTCCAACCCCCACTGTCACATTACCTAAAACATCACATCACACACATGTCAGTCACATTTTTAGACTGACCATGAGTTAAGTATAAAACAGCGCCCCCTCATATAGGTGAAGTAGAAAAATAGTCCCTCTGCTGTGTTTCCCTCTCAAGATTACAATAAGCCCTGTGTTGTTGAGTGTCAGAGCTGGGGCTCCCACACTAACTCCACTTTAAGAAACCAGACAGAGTTTGACAGAGACTGTGTGAAACAGTGTGACTGAGTCTGACTTTATGACTTAATAACTGTGGACACCAAACAAAGCCTGGAAATGTACAAAGAAAGACTTTGTGCTTACTTGCAGCTGACTTTCATTCAGCAGAGTGCTGAATGAGAAATGTCGTCTGTCACATAAACTGTTCTTTCTGTACGTCTGCTCTGCCTCACTTCTCCATCAAACCTTTTATTTTGCTGTCTTGGACTATTGTGTTACATTTAAACCAGATACAACTTAGATTTTATCAGGGCTGCCAAAATATCACTGTCACTGACTCTGCAGCTTGTCACTGTGGTAAATGCAGTTTTGTTTTGTTCTGGGGTTTTTTAACCTTGATTAACCAATAAGAAGTAGTGCATGTATGTGCAGATGCATTTGTTCAGGTAGATGCCTTAGTTCTTTTTTTTTTCCTTTTAGTTTTGTATTTAGTCAGTTTGGTAAAAATGAATTGAAACTTAAATTGACAACAAAAACACTGTGTGGATAAAGTTTGTGTTTGACACCCTTCTGAAACACAAACTGATATCCAGGCAAAAACCTTGAACAGCTCTCCTGTCTTTTCCCGAGCGTAAACAAAAATAAAGCACACTCTTTGTGGGTCCGACACCATGGAACAACTTTCTGGTAAAAAAAAAAAAGAAATTGATTTAAAGATCATTTGATGGCCAGTGTTATTCAAGCGCTGTACTTTCTCTGTGTGTTTGATCGTGTAATTTCAACAATCGGCACAGTGGCTCTAAAACTGTAGTAAAGGCCATGGCATATTTTCAACCTGTTCCTTGGTCATAAACTGTGTTTGTAAGACTCTGTTGTGTAAAACCACTGCAAACTTGTGGAGATGCAATTGATAAGAAAGGTGAAAACCAAAACCACAAAGCTGTGAGCCCTGAAACTGAAACCAAGAGCTGAAGTTCTGAGAATCATAGCAGTACTTCAGCTTTATCTGCAATTATGACCTTAATGTTTGACAAGGGAGCAGTTTGAGTCAGAGTTTTGATTTCATGACATATGAACTTAATTCACTAGTATTTGACTTAAACTGACTAAAATTCGGATTAATTAATTGTCGTGTTTCTTGGTGTTTTATTTAAATTATCATGTCAGTAACAGATTTTAGATATCATCAAAATGATAATGTAATTCAGAGAAACCTCTAATGTTTTGGAAACATCATATACCAGTTTGTTGCATACAGTGCCTGAAGGTATCTTGATAATGATAATAATAATAACAGTCTATATTTGATAAAATGTATGATACCAGTATCAAGCTAGAAAACACACATCATGCAAAAAAGACCATCATGTAAAAAGCAAAGAACCAAATCCTAAGTGAGTTTTTGTGTGAAAATATCTTATTACAATTAATTCAAGCCACACCGGGCTTACAAGTCCAAATATGAATCTTATTTGAAAACATGACAAACCAAAAATAGGAGCTTAATGGACTGAAATGGATAAAATGGCTGGCAATGCCGCAATAAAAAATATTTGAAGGATTTTTTAAATCAAGACAGTTCCTTGGCTCCTGTGGGCTCTTGAAAAAGTTTTATACCTGGACTTGTTGAGTCATTGTGGCGTATTTAGTAAGTAAAAATTCTGACTGAAAGATAGACATATACTCTAAGTAAGTTTAGAATTTTGCAGTTTTGTTCAAATATTTGCCTTGACCACACATACCCTCCTACAAGTTTTGTAGCTAAATGTGGTCTTTCTTCGCTGAGTCATTTTGTCCTTTCAGACCTGAATCGTGTGTCACACTCACAGAGGCCTCATCCTTCGTCCTAATGCATTAGTTCAGGGACAGAGGTCTTCAGTGCACAACCCTGACCCCCATCTATACTGCAGCAGACAACCCGGCCGGTGGGCGGGACGGTGACTAGTGCCTGGCAAGGCTGTTGCATTTCGAGGTAAATCAAAAGTTTCATAGCAAGTCACCACCTGTTCAAGAGCAGAAAACTAAGAATAGTATTAAGTAGCTTTAAGAAGTTGTTGATCAGATGTTTATCTTAAATAGAGGTCAAATTTTGAGAAACAAATGAGTATGAACCTTTGGCAGAAATGAATAAAACAGATTGTGCTCCAAAAAAATAGTATAAATCTGTCCCCTTGCCTGAAACGGTGAGTATTTTTTATTCAATGACTACTTTAAATTCTTGGCCTTCACTTTATACTTACTTTTTCTTTCCTCAATCATCACACAGTCTCAGTCTCACACACAATGTGCTCTCAAAGACTCATTGATAGACTTACCAAGAATGAGCAGCTCCTTCCTAGTCCCCATGTCAGGCCAAAGAGCAATCCCTCACAGCTGATGGTTTTGCTAGTAACTATGAATGAACTGTGACTTTTGTGATTTAGTAAAAGTCCATAAAATGTAGTTTAGATCCAGTCTAAAAGCGCAGCAGAGATTGTAGTTTAACAGGCGTCCTGTAGTCCACAAAACCGACAGAGTGAGAAAGAGAAAAACTGAAAAACACAGATTAGAAAGAGAAACCTCGTCTGTTGAGGACAACAGTTTGTGTGGCAGGAAAAGTAGCGGTGAACCCTCACCACTTCTTCCCCTCTCAAATTCAGACTCTCAGTCTGAGCCTGCCTCACTGTCCCTCCTGATTCCCCACCCCTCTCTCTCTCTCTCTCTCTCTCTCTCTCTCTCTCTCTCTCTCTCTCTCTCTATTTCTCTCTCTCTCCCTCCCTCCCTCCCTCCCTTTCACTTATCTATGTGGCCTTGTCTCTCCCTCGTCACTCTTTCTTGCTCTTTTCTTTCACTCCATATCTTTGCATGTGAGCACATTTCTCTCACTGGCACCGTATCACATTGCTTGCACAAACCCCCCCTCTGTCTGAGTCGTCTTTCACATTTCCCTTACGCTCCAGTGGGCTCTATTTCAGGAGCTATTCACAACACTCTCATGAGAGAGAGAAAAAAAGAGGAGGGGGAACAGAGACTGAAGAGTGGGCAATGAGTAATGTTCAATCTAAACAGCTGCTGCTGTATTTAAGATTTGCCAGTAAGTAATCATATCCTTTCCTTTTCTTCCCGAATCCTGCTCTCATCTTCTCCTACTTTTCTTCACCTCCCACTGAATACTCAGCCCTTAACCTAGTTCTGTGACAAACTGTCTGTGTTGTTTCAAACCGCCATACTGCAAGAAAACAAACCACAAACGGATACAACATTACTTCTAATAAAGAGAAGTCCTGCAAGACCACAGAGTGTTCACAATAATGAAACAAAAACTTTAGTCACAATAACTCAACATTTAGTTAGAAGAGTTATAGGTGTATGTTAACTTCTCATACCACTCAGTTACACCTTAGGACCAGAAAACATGTGCGGATTTTATGGTTAAAGCTTTTGGTTACTTTGTTTTTTTGAGTGCTGAATGAGTGTCACTACAGGGAAACAAAAACCAAAACTTTTTTTTTTTCAGCAGCTCAGACTTTAACCAGTAAACCTCACATGTCAAACAAACACTGACTAAAGTATAAGTCAACAAAGCAGGACGAGTGCTTCAAAGAAATAAAATAAACATGTGTGAATTTAAAAAAGATAAATGTGATTAAAACAGTGGTCTCACTTCAATTCTTTTCAACAGTTTGATATTGTTTAAGTAATTTTTCTCAAATTTGTCTGATGAAGGGGAACAGCTTTTGCTTTGGTATAATCAGCTACCTTTAACACTCAATTGACCTATCACTAAGCCCCGCCCCTCTAATGCAGATGAGCCAATGGCAGTTTAGTATCAGTTGCACCGGGACTTAAACTCTGACATCTGTAGCTTTTAGCGCCAAAGATTTTTAATCTGTTTTGTGACGTTAATTTAAATAAAACAATAAGAAACATGATAAAAAGGTGTGCATGGGGTCAGGGCCGTATTACGGACCAGGTCAGTGGGGCCGGCGCCCAGGGGCCCGGGAGGGGGGGGGGGGGGGCAAAGCGATGTAGATTTGCGATGTTTGGCATCGGCCAATCCCTAAAAGCCACAGGATGTGTGTGCATCTCATTCCAGTTTTGCAACACCTGTGGGCACATGCCCTGTTTGAAGCCTTTCCAAGGAAGGTGCAGCCCGCAGGAGCTGAGGCCTGTACTATGAAGCTGGATTAACACATCCAGGGTAACTCTGCGACAACTCGCTCAACTTCACCGGATCTCCGCGATCCCGATCAGCTGTACTACGAAGCCGGTTATCAACTCGATAACTGAATCCAGGTGTGGCCACTTCAGATCTGTGCGCACACGTAAAGGGGGTGGGGTCAGTGCCACTGACCAGACCAATCTCCACAATGGAGAAGGCTGCACGTCATTTTTCACAGCCGAGGAACAGAGCATTATTTTACGCAAATACGAGGAGTACCGCAACATTATATCAGTGAGGAGCAGGACAGCTGCGGCCGCTAAGAGCCGGAGGGACTGCTGGCAAAAAAAATCATCGATTGTGTAAATTACATTTGTGCGTTCATAAATGTATGGCCCCCTAATATGTTGTCATGCAGCGTGTGTGATAACCTCCATCATAGTCCTCATTATTTCAGATACAACAGCAGTGGGGAAAAGAGTACGTGGGAGCAAATAAAAATTAATCTAAAAACATCCTTTTAAGTAGTTTGTAAGTTTATTGGAAGATTTTATTTGTACGCATTTCAACGCATAAACAGTGATTTCCTCACACTGCCTTTTTTTTTTCTCCATCATCTGATGGTCACATGTCATCTGCAGACACATTTGAGATTAAGAGTTTTCTCATCTGCGTCAATAAATTCTGAATGATGACTGAAATGCAGCATGAAATTGGAACCTGGAGCTTGGCAAATATTAGTGCATTGCTTAGACTTCATGCTACCTGAAGATTGAGGCCGTCCAAGGAAGACCTGTAACGTTCATAGAGAACGTCATCAGGTAAATCAAACGGATTTGAATGATCTTGAATATAACGCTCTCGGCGAAGCGCTCCTCTCACTATCCATGCATCGATGTCCCCGGGATCCGGCAAAAGTGGGCAAGCCTTTTTCCAAGAGATCCGATTGGTCATTGGGCGGTCTTTTATACCTGCTGAGATCTTATCCTGAAACATAACCTGCTCCAGAGCAGGTTTGGCGTTCTACGTAAGTTACCGGGGCAACGGACCCGGATAAAAAGAGATCCACCTTCATAGTACGGAAAACCCAGAAGTTATCTCGCTAAGACCAAATCCAGCTTCGTGGTACAGGCCTCTGGAGTCCAACCAAGATGCTATTAATGGAAAAACAAACAAACATGCCTTTCAGTGGTTGGTTTATTTTTTGTTTCGCTATTAGTCTGTGACTGTTGAGCTTCCGCTTATCAAGAGTCTATGAATATGTTCCTTAGTCAAAGTTAGCTTCCACAAGTTTTGTGGTCTACACTGATTACAGATGGGCTATGAGGTCATTGTGTTAACAGTATACCTGACATGAGGTTAGGAGTCAGTATAATGTGCTTTATTTTAGAATTTAACAGATGGTATATGTCACTCCCATGTCAGACACCCTGTGTATGTTCAGCTTGACATGTGCGGGGCACGGCCTCTGTGGAAAAAGGACGCAGTGCATCATTTTGACGAAGCGAGTTGTCACTGAGATGCCACCTGTAGAGAGATGAACATCGACTAAAAGTGACACTGATCACGGTGCTGATGAAGAGCAATGCATGCACATTCTGCAGGTTTAAGGGGTCACTAGTAAAGGGATTTTGCGGCGTAAATTTAAATTAGGGTCAAACACACCTGAACACCGAGTTAGACACCCCGAGAGATGAATGTTGCCGACCGCTTGCTTTACTTTAGTAAAGACTGCAGATAGCAATACAGAGAGCCACGCGCTCAACCAAAACACCACTCTATAACCACAAATAATGTTCAGAACAGCACCTAACTTCATCAACACCTTTTTAGCTTTGCCTGATTTCTTGTTTCACACAACTCACCCTCTCTCTTGCAGCAGCCGCTTGTTTGCATGAAGACCTCCGGGTGAGTCCATTGACTGCAGCGGGGTTACGCAGCTCAAGGAAGAACATTTATGATCATTACTTCGTGGAAATGCAATCAGACCGAGACGGTACGGCAAAAGAACTACCGCGTCTGCAGTGCAAAATGATTAACATGGTGATAATTACTTCAAGGAATAAAGTATTGATCATAAATGTTCTTCCTTGAGCTGAGTCACCCCGCTGCAGTTGATGTACTCGCCCAGAGGTGTTCGTACAAACAAGCGGCCGCTGCAAGAGAGAGGGTAGTTGTGTGAAACAAGAAATTAGTCAAAGTTAAAAAGATGTTTGATGGCTAGTACTATTGCTGGGACCCTGGGATGTACTGTTGATGAAGTTAGGTGCTGTTCTGAGCATTATTTGTGGCTAAAGAGTGGCTTTTTGTTGGAGCGCGTGGCTCTCTGTATTGCTATCCTGCGGTCGTTACTAAAGTTGGTATAACTAGAGAAGCAAGCGTTCGGCAACATTCATCTCTTGACGGGGTGTCTAATTTGGTGATACAGTGTGTTTGACACTGAAATATCCCTTTAATGTAGGTTAATGGGAGCATATCGCCCATCCACTGCAGCAGGGGTGGACAATTGATTAACTGATTCTTATTGGATGTTTGTACAACAGGATGTAACCCTGCTCAGATTAACTCTGCATGTTTACACACGGACTGTATTTAATGATTAAAATGTTTTATAACAAATAAATAGCTGATCAAATAAATTAAAATACAAATGACACCCAACTTGAGAGATGTGAACTCAGTGACAGTCACATCCTCATGGCTGGTCTGAATACTAAAGACTCAGGCTGTTTCTCTTTGCTGGCTCAGGGAAGGGCTGTGGCGATACATTAATTTCACGATACAATACGATACGATACAATACAATACACAATATTCAGCCAAAGTGTGTTACCTTGTCTGGATGGTGACATGTTAGGTGCACTCATAGGTTGGTTGTATTTCTCGAATATTTCACGTTTGTGTGACAAATGTTTGTGTGATGCTTTCCTTCCATCAACCCATCTGCTTTTAAGAATGAATGCTGTTTTCTTGAACCTCCTCGCTCTGATGTCTTCTGTGTAAAGACAGTATCTAGATGGGATACTAGCTAGAAATGCTCTACAGCAACACCAGCAGCTGGCTGACCTCCTCGCTCTTCCTGCCGAGCAGAACAAAGGGGATTTTAATGAGACTTAATATATCGTTACTTGCGGCTGAAAAATCAAAACTTTATGAGGAATAAAAAAAAAAATTTTTTTTCAGAATTGATAAAATTGCTCAGCCCTAGCTCAGTGTGGACGTGGTTCCTGCTGCTTCTGCATCCATAGACCTCCAGTTTCATTTCTCCTGCCTTTTTTTTTTTCACTGTAAACTTGGTGAGAACTATGAGCAGAAACATTGAGCACTCATACCAAGTTGCATGCAGAATAGCCTAGTGCGAGACACTTCACATTCATGTCAGATTATATTCAGGTTTGTACACAGGCAAAATAAATGAGACACTGACAAAGTGACAAAAAGTGTTTGAGATATTTTAAGTTTCTTCTTCAATTATCTAACATCCAAGAAAAAACAATTAGGGCTTTTGCATCGGCATGTGTTCATTTACATGT